ATGGCGGGAGCAGCCGGTGTGATTTTTTTTTATTTTGGATTTTTAGTTTTACATGCAGCCCATGTAAGCAGCCACATGCGAAAATCACTATTTTCGCATACCTTCTCGTGCAGACAGGTCCGGTCATCCGCATGCAAAAATCTGATTTGGCCGTCTGCAAAAATCCTTTTTTTAGTAGTGTTCCCCTCTCTCGAATTTTTCGTGAATTAGAAACACAAGAATGTTACAAGGAAAAAGTTCACTTCTTCAGAAATTCTCTTAGAATTCATCAAAATAGAGAGAATCTATTCTATACCATTGAGTTTGTTATAGTTCAACAATTTACCACTAACTTTATTTCTTTCTACAATATATCGGCGACTTTATAAATTATTCTACAATATGCCATTGGGTTGGGCTTATTTTTCAATAATACCTAAAATACCCTTATGGACATATAAGATTAACAGTTGATTTATCTCATTAGAAGTTTCAAAAAAATATGAAACTTTTATGTGGCCTCCTTACACAGTATAAAAGTTTGTATATAAGTTTCAATTTCTTTCTATTTATATTTTTATAAAATATAACATATATGTTATATACTATATAAAATATTTTTTTGTGTTGTTGTTTTTAATGTAAATTATCTTTCATATGCAACATAAGATATTTTTTGCTGTTATCTTTTGTGTAAGCTATTTCTCTCTGGTATACCACACAAAAATATTTTTTCTAAAAAAACAAAAATACCAAAAAAAATGAAAATATGTATACATACTTACTTCCCTGTTGTGTGAGGAGGCCATATAAAAAATTTTATTTTTTTTAACTTTTTAATGAGATAAATTAATTGTTAACCATGTATGTCTCTAAGGGTATTTTGGGTATTTTTTTTAAAAAAGAGCCCCATCTCAATGGCATATTGTAGAACAATTGATAAAGTCATCGGTATATTGTAGAAAGAGACAATATCTGTGGTGAATCGTTGAACTGGGATAAACTCGGTGGCATAAAATAGATTCTCTCAAATAGGTATGCCCATTTAACTTAGCTATGCATACGACCCAACCATCCGACTAAGGTACGACTGAATTTGATCAACAGTTGCAAATAGCTGTAACACACATATATAAACATGCTCTACTTTAATTGATTTACGGTTGCATATCTCTAGTTGTAAGGCTGTATACATCCTTTAAGAGTAGAGACCGGTTTAATCCATTATCTTTAAAAAAGAAAAATTACGAATTACCCCCCAAACTATCGCGGCCGACCGAATTACCCCCCTGAACCACAAAACTGGACATTCTTCACCCCAACTATGCAAACCGGATGAATTACCCTCCCCCCTTGATCCAATCTATGGAGGTTTTGGTCTACGTGACATGTGGCAGTCCAGTCAGCATTCTATTTATAAAAATATCGGACCCACCTGTCATACTCTTCCACTCTTCCTCTCTCTCTTCTCTCTCTCACGGGCAGCGGCGCGAGTGGCAGCGGCAGGCGTGGCTGGTGGAGGGTGGCGGCAGACGGGCGAACGGCGCGCGAGGACGGACAGTGGTCTCACGGAGCGGTGCCGTGACGTCTCACTTGGGGGAGGCCGCGACGGCGGCGGGCGGTGTGCTCATCGGCGTGGGGGTGGGGGTGGTCGCGGCGCCAACCGAGGACCACCGGCGCCTCCGCGGCCGGTTGCGGTGGAGGAGGTCCCCGGCGCGAGTAGCCTCGCACCGCCAGAGATGCGGCGGGGGAGATCCTGTCACGTCTGCACCACGGCGCCGCCCCACGGGAAGCAGCCGTCGTTATCGGCAGCGCCCTCGTAGAACCCAATCCTCCTCTCCCGCCGCCGCCCCTTCTCCTCGCTGGAGGAGCTCGCCTCGGATCCCTCCTCCTCCTCCTAGTCGTCGTCGGTGCCGTCGGAGTCGGAGTCATCTCCGGAGTAGTAGGTGGAGATTTGGGAGGAGATGACCTCCTCGCTGCGGGATCGGAGGCGGAGGATGAGCACCAGCAGCGCCGCCATGCTCGGCCCCTGGAACCTCCCTACCCCGGTCTCCACCATCGCCACCACCGCCGTCTCCATCATCCCCACCTCCGCCACCACCGCCCACCGCCCGTCCGCTCCCCGCACCACTGCTCGCCGCCAGCCGCGCCTGTCGCCGCTCGCTGCCAGCCGCGCCCACTACTCCCGCTCATGCCGCTGCCCATTTCCTGCCCCTGCATCACCCCTTGAGAGAGAGAGAGGGGGGGGCAGGAAGAGGGGAAGGGGAGGTATGACATATGGGTCCTACATTTTTTAAAAATTAGAAAATGCTGACTGGATTGCCACGTGTACGCTACGTAGGACAAACCTTGAACTAGCATTCGTTTGGTATTAAAAGTTCAGGGTGAACAGTGTCTGATTTTCGGATTCAGAGGTGTAATTCGGTCGACCGCGATAGTTCATAGGGTAATTCGTACTTTTTCCTAAATAAAAATATAGCAATACTCTTAGCTAAGCTATGTGAATTCTGCACTATATACGGTGCCCGTATACAAGGGAGCAAGCTATGGACCTGTTTAGGTGAGTTTTAGATTCTGAGAAGCAGTTGTTTGGTAGACAGCTTCTGAGAATCAGGAAAAGCTCTGAAACCCAGTTTCTCCAGCTTCTGGCTTCTTAGTTCATTTTTCAGAATATGTAACTATAAATTCTCAGAAGCTGTGGACTGTTTAGGGCAGCTTCTAGCATAAACAGCTTTTGGAAAAAGCTGCAGCTTTCCAAAGCTGCAGCTGGGATCAAGCTCCCCCAAAGAGGGCCTATATCTACAAGCCAGCTACAACTTATTACCCCGCCTCGATCGTCTAGCTCCCTTCCTTCCGGGCGTTCGTGCAATCGTGCGTGCGCACGATACTACACGGTACGATCGATATTACAACGCGCGCTTGCATGATCGCCACATTAACTGCATATATGCATCGATATATCAGGGTGATTCGGGGATCGACAGCCGGCGATCACGCGTATCCGCGCGTAAATGCATCCCATCCCATCCCATCCATCGCACGCTGTACTCACCAACCCACGTACCATCCATCGATCGCACGCCGGAATCGTCGTCGGAGGACGACGACGACGGAGACGACGCCGCACCTGACGCCGCGCGGCAGCCGGCCGGCAGATCTGGGAGCAGAAAACTGAAGAAGCTACAGGAGCAGCAGCAGCAGCAGCATCGAATCGAATCGATCGATCAAAATCGACATGATTTCGCAATGAATTGTGGGCTGCGATATAAGTATTCGGGACCGTTTTCGTGGCGAGTCCATGTGGTGAATTCCAGCGTTCTCTGGACGGGACCCACCTGTCAGCCAAGGCTAGCTAGCTTGCTGATGATTTTTGGATTCGAGCTTGCATTGGACACAAGACAAGACGAACTCGATCGATCGAGCATTGAATTGATTGCCGCCACATGTGCTGAATAATTTCGTGGTGTTATGATGAATGTGCTGCTGTTTCAATTCGCTGGATACTCCCTATCTGCTGGTTTATTTTTCGCATTCATTTCTCAGGCGGTCTATATATATATATTCCTTTTGCAAAGGTTTTGCATTTGAAATGTTTCAAATTCTGTACTAGTAATTTCAGTATAAAAACAGAGAGAGGGGAGCTTAATTTGGTACCTTCAGTTCTCAAATCAAAGTCAATTCAAATCTACAGAAGAAAGCAAATCTGCGCCGCATTGATCAATGATCATCACTACCCCTGATACGAATTCCATATAGCTTTGTTGTACAAGATTTTGAACAGAAACCACCTTTCAAAAAGGTTGAACAGCACCAGACAACTTCACACCAGCATTCAAACTGCTAGCCAATATTTGAGCACACACAAGAACACTGCATCTCTGCAGCTGTAGCAATCAATTAAAAGATCAACCGAGTAGACAGTCGCATTAACAAACTATAAAACTGTGATGAGATCGACGGATATATAACCACCAGATTCGGTACGTACGAAGCTTCCAGCTGCTCATGGTTTTTTTTTTAATCATCTGAGAAAGAGATCCCCAGTTTTTAATCCCTGAGATCCTACTGGGTGGTACACCCCAGAACATTCATCCCCCTCTCTGCAGTAATAATACAAGTTACTGTAGTAGTAGTACAAAGAAAAGTATCATCAGCAGATTAATTTGTCGATCTGGGTGTAGTACTTGTATCATCAGGCTTTGATACGGCAACATCGTTTCAGTTTTTGTTTCTTGAAAAGATTTTGATTCTGAAATACAGTACTAATAGTAGTAGTACTTCGTATGTTTTAGAGTAGAAATACAATTCGAGAATTTTGTTTTGTGTCATTGTGTGTCCACCTAATTGAACGAATTGTCGCTGTTTAAATTTCATAATTCATTTATTTATTTTTGTGAGTAACAGGGCAGCACCTCTATTTCCATTTCTGCAACTGAAGATCACAATGTACCTTACAAATGACTGTTCAATGTCGTATATAAATAGACAGAAGATTGCTCTGACATTTCATCAACCCTTTTCTACCAAATTGGAACAGAAATGTGGCAAAATACCAAATTCCGACTTGAGATAGAAATTTTGATTAGTAAACCAAGGATGATTTTCCCACACTGTCAGCCAGACAAAATGTTAAGCTAGACTGAAATGTCATGAAAAAGAAGTCAAGATCACCACCATGATTTCTTCTTCTTTTTTTTCTAACATTTCACCACCATGATTTCTCAATGAGATAAATCAACAAACTTCAGTTTTCTTCTGTAATCAAATACAAACAGCATCATGCATGTCCTCTAATCTCTTGCCTAATAAGCATTTGCCTTTTCCACACACTAAGGTGTACTAAAAACAAAAAATGCAGAGTGTAGTTGTAGTTGTAGTGTAGTGTAGTGGTGGAAACTAGAGCCACATTCACAAAAGTCTCAAGCTGACATTAAGTTGGAAGCTTGTGGGGGTGTGAGGTCCACACTTAGCAACAGGACATTGTATCATATGCAGCCTTGTTGCCTTGTCACCAGTCATCAGTCCACTCATCCCCATGCCCCCCTCATTCTGATCCTTTATAAATCAGCCACCCAGCAAGACATTCCTTTCCAACCTCACTCACCTTGCTCTAGCTCAGCTAGCTCTTGCTGCTAGTAGCTTCAGCTTTGCTACTGCTACTACCACTACTACTACTACTACTTTCACCTCCAAGAAAGTATAGATTGCAAGAACAATTTCTGCTGCTGTTGTTCTTTCTTGCTGTTCTTTCTCCTTGTGTAGTTGTGTGGTGTGGTTGAGCTGAGGTGTAGTTAGGACAGTGGCTGGCTTTGCTTGCTTGATTGGTCACCTGGGAAGGTCGCTGTCTCTGCCTTTTGTTTTCTTTGCCATCTCTTTCTTTCTGGGCTGCTTTCACCTTTTGCTTTCCAACCTCTTCTTGCCATCAATAATGATGGAGGAGTAAGATGAGGGCTTGTTCTTGAAGTCTCTCCAATCTAATCTCATTTCATCTTCATCATCTCCACCCGGTCCAAATCCACCTACTACTGTTTTTCTTTTGTCCCTTCTCTTTTTTTTCTTCCTCTGATCTTTTCTTTTTTCAGGTGTTTTGTTTTTGGCAGTAGGTGCTTGCTATCTTTTCATTAGGCTTTGGATTTTCCTCTCGTGTTCTTTAGTCTCAGCCTATTAGAGGTTTGAGGAAAGTTTTCCATTTCTTAGCTCTTTTTGCTTCCAGCTTCTTGGGATTGCTCTGTTTCTTGCTGAGAATTGGCTCGATTTGGGAGGCCTCATCTTGTGTTAGCTTTCAGGTTTTCTTGCCTGAAATTGAACCGATTGGGTAGGTTTTTAGGTGCTTCAGTTTCAGTTGCTAGCTCGTCAGGCTTGTTCTTGGGCTCCTGCCTTGAATTGGGGTCAAATTGGGATGCTTCTGGGTGCTTTGAGGATGGAGGAGAGGAAGGGATTGATGGGGAGGGAGAGGGATCAATTCCCCGTCGGCATGCGGGTCCTCGCCGTCGACGATGACCCGGTGTGCCTCAAGGTTCTTGAGACCCTCCTCCGGCGCTGCCAATACCATGGTCAGTATTTACAGTAACCGCAGCTAATTGTACTTCCATTATCAGCTATCCATGATGCTCAACTTGCTGGTTTTTTTGTTCGATTCTGCATGTTAATGACAGTGTTGTTCTTTTGCTTCTGCTTGCATTGTTCATTGTTGTATTGGAGTACTGTAGTTTTCTTAGAAATCTGAAATGTCACTGATACTAGCATACTTGGCACATTTTAGAACTTCTGTATATCTTATAAATGCAATGCAATATGCCTACTATGGTGCACTGATAAGAGCTCTCTTATGGTGATTTTTAACAGTAACATCAACCAACCAGGCTATTACTGCGTTGAAGCTGCTCAGGGAGAACAGGGACATGTTTGATCTTGTCATCAGTGATGTCCACATGCCCGACATGGACGGATTTAAGCTCCTTGAGCTTGTGGGGCTTGAAATGGATCTCCCAGTCATCAGTAAGTTCAGATTTTCATTTTTTCCCCTTAGTACAAACAAAGTTCTAGATAGGAAGGATCAGCTGTTGTGTAAAAATGTCTTAGCTGAATTTGAGCAAAAGAAATGGAGATGCTAATCGGGTATAATGCCTGCAGTGTTATCAGTAAATGGAGAGACAAAGACTGTGATGAAGGGGATAACTCATGGTGCCTGTGACTATCTTCTAAAACCGGTCCGAATCGAAGAACTAAGGAACATATGGCAGCATGTTGTTAGGAGGAAGTTCGGTAATCGTGAGCGAAACAATCTTGATTTCTCCAAAGAATGCAATAAGCCGCAAAGCGCGGATACTGATCATGGACCATACCAACCTACCTGTGGTTCTTCTGATCAAAATGGGAGGTCCAGCAGGAAAAGGAAAGAACTACACGGCGAGGACGACGATGAAGGCGATGATAATGATTATCAAGAAAATGATGAGCCCTCAGCTGCAAAGAAGCCCAGAGTTGTATGGTCAGTTGAGCTGCACCGAAAATTTGTTGCCGCTGTCAACCAGCTTGGAATTGACAGTAAGAAAGCACCCCCCCCCCCCACCCCACTTTTTTGCCTTTCTGTAAATGTCCTTGCAGGTTTGCAGCAAACTCATTTATGTTTGTGTCCTTTTTTTTTTTTTACCTCACTGTTGATGCAGAAGCTGTACCAAAAAGAATTCTTGAGCTTATGAATGTGGAGAAACTCACCAGGGAAAATGTTGCAAGTCATCTACAGGTATAGCATTTACTTCCATGACAAAATTATCTGGGTGCCTTTTTTTTTTCTTTTCTTTTTATCCATTCATGAGAGCTCTTGAATTTTGCTCAACCGTCATCCTTTACATGTTCTTCTGTACCTTCAGTTGTTGATGCGTTTTTACTTCAGTTTATGAGGTCGTCCATCATTCATTCATTCATCAGGCCTGCACAAAGTGACAGAAAATCTCTTATCATTATACATGTTGCAAATGCTGATGCTGCACAGCATCGAGAATTCAAGATTCCACCACATGGTTGTCTGAACTCTGAAAAACTCACCATTTTATCACATCATTTACTCAACCTGCACAGAAATGTAGTACAACAAACTTCAGATCAGGATTGATCCACACAGACTGCACATTTTCTTCCCTGATGCAAAATTATCATCGATCCCGATGAACACCATCGAATCAAAGCTTCATCCACCATTTGATTTCATCAATGAAATGGAGGAGTCTGCACCTGAGCACACACGGCCACACAGCATATGTAGCTGGGTAGACCTTCACTCTACCAGAGTAAGCGATCCAGGCGGCCTCGATGGCGCCGCCGCGGCTCAAACTGGCCGGCCTCGTCGCTGTGGCAGCGGGCCAGCTAGGGGATGGCGGCGGCGCAGGGGCTCCGGCGATGGGATCTGAATCCAAACAGCAGAGAGGGTTTTGGTTGAGTTGCCACTGAACTGAACCTGCATATATTTTGGTCATCCATATCTGAAAAATGTGCAATACTTCAGATGTTTAGATCAGTATTTCCTCCAAATTCTTGCAAATATTTTCTTCGGCTCACGAAATTCTTGTTAGCATTGTTGGTTGTGAAGTGGCACACCTATAATCATGTTTGAATTTGACTCAGTCTCTCATCACCTTTTATTTAGTGTTGATGCAGTAAGAGTACTAGAACAGAGCTGATGTTTCCTACTACTTTCATGGCTAGCTAGAATTTTATGGTGTCATACAGGATAAATTGAACGAGGTTCCACCATTTTATCTTTGTTGTTCATATGCAACTAGATTTTATTAAACTGTTGAAATGCAAGAATGTGCAAACATCTCGTATGACAAATCCTAAACAATGTGCTATCTAAATCTGAAAATAGGTGATTTGCTGTTTAAAAACTCAAGTCCATATCTAATCAGTTGATTTTCATGTGACATGCAGAAGTACAGGCTTTACCTCAAGAGACTAGGTGCTGTAGCATCACAACAAGCCAGCATTGTTGCTGCCTTTGGAGGCAGAGATCCCTCCTTCTTGCATATTGGAGCATTTGAAGGACTCCAGAGCTATCAACCTTTTGCACCTTCTGCTGCTCTTCCATCTTTCAATCCACATGGCCTGCTAACCCGAACTAGCGCCGCCGCGGCTTTCGGACTTCAGGAGCTTGCTGCCCCCTCCAGCACAATTCAGACTTCTACAGGAAATGTCACAGTTGGCCATTGCTTGGAAGAAAACCAGCAGGCAAATCTAGCACAAGGCTTGACCGCGGCGATCGGGCAACCTCAGCTTCAACAGAACTGGATTCATCAAGAAGGTAATGGTCTGTCTGATGTTTTTTCTGGGAGTTCTCTGACCAACACTTTGTCCAGCACACTCCAAAGAGTTCCAAGCAGTTCATTGCCACCACAAGAACTCTTGGAGTGCAAACAAGCCAAAGTTAGCATGCCGCCATCGATACGGATACCGCCTTCTAGTTCAGCACTTCTTGAGAGGACTCTTGGGGTTTCCACCAATTTGGGAGATTCTAGTATATCCCAGCAGGGTGCTCTTCCAATAGATGGTGGATTTTCTGCTGACAGGTTACCATTGCACAGTTCATTTGATGGCGCTGTTGCAACAAAGCTAGATACTAGTTTGGCAGCTTCACAGAGAGAGATTGGCCAGCAGGGGAAATTTTCAGTTAGCATGCTTGTCTCCCCTTCTGACAATCTTGCATTAGCCAAAAATGCCAAAACTGGAGCTAGTTCTTCTGGCAGTACTATAATTCTCCCTCTTGATACTGCAAGACATTCAGACTACTTGCAGTTCGGAGGTGCAAGCAATTCTTTGCAGAAAATGGATGGACAGAAACAAGATCATATACAGAGCTCAAACATTATATGGAGTTCAATGCCAAGCACTCAACTGCCAAGTGATACCCAAATTCATAATACTCAAAACCAAAGATTGGACAGCGGAAGTTTTAACCATAATATTGGTGCCCATTTGGCTGACCAAACAAATGCAAGTGCGTCAATACTTCCGCAAATGAAGTTTGACACAAGAATATCAGAAGAGAAAATGAAGCAGAAGAATACATATGACTTGGGTAGTTCAAAGCTGCAGGGTGGATTTAATTCTAGTGGCTGCAATTTTGATGGCCTTCTCAATTCCATAATCAAAGTGGTATGAACCTCTAATTTTCCTTTCCTTTTTCCCCATATAGTTTTAAATATTTATCTACATGAATATGCTCTTCCTTCTCATTGAGTAATTTAAATTGACTCCACTGTATTTAAGCACAAAGAACAAAGGCCACTCTAAATATTAAGCTGTAAACAGTTGTAACCTACACATAAACAGGATATGCCTAGCAGTACCTAATATTTGCATTTTCCATCTTGTTTTATATTATAGAAATGTTCTTGAGCCACATTTAACTTGGTTCTAACTTATCTAATCTCCATGGGACTTTACCTTTTGCATATATTCTTCTGAAAGAAATGATGGTTTACTGAAGCCTTAATTCTAATTCCAATGCAGGAGAAGGATGATCTCCCATTCATGGACAATGAATTGGGCTGTGACCTTTTTCCACTTGGTGCCTGCATATGAATCCATCATTTCGGACACCAAAGATTTTGCATAATCTAAAAGAGTCAGCTGTGCTGCCTGATCTGTGCTACTTCATCCAGGCTTTGTGTATACTAGGATCTAGGGACAGTAGTGGCTTGTAATCTTGCTTTATCTCTTCTCTAGGGTTGGCTATGGAAGTATGGTTAGATCAAGATAAGAAGAAAATATAATGCTGTAATGTCAGCGCCTTTTCTAGTCAAAATCTGTGTTTGTTTCTAACCAAGCAACCACATCTAGTGTTTGCTGCACCTTCTCAGACTGAAAAAATATGGAAACTCACCATGGCATAGATAAATCAAAAGGGAAGTCTTTAACCATCCAAGTTTGCTACAACATTATGGTTCAATCTTGGTAAAAGGTAAACATTTTAGTTCAAAGATCGATTCCAATGCTCACTGGAATACTCAAAGATCACTAACTTCAGATGCTAATTACATGATGTAATTATCATCATCCTACTCAACGGAATCACATCTTCTTTGAGTCCTTCGCGATACGAGGTGTTGTGTAAACATCAATCAGTTTTTGCCTTTGCAGACACCATGAACAGCTTCTACTATTCTTCTCCTCTCTATCGGCTTTGTCATGTGTAGATCCATCCCAACATCAATAGCCTTCTGAAGATCATCCTCCATAGAATGAGCAGTCAATGCAATGATCGGAGTGCGAATTCCGTAGCGGCTTTCTTCCTCGCGGATGCGCCTAGTTGCTTCATAGCCATCCATTCGCGGCATCTGAAACAACAAATTGTTACTAGTAATGTCATTATCACAATAAGCCAAGCATTATATGCATGATATTTTTTTTAGTATCAAACAATGAGAAGTATCACTGTAATTAGCATAGAAAGAACAAAACAAGCTAAGGTAAGTAGTTGAAATGATAAGAGCAGATTTGTGTTGCTAGAAGGTGAAACAAACCTGGCAATCCATGAAGATGACATCATAGGGCAAGGGTACACTATGCTCTTCTGAAACACTTGCTCTCTCAATAGCATCTCTGAACATATCCACAGCCTTAGCTCCATCCCCTGCCAATTCAACTATTGCTCCTAGTTGGTTCAACATCTTTCTCTGAATAGTTTGTAGCACCAAAGTGTCTTCAACCAGCAACACATGCATGCCATCCAATGGCCTATCTTCTTCAGTTTTTAGCCCCTGATCCAAGCGTCCAACTTCAGCTAATGCAACAATATTTGCAGAATCTTGATGCCTAGTGACATAATTCTCATGGCCAACAAGAGATGATCTGTGCATAGGCGAGGACTGGACATCTCTTAGAGTCATAAGAAGAGAGTACAACCGAGACCCGTGCACCGGTTTTCGCAAGATGAGATCGCAGCTCATCTCCTCAAACCTTCTAAAATCTTTATAAGAGGTCCTCAGATCAGTCAAGCAGACAAATTTGCATGGAACTTGACTCCTCATTTGGGTAAAATCTCTTGCCTGTCTCTGAATATTCTCAAGCTGCCCATTTGACACATCAACAATGAGAAGCATGCCAAGTGGATGATGCTCTCCAAGATTGCGTGCCATGATATTATTGTTCCTCAATGTAGTTGGAAGAACCTGGCTGACCATCTCCTTGGAGCTGAAGCATCGATCGACATCACAATCATCGCGGGAGGATCGCGCCTTCTCCAATGTAGAAGAGATGGACTCAACTCCTGGGACCATCCAAACTTTCATCCCAATGCTCTCCATCCAAGCTTGCAAGACTCTTCTGGTCTCATCACCATGAACAAAGAGGATGCAATGCCAACCCTTGAAGCAGTTAGTCTCCCTGAACACTGAGGCTCGGATGTCTAATTCACTCACTGTTGATGGCCCTTCCTCTATATCTTCTTCAGCTGCTTGGTTTCCACTAGTCTTCAGAAGAACATTGAACCCAAAGCATGTTCCTCTCTCCCCTGGTTCCTTTTCTTTGATACTTATCTCTCCTCCCATCAGACGAACCTGTCAATAAAAGAATATTAGCAATCTAAAGTAGTGAAAAAACTAATCTTTCTCAAAACAATAACGTGCCATGTCATCTAAATGCGGACAATCCAATTTTTGCTCTGGATTTTGTAGACCGTTGGATCCTTCGACTGGCAAAGTATCTTTTCGACCCTTCACAAAACTTGTATCTATTTTAGTATATATGTATTCTAACGATAAATTCAGTAACATATACTTTTCAGATTATTTTTTGAAACATACTTTTCATATATCCAATACATCATATATGCATGTATAAATTTTGCTACTCCCTCCGTCCCATAATATAAGGGATTTTGAGTTTTTGCTTGTAACGTTTGACCACTCGTCTTATTCAAAATTTTTTAAAATTATTAATTATTTTATTTGTGACTTACTTTATTATCTATAGTACTTTAAGCACAACTTTTCATTTTTTATATTTGCAAAAAAAATTTGAATAAGACGAGTGGTCAAACGTTACAAGCAAAAACTGAAAATCCCTTATATTGTGGGACGGAGGGAGTAGTAAATATTCAAGGACTTCAACTAAAAATGAACATGTAGCATGCATATTTGAGAGGTGTAGGATAAAAAAGATAAAACTTACAAAGGATTGCACGATTCCAAGTCCAAGACCAGTGCCTCCATGCCCTTCTTTCACCTGAACATAGTTCTCAAACACAGACTCTCTCTTCTCCTTGGGGATCCCAATGCCAGTATCAACTACCTCAAAGTAAAACTCAACCGAGTTGGGATCATTCTGCAAAGGATTGAAAGAATTCTGCGAGACTCTGTCTTCCTTTGCTCCAAAGAAGAAGCTGAAGAAATTGTTCTCGAGGCTTCGATAAGCAAATCTCGAAGGAGCACCGATTGAACCCCTCGCAATCGGCCTATTGGCCCAAGCCCGGAGAATTACATGACCTTCTTGTGTGAATTTCATGGCATTGCCAAGAAGGTTGTCAAGGATCTGCTTGAATCTCTTACTATCACCGATGATGTTGTCGCATTTCATGACAGAGAAATCGCAGGGATCCCAGATCACTTCGATCCCTTTGGTGATGCCGACAACATTCGCCATGTCCACGGATTCTTCCAAAACGTCTGCCATGTTGAACTCCACTTCCTCCAGCTGCACCTTCCCTGATTCCACCTTAGTTGTGTCTAGTATTGAGTTCAGTATATCTGCAAAAGTTATAGCAGGTCAGTCATGAGGACATATATTGATAGGTCCAACAAAATTACTCCTAACAAAGACTTAGGGTGTGTTTGAGGAGAAGGAGATTGGGGGAGATTGGGAAGATACGTAAAACGAGGTGAGCCATTAGCGCATGATTAATTGAGTATTAACTATTTTAAATTTCAAAATGGATTAATATGACTTTTTAAAGCAACTTTCTTATAGAAAATTTTTACAAAAAACTCACCGTTTAGTAGTTTGGGAAGCGTGCGCGCGGAAAACGAGGTGCTTTCTCACCCTATATCACACAAACGAACGCAGCCTTAGAACATACTCCTAACAAAGATAATATATTTATATGTGTATATACATTCACTGGTGCAAAAGAACAAAACATTGCATTTACAGTTATTTTACATGCATGAAAATTACATATTACACGCAAGTTTTAAAACATAAATATGTTGTAAAATAAGTTGTAATAGGATATGATAAATTCCCAAAACATGTGACCTAAGCAACAAAAATGATTTTAGGATACAACTTTAAAGGCCTCTAAAGCAGCTCTAAAAATAAGTTCTAAAATTCAAATTTGCCTATGGCTTATAACTCATCGAGTAGCCAAGCAAGCACACTTTGACAGTGTAAAAATCTTAAAAATGAGTTAGCGAAGCTAACCTAACTGGAGTGCTAGGCATGTATGGTCCGTTTGGATGTAAACTAGTAAAAACTATAAACTAATAAATAATTTCCAGGATATTACTCCCTCCATCTCTAAATATTTGACACCGTTAACTTTTTTAAATATGTTTGACCGTTCTTCTTATTAAAAAAAATTAAGTATTTATTAATTCTTTTCCTATCATTTGATTCATTGTTAAATATACTTTTATGTATACATATAGTTTTATATATTTCACAAAAGTTTTTGAATAAGACGAACGGTCAAACATATTTAAAAAAGTCAATGGCGTCAAATATTTAGGGACGGAGGGAGTACTAGAATTTATCTACTCCCAAATGCTTACAGCTGCAGATCAAGGACATCAGTTAACTGCTTGACCATAATCTATACTATGATCAAGATATGCAAATGGCATAAATAAATAAAGACAAAATTAATAGACCAGGCCCAGCAAAAAGAATAAAAATAAAATAAGAGAAAAATAAATCACATGAAAAAAAAGTACGTAGCAAAGTCCAATTTAACAAAATATATTGATGTTTAAAATCTTTAAGTTTGACTTAAAAACATGTCCAAATCAATTGACATGTTCTCATGATTCCAGCATTCTGGAGACTGATAGCAAATTATACCCCCTCCGTCCTAAAATATAAAAGATTTTGGTGGATGTGATATAACCTAGAACTACGAATCTGAATAGACTTCTTGTCCAGATTTATAGTACTAGAATACGTATCATCCATCTAAAATTCCTTATATTTTGGAATGGAGGGAGTACACTTTAGCACTTCTCTTCAAAAATTGAACTAAAACCTTGACGAACCATAGAGCTAAAGTACCCAATTGATAATGGAGCAACAAACAAACAAAATCTTGTCGGCAACACAAGAAAGCATAAAACAGTAACAACAAAAGAAAAACAATACGATCAGTGGCGGATGCAGCGCCCGGCCACCACGGGCAATTGCCCTGGCTCCATGCGTACAACAACACTGCTCCAATGCATATGCAGCATATTACTCATTAATAATATACTTAATCACTTTGTCTCTTAGGTTATAATGGAGATTAATTAGATGAAAAAACAGAAACGAGGAAACAAGGACCAAACCATCAAGCTGTAGCTACAGAGACCAAACAATACAACTTACTCGAGTAGCACCTATGTTCAAGATATATACTAGCTTTATAATCTAAATTATCGGCGATAATATATTCTTGCCTAGGCTCCAAAAAATTTCTAGATCCGCCACTGAATACGATCAGGGGCGGATCTACAGTATTAGAACCGGTGTCAGGCGACACCGACGACTTTCGGTAGAATCTATAGCAAAACTGCTTAATTATCCATATGTTATAACACCATGATCTAAGTATAATTAGCATACTATGACACCGATAGACACGTTATGACACCAACGAATCGATTTTCTAGATCCGTCACTGAATACAATCATTATTATTATTTTTGTTGTTGTGCTTACCAAGCAGCTTGTTGGTGCAGAGCTCCATCTGGTTGAGGTTGTCGACGATGTTGGGGTTGGCCTCGGGGCGCGACACCTCGACGAGCCCGGCGACGGCGGCGAGCGCGGAGCGGATGTCGTGGCTGGCGCTGGCGAAGGCGTTGCTCTTGTTCATGCTCTTGCGCTCCGCCTGCCGGAGCGCGTCCCTGTGCCTCGCGAGGTCGGCGCCCAGCGCCGCCTCCCTCGCCACCGCCCGCCGCAGCGCCCGCGCCATCAGCACGCACGCCACCGTCGCCGCCGCCGCCGCCGCGCACGCCACCGCCACCATCGTCACGCCGCCCCGCCGGAACACGCCCACCATCGCGCTCTTCCGGAGCACCACCCTGAAACCCTGCAACGGCAACGCACGAGCCAATCCAGAGCAGCATGGGTTAATTAGCTAGACTAGCTCGATCGAGAAATCATCGAAGCATGCATGTGTGCATGGACGTACGTACGCAGCTAGCTAGGACACGCACGTATGAAATTTTATGAAATTTGAATTTGTTGTTATGGAAATATGGAGATGATATCTGCATTAAGGAAAGGAAATCAATCAAATTAAGTATATGATATCTCGTCTTCCAGATCTCTTTACCGTATATTACTATGTATACATCCTTATTGGTATATATGCCAACGCTGGTTTGGCACCAGTTTAGTTTGCTTGCAGTATTATGCTGAAGTGAATTTCTAACATTTGAAAGTTCGAAAATATAACAGGTTTGAAACATTAGGGAATGTTCAATGGTAGGGTACAATATAAGATTATTTAGTAGAGACCATGTTCGTATTAAAGCTAAGATAACAAAAACTCTAACCATTAGTTCTCAATACATATTTTTTTTCACCAAATGCAACCATGTTTTCATTTTATAGAGGCTAATAGTCTATGTAAAATGCTCTGTCTCCCATCTTTCTCTTTTCCATATTAACAAAAATTTCTAATTAATAAGGCTAAGAACGCCCTCCATTAAGGATTATCGTATATGCCCTTTAGGGCATGTTCAATGGTAGAGACGAGTATGGTCTCTTAAACAATACAATATTATTTAGAGACCCTGTCTTTACAATAGTTGAGACGACAAATGCTCTAATCATTAATTCAAAAAATATTCCTTTGGTTAATATTCTTTCCATTTTCTTACCCTCATGCAACCATATTTTCATATTATAGTGATTAAGAGTCGTTATTAAGCTGTTGTCATGCATAACAACGATGTTTTGTCTCTCCTCTTTCTCTTTCCTCCATGTCAACAAATATTCCTAATTAGCAACGCTAAGAGACCACTATTGACAACCATTGTACATGCCCTTAGCCAGTTTATTTGAAAAAGTAAATTAAGCAGCGACTATGCACTTAATTAATGAGGCAGATCAATGTACTCCGGATAGATAGAAATCAGATTAAATCAAATTAAATTAAATTAAATTAAATTGCCTCACGCACCATTTGTACTCCGGATATGTCAAAGTTGGTGCACGCGAATCTGTACTTGTCAGACTTGACACCGTGCACGTCGAGCTTGGGCGGCGCGTCAATGGCGGACGCGGTGCACTTCACGCTCGAGAACAACGCCATCTCCTCCGCCGCGGCGCCGTCGCCGAGCAAAGATCTATATGCCGCCGGCTCCGGTGCTGGTGGTGCGGCGGTGGCGCCGCCGTTGCCGGCGACCGCGTAGTACATGCCCAGGTCACGGAGCTGCCTAAGGCCGGCGGCGCCACGGAGGACGACGTCGTCGACGGCCACGGCGGCGGAGACCGCGCCGCCGCCGCCGCCAACCGGGGCCGAGAGGAACAGCATCCGCACGCCGGGGCGCGCCCACCCGTCGGCGAGAGACGCGCCGCCGCCGCCGCCGTCGAGCAGGAGCCGCGTCACGTTGGGCGGCAGCTGCTGGTGCGGCGCCGCCGCCGTGGCGTTCCCGACGGGCCGGCCGGTCGCCGGATCAACCGCCTGGGTGAACCACGTGCCGTTCGGCCTCGCGAACATCGCTCTCGCCTCGCCGTCGCCGCCGCCGGCGCGGTAGTAGGCGAAGGCGGCGCCATCGACGGCGGCGTAGGAGATTTGAGCTTGCAGCGGCTGCATGGAGAAGGCCAAGAACAGCTTGGGTCCCACCTGCAAGTCAGACACGGACAACCATGCAGTACACGATTACAAAACGACATTTGAGTGTAATTTTTACAGTAATAATGTTGTTGCTTACATAATATTATTGTTATTTCTTAGTGCAAAATAAAAAAAATAAAGATATAATGATATTGGAAACATGAAGAGTTTAAGCAGCATTAATATACTGAATCAGTACAGATATCACTTGCTGATATTTGCTATATATTCATATATACAGAGACAAGAAAAATCACTGAGATTCTTATTTTAAAGAGGAGATATCCCCGTTAAATGAAATCGACAAGAATACCATTTATATCAAGGTTAGTCACCGCAAGAAAATTAATAAAACACGGTTTTAATTTCTTGTGTGTTTCTTAAAAAAAACTAAAAATAAGGATAAAAAAAATGACAGGTACATACATGAGAAAAGGAAGCCATGTTGCCCTGAACATGCAAGGTGTTGGCAATGGTGAAAACTGAGCGATTTGCTTCAAGAAGAGGTCGCATGTTGCCGGCGATGTGCATCAAAGCCGAATCCATGGCGCCCTTGGTGGCCTCACCCATCACCTCTGTCATGTACATCGTAGAGGAGCAGAAGGTGACTACTGTGATTGTCATGCATGTTGCAATCACAGCCTGCACACATATGAGAATGTATGAGAAAGATAAAATTGGGGATAAAACGCATAATTTCAGTATTCTTCGGATTTTCCCTGTGTTAGCTATACTTATTAACAATCTAGATTTATAGTCCCCTAAGTGACACCGAAGAAAGCACACGGGTACCAACAGATATCGATTGAGAATTGGTAACGCTCCTGCCCTCTTTAAAGGGAAGTCCAAAACAAATCGTTAAAATACATATTTTTATATTTAATATGTCGGGATCCTATCTCTTAACATGAAGAATTTTAAAATAGCGTTACTGCGCGCCTTTGGGGATATGGTGTGTGGGTGGATGGGCGGAGAGTGATGAGGATGCTACACACGCGGATAACAAATGTTTCCCGCGTATCTCTGCAGATACTTCATCATAAACAATATATATATTCATGTGAATATTCCAGCCTCCACATATATATGAAATCAAAAGGGAGATAACCTATAAGACCCAGAAAAAAGGGAGTTGTTCCTTACCAACGGGAATAGGATCCAGAAGTAGCAGCAACGGCGTCTCCATTTGCTAACTTCTTCTACCTCCCTCATGGTCAAAAGAGAGCACAATCTGTGTACTTGGGAGAGCAGTAGGAAAGATGAGCTTTTTATGACACAACACCTTGATGCATTGTACTACCATTTTATACATGCCAAATAGGAAAATATATATTAGGAAATTTTTTTTAAAAAAATGTTTTTCTCAATACCGCCAACGGTTTGGAGAATACGTTTGGTGGTATTCATGTATAGTGGTTTTCATGATATTTAATCCGCCAGTAGCCCAACAACGCTAGAAATGTCAAGGTGTAAAAGAAACCATAAACACTAAGATCTCCAATTAATTGAGGCAAATTTTAACACTTATTAGAACAAGTTTAATAGTATAGCCAACTACTAGCTTTAATTCATCTATAGCCAATCTAATAGCTCATCCATACAATAGTTACATACTATACTATTAATATATGGTCACATCTGTCATACACACTGCGTCTAATATATGGTCACATCTGTCATACACACTGCGTCTTGGAGTCTGTGCTACAGCAGGTTACAAATATGTAGCCCGCTGCTATTCTCGCTCCTTATTTATCTTCTTAAAATATATTTGCAGCTGGCTTATAGCCTGCTATTGTACCTGCTCTTAGTTGTAGTACATACGTGTGGGACCCACCACAGGTGGCATTAGTTGTGATAAACTCCAATGCTCGTGGACGTAGTAGAAAATAAAGTGGGTCCCAATAGCATCTCTCTCTCCACACGTGTGGCACGGGCGTGCCGCGTGCGGCTGCATCGACGAGCAACAGAGGCGAATGGCGCCATTGCTGCATCATGCTCTCTGCAGTTCGTCGTCAGAAGCTAGCAGCCACCGCCTCGATCGTGCATATGAAAGCAGAGAAGCAGGTAGTATGATCATCTCCTACCTCCCTGTTGATATGTGATTGAATGATTGGATGATGGTATTAGAGGTAGTTGATGTCATGATTTTGTTGCTCGATCGAGGCAAGTTCTATGCATGTGGCTGGATTCATTTGATATTTTGATGCAAACTGTTAAGAGTTATATTTCATGCAGGTAATATATATTTATTTTGATATATACTCTCGCTTAGCATTTTCTTTGCGGATTAATTCCTCTCGCTTTCCTCTTCCGGTTGTGATTCTATAAGCCGGTTTGAGATGAATAAGCCAGTGATTTCGTGATCAATCGATATCGCTCCACGTTCATTGGTCTCACATGGTATCAGCTAAGGTTTTGATTCCTGGCTTCCGCTCTCTCGCCACGATCAACTCCCAACGACACGTGAGACCTCTAATTTCTCACCGACTTTTGCGTCTTTCGCCGCATATATGTGTATCTTGTGATTAAATCTGCAGTTGCAGAGACTAGTACTACTAAATTAGTTCAGGTTGTTGATTAGTTATTCATAAAAAAAAAGAACAGATCTGAATTACATAATTTTGCGCTTTTCCCTTCCCTTTTAGCCTCTCTTTTGCTTTCTTATGTTCATTAGAGTGCTTCATTTTGTTTGATGATTCTTCTTCAGTATCTTGATTTGATGATGATGTGTAAGCTCCTGACTCAGAAATCCTAGTTCTCTTGTTCTTGTCATCCCCTTTTTGATAATGCTACGTGCAGGTAGTCCATGTCTTCACAGACATGTCTATTTCATCGAGTCTCTCCGGTTGATCCTTGAGCTCTCTCTACATATACTCTAAGGTGAAATGTTTCTCATTTAACTTGTTCTTGTATCATGCATGAGCTTTCTCCATGATAGTGTCATCAAAGTGTCCACTGGTATATGTATTTTTTAACTTGAGCATAGACACTACAAAACTTTGCAATATCCTACTTAACATTACCCTAATGTGTCTTTTGGCGTCGAGATTACGCTAGAGATCATCACAAGTGCATTCTCTCTTCATAAAAAAAAAGATAATTTCTAGGGACGAATCTAAATAACCATTTATCTATGTTTGTCCTTAGAAGTTGATTTTTTGGGACGGAGGGTGTACATGAGAAAAGGAAGCCATGTTGCCCTCAACGTGCAAGGTGTTGGCAATGGCGAAAACTGAGCAAATTGCTTCAAGAAGTGGTTGCATTTGCTGGTGAGGTGCATCAACAAGGTGGCCTCACTCATCAAGCCATCACCTCTGTCATGTACATCGTAGTGGAGCAGAAGGTGACTATTGTGATTGTCATACATATTGCATTCACGGCCTGCATATGAGGAAGATGAAATTGAGGATAAACTGCATAATTTCAATATTCTTCAGATTTTCCCTGTATTAGCTAATAGTAATTAACGATTCGGATCTATTGTCCTCTACAGCGACACGAAAAAAATCACATGAACATCAAAAGATGTCGACTGATGATTGGTAAATGATGACACTCCTACCCTCTTTAAAGAAAAGTCAAAAACAAATCATCACATTAGTTAGTTTTTCATTTAATATGTCGGGATCCTATCTCTCAATGTGTAAAGTGTTATATACTCACTATAGTATTTCCAAAAAATTCAAAAATAGTGTTATTTGTACGTCTTTACGGATATGGGGTGTGGGTGGTAGGAAGTGACTAGAAGGCTACGTATGCACACGGACCAAAATATTTCCCGCGTATTTTTGCGGATACTACATCGTAAACAATATATATGCATGTGAATATCCTAGCTTCTACAAACAAATGAAATCAAAAGGCAGATAGGCTACAAGATCTAGAAAAGCCATTCAAGAGTTGTTCCTTACCAGAGGGAATAGGATCAACAAGTAGCAGCAACAGAGTCTCCACTTTCTAGCTTCTTCCACCTTCCTCATGGTGATCCGTCAAAAAGAGAGCGCAATCTATGTACATGGCAGAGCAGCAAAAAGCTGAGCTTTTTCTAACAGAACACCTCGATGCGTTTTACCCATTTTATACATGCCAAAATAGAAAAATATATATTAGGAAATATTTTTTTTAAAAAAATATTTTTCTTAATACTGCCAACGGTTCAGAGAACACATGTAACGGTATTCATGATATTTAATCAGCCAGTAGCCCAGCAGCGATAGAAATGTCAAGGTGTAAAAGAAACGAGATACGATCTCCAATTAACTGAGATGAATTTCAGTTATATGGGTGCTCGTGGAATTACGATCCGTACGTGCAATAGTTAGATTTCCTCAAGTGTTAGGGACCGTTTCACACGTCATGACTGTACACGTGGCACAACATGCATGTGTGCATGTTTTTCAAACTGCTAAACGGTACATTTCTAATGTTATCATCTTGTGTATAGGAAATAGGGTGATTGACTAGTGCATAATTAATTATGTATTATTTTTTTTAAAAAAAATAAACTAATATGTTTTTTCTACAACAACTTTCCTATAAATTTCTTTACAAAACACACAATTTAATAATTAAAAAATATGAAAACTAGAGATAGAAGATGATAAGGGGAGCATGAAACACACCTAAGGCTGAGTTTGTCAGGAGGAGATGGAAATAAATATTATGCACACGGAACGGTCCATTAGCATGTAATTAATTACATATTAGCTTTTTTTTTCAAAAATGGATCAATATAATTTTTTAAGCAACCTTCGTATAAAAACTTTTTTGTAAAAAAATACATCGTTTAATAGTTTAGAAAACATGCGCACGGAACACGAGGGAGAAGAGCTGGGAACACAGGCTGCCGAACACAGCCTAAGGCCCCGTTCACTTCCACTACAAAAAGTGGATAAAGTCTTGGATATTCGTGGTACGCTTTTCAAACTGCTAAACGGTGCATTTCGTGCAAAAACTTTTTATATAAAAGTTGGTCTAAAATATCAGATTAATTTATTTTTTAAGTTTGTAATAATTAAAACTCAATTAATCACATGTTATTACCACCTCGTTTTGCATGAAACACTTAATCTTTATTTTCATCTTCATGTTTAGGAGATTCAAACACCACATAAATCGTATCCTAGACAGGGACAGATGACATATCCTCTGCGTTTTCTACAAAACTTACAAATATTCTTTTGTACCAAAAAAAACTTACAAAGATTGTTGTTTGGCCTTTGCTTTGGTAAAAATATCATGCTATCCATCACGACAAACTATTGACTCCAAGACCTTACCAACACTAGCACATGGACATGGTGCCTCGTTGCGATCTGTCAGCTTATCGGTTATTTGTGTGGAAGCATTTTTTTTTTGTTTGTTTGTCTCTTTCGTTCATGGTTTCTGTTTTCTCCAACCTCTTTACGTCTTCCAGGTTGAGGTTGATGGATATTTGATCGAATGGACGATGCAAGAAATGAGAAAAATCAACTATTCGAGAAGTAATCCTGGTCTTCTGAGGATAATTATTTACTCCCCGTGATGTATCTAGAACGAAAATTATGAGAGATCCTTATGCTAAATTATCAGGGTTCCTTAGCTGACCCATGCAGTAGTCTTATCCAATTTAAATTGGTTAGTGTGTCCTTCATGGGATAAATATGTACTCTATCGGTCCCAAAATATTGCAGCTTTTAGCCTTTAGAATTTTCTCAAAATATAAAAACTTCTCCACCAATATTCGTTTCTCAATCAATCACAACCCTTCACCATTCGATTTCTTCACCTACCTCCACTTCTTAACCAATCACAATCTTCCACCATTTAATTTTACCTAATTTCTTAAAAACCGTGTCCAACTCTAAAACTTTTTAGGCTATAGCCAACGAAAAGAAGTGGCACTTACCTCTAGCCTCCCACGTTGGACGCGAGGTCAAAAGGCAGCTAAGAGCAAGCGTCTGCGAGGAGGCTCGAACCTCCTGCCCACGCCATGCACCCCTGCGTGAGGCGCCGCTCTAAGGCAAGGGTTCGAGCCGTGGCTCGTGTTGTGTAGCTCGAGGCCTCTCGGTTGTGCAGCTTTACACGCTACTAAAAAACGGTTTTTCATAGCGTTGCACAATAATTTTCGCTGGCGGTTATATGCAAAAACCACCACTACAAATATAACGAGGGGTGAGGGGTTACGGACCGCCAGCGAAAATTGGTTTTCGCTAGCGGCCACGCTAAGAGGCCCGCCATAAAAAATAGCTCTATTTTCGCTGGCGGCCGCGCTAAGAGGCCCATCATAAAAAATCGGGTTTTCGCTGGCGTCCGATTTTCGTTGGTGGCAGGTAACATCACCGTCAGCGAAATAAAATTTAACGCTATAAAATCAACGGCCCCACACCAGCCTCATCCTTATCCTCCACTCCCTCCTCCCTCCAACCCTCTCTCCTCCTCCTGCCTCCACTCCCTCTCTCCATCCAACCCTTTCTCCCTCCACGGAGTGCGCGGCGAACGCGGCGGCGAGCTCGGGAGCAGGCGGCGGTGCTCGGGAGTGGGCGTGGTGGCTCTCGGGCGCGGGCACAGGCAGAGCTATGGCGCGGGTGCGGCGGCGCTCGGGAGCGAGCGGCGGCTCTCTGGCGCTAGCGCGGGCAGAGCTCGGGCGCGGTCGCTGGCTGTCACACCCCGAAGTTCTCCTCCCAAGCCTAAATTTAATTTATAAATGACCCTAAGAAAATACCGGTGCAAAGCAAGAGTAAGCCCTTTTAAATCAATGCAAATAATAATCGGAATTGGCATGTGGAATTTTTCTTGAGTTCTACATGTCGAAATTCACTAACAGAATTTTTAGTGGAATTTTCAGAGCCCTAGAAATAATTTTAACCAATTAAAATTGAGCAAGCAATATTTTAATTGCAGGGAAAATCCTTTTTCCTTTTTCTTTTTCTTTTTTTTCCTCCCTTTTTCCTCCCTTTTTCGAAATGGGCCGCTGGCCCATTCTCTCCTTTCCTCCCCCTCCTCCCTGCTGGGCCGGCCGCAGGCCGAGGCCCAACCAAGCCGCTCCTCCCTCCTCTCCCGGGGTCGCCGACAGGTGGGGCCCACCTATCGGGTCCTCCCCCAACCCCGCCGCGCGCGCCCTCCTCCTCGTGGGCCGGCCCAAGCCGCCCTCCCTCTCTCCCCGGGACGCCGACAGGTGGGCCCCACCTGTCGGAGCCGTCCCCTTCCTCCAGCCGGCGCCGCCGCGCCCGCAACCGCCGCCGCACCCACGCCTCCGCCTTCTCCGGGCCACGTCAGCCACGTCCGCGTGTGCGCCGCATCTCCCGCGCCCACTCCCCTCTCTCTCCCGCCCGCGCCCGCGCCCGAGATGGCCGGGATTCGATTTTCGAATCCCGCCTCTCTCTCCTCCCCCACTCCCCCACGTTGGCCGGCGGAATCCCGCCTCTCCCGGCCACGTCCGGCCCTCCCCTCCCCTATTTAAGCTTCTCCGTCGCCCCCTCTCGCTTTTTCCCCATTTCGCCGAACTCTCCCGAGCCTCCCATCGCTCCCGCGCCGTGCAACCACCCGCCGCCGCCGTTTCCGCTACTCCGGCCGCCGCTAGCCGCCGCTAGGCTCGCTGCCGCACCGCGCCGTCGCCGCCGTCGGGTTCGCATGGCCGAGATCCACCCCGTCCACCCCTCCTTCGTCGAGGTCCGCCGCCGGAGCGCCATTCCCATCGTGCGACGGTGAGGGTGGCCATGTCCGCCGCCTTCGGCCGGCATTCCCGTCTCCTATGGCCCCTCTCTTCCTCTCTAATCTATTTCTTTTCGTTTTTAGGTCGTCCCGGTCGCCGTCCGCCGCGTGTCGACCTCCCTCCGTCGCTCCTCGTCGCCGGTCGCCGCCGTCCCCTCCGGTGAGGACTTCCTCCCCTTCCCTTTCCTTTCCCGATTCCCCGTGCGTCGCCGCCGCCCGCGCTCGCCGTCGCCTTCGGTCGCTGCCGCCGTCCGCTGCCGCCGATCGCTGCCGCCGCCCGCGCCGCCGCTTGCCGTCACCGGTGGACGCGCGCGCGTGCCGCCACCCTTGCCATGGCCGGCCGGCCGGCCTTGTGCCGAGCCGAGCCGAGCCGGGTGCCGCCGCCCCGTTCCTTCCCACCCCAAGCCGCTGACCGGTGGGCCCGCGTGCCGGCGCCCTTCCTCCCTCTCCCGAGCCGCTGACCGGTGGGCCCCGCATGTCGGCACCGCCCCCTCCGTGCTGACGTCAGCCCTGGGATTTATTGCGCAATAAATGATTTAAGGTTTTTCTTTTATAGTAATAAACACAGTGAATCTTCTAAAATTCATAACTAATTCATCCGAGCTCCGTTTAAGCCCATTCAAGTCTCAGTAAATCAAGAAAAATGTGTAGAATCCACTAAAAATGGTTTTGTTCCCTGTTTCAGTAGTCTTATAGCATGTTTGCAATGTTTGCCTTGTATGTCGCTAGATTCCAGTTCCTCCGACGCTCCGGTGTTCTTCGAAATAGTCGCCGAGGTTCTTCCAGCAGCAGAGCAAGGCAAGTCATGCTTGTCACTTGAACATGTTGATCCTATATTGCAAATGCTCTATTGTTTTCTTTCAAATATTGCATTGTTTTATAATATTACTATGGGTTGTTTACCTATTGTCATAGCCATGCTATTGTTGTACCATGTTTCTTTGTCAACTTGGGGTTATAACATGATTAGAGTTAGGACTAGGGATTGCTTAGCCATGCTTAGTTCAACTAGTTCACATTGGGGAAAATCCTATTAATGTTTAGACTGTTGGTTCTAATGGTTTTGTTGGATTAGTAACACCGCTTTGGTGTTGGTTAATTAAAATAAATCACATGGTGGGCCGTGGGTGCATGGTTTTGCTGGTCGCACCCATGGCAGTTAAGGACCGGTTCGCGGGATGCCCTGGAAGAACTTATCGTACTTACCACAAGCCAGCATGGGCAACGGCTGGGCTTGTAACGTAGCTTTCCTCTAGCCGACGCATCCAGGCAAGGGTGGGCGTGATGGAGTTTGGATGGGCCCTGCGACGGCCTATGCGGCTTCCGGATTCACCTAGGCACGAGAGGGGACTGCCCGCTGCCTTGCGAGGAGTGGGGATGAAACCTGAGGTGTGGTGTGCTTGGTTAGAGGGGGTTATGCGAAGGGTCCTGTCACGGCCTCTTTCCGATATGTCGTGGTGGCATGTCGGCGCACGGAAACGTGTTGTGGGGCTGTGTCTTGTGGGTACAGTTGTACACCTCTGATCAGAGAAAAACTATTCGAATAGCCGTGCCCGCGGTTATGGGCGGTCAACCAGATTCACCGTGATTAGTCTCACCCTAGTGTAATCTTTTGAATTTGGATAGTTTAGGTGGCTGGTTGGGCCTGTTGCAACGTGGGATAGCGTTGGACAGTGGATAGTTAATACTAATTAATTTTTACGACTGTTTAATCTTTCAACTTCTGTTTATAAATGCTCGCCTTATGCAAATGAACCGCTCTAGCTCTTCTTTGATAGTTCCGTGCATCATACCCCTATTCCGGTATGACTTGCTGAGTACAGTAGGTAGTACTCAGTCTTGCTCTATTTTTTTCCAACCTCAGAGTACGAGTATGTGTCAGATGAAGGTTTCTCCGAGGAGTAGGCTTCGTCTGTACCGTCGAGGATGCCTGTGGAGTGGTGTTCCCGCTGCAGTTCTAGTCAAGGCTTAGCTCCTGTTGTCTTTCGTTCTTTCCGCTGCATTTATGTAAGACTTTTATGATGTTTGTAAGACGTGGATCTGAATGTCAACATTGTCGTTTGTGTACCCCGGCCGGTCCTGGACGGTGATTTTAATGCACATTCTGCTTGGAATTCTATTCGGGAATTTCTGGGCGTGACACTGGCGGAGCTCGGGTGCAAGGGGAGGCCGGATTCGCCGCCGCCAGGCCGCGGGGAGGCCGGATCCACCGTCGTCAGACCACGGGGAGGGTGGCATCGTCGTCGACGCCGTCGACCGTGCTGCCTGGATCCCTCCTCTCCGACCTCGACGTCGTCGACCGTGCTCCCACGGCTCCCTCCTCTCCGAATGTGCTGTTAGATTTGAATTTTTCTTTTTTTTTGGCATGTTGTTCCAGATGATGCACATGTTTTGATCTGTGTAAATGATGTTTGATCTGTGCTAATGATGATTTTGCATTGGCAAAATTTGCTACAGGACATCCAAAAAACATGTAATTAGCTGGAGGACACCGTAAAAACGTGTATTTGGTGTAGTGCATCGTAAAAAACTGATAATTGGCTGCTGGACACACGTAGCATTATTTTATTATTTTTAGAGGAAAAGGAGAGAGAAACAATGATTAAAGACAAGTTTGCCCTTGGCTCAAATGACTCCAACGTGGGCCCCACATGGAAGTCCCCTCTCCCTCTCCCTCTCCTTCTTCCCAGACAGTCCGGGTGGCGGAGCGGCGATCCGCGGCTGCGGTGCTGACCACGTTCTCCATCAGGAGGGGGGGTTTACGTGCAGCCACACCGCCGCGCGCTGCCGGCCGTCGGCGCTCATCTGCGTGCTCAGCTCGGCGATGAGCTGCGCGCTCAAGTGCGGCGGCGGTGGCCCGGCGCTCGTCTCCCTCTCGGCGTCATCGTATTTACGGTGTCCTACAACAAATACACGTTTTTACGGTGTCCTCCAGCTAATTACACGTATTTTGGATGTCTTGTAGCAAATTTTGTCTCGTGTATTTCGTGTTTAAATTTGGAAATGAGCAGCGAATCTAGATGCGGATTTGAATTTTGAAATTAATGAATCAATCGGCAGTTGTATGGGTATTTTTCGCTGGCGGTTGTGCAGCTGCATGGGTGTTTCTTTTTGGCTCAAAATAGATTTTCACTGGCGGCCGATTTAACACAGCCGCTAGCACGCTGGCGGCTGGCTTAAGACGACCGCCAGCGAAATTGAATTATCAGTAGCGGTCAATAACCGTAGCGAAGATTTTGATCTTCACTGGCCTTTGCTTCGTGGGGGCTCTAAATTTCGCCAGCAAAAATCTAAAATAGCCACCACGAAAGATAATTTTTGTAATAGTGATATTGAATAGGACCCACCTATGGATATTGCCTCTATTGAAGAAATAAGCTTCCTTGTATAGACTTGACCCACCTAGTAAACGAGTTACAATCTACGTTGGTCATAGCCTTATATTTTGGAACGGAGATAAGAGTTTATAACTGTAAAAATATTTTACCGGTCCGGTGTGTAGAAACCCCTGTTGGCGTTACTAGGTACGCCTCTCACTGTTAAAAAAAAATATCCTGAGAGGCTGAGTGTCTGAGACACAGCTAGAGTGATCCATGGATTATCTGCAAAGTAAGTATATACAACGCGTAAATACGAGGAAAGCCAAGACGGACGACGCGTAGTGAACGAGTCAAAGCCTGAGATGGCTCAAGAAAGTAGCTGCCCCGCGCGCGCGACGGCGATGGCGACGACGCGCGCGCTACCGTATCCTTCTTTCTTCCGCCGCCGTGACTTGATCCCTACTTCCAATCAGCTACTAGACTTCCGCTCCATGTAAACGCCTGAGCACGCGCGACTCACGTGCGTGCTCACGTCACCTCACCGCCCGGCGCCCGCCATGGCCATCATGCACGCGCGCTTCGAGGTCTCCGACGTCGTCGGCGGCGACGGTTCCAGCAGCGGCGGGAGCAGCCCGGCGTCGGTCTCCGGCCCGTCCGACAGCGACGGATCCAGCTGCAGCAGCAGCAGCGCCGCCGACGAGCTATTCCCGGACGCGCGCGAGCTTCCCTCCACCTCCGCCTCTGTGCCGGTGCTCGCCGGCGTCGGCTTCCACCCGATCTCTCCGACGTCGCTGTCCGTGCTCTCCGACATCGACGTGCACATGCAGCGCATGGCGCGTCTCCTCCCGGCCTTCGCGTCCCCCGCCGCCGCGCCGCGCGCCCAGGCGCTGGGTCGGTGGCTCGCCGGGTTCGACGTCGGCTGGGTGCTGGAGATGGACGCCGGCGGCGGCCGGCTCCCGCGGCGGGAGGTCGGGAGGAGGGTGAGGGTGTGGGCGCAGGCGCTGAGCACCATGGACCGCGTGTTCCGCCTCCGGCACCGGGAGGCGCGCAACCCGGCCAACGAGGCCGCGGCGGCGCAGCTCGCCGCGCTCGGCGAGCTGGCGTCCGCGAGCGCCGGCGCGATGCTGAGGCTGGCCACGGCCGTCGCGGCGCTCGGGGCCTCGCCGTCGGCGCTGCTCGCGGCGCTCGACGTGTACGTGCCGGTGTCGGAGGCGTACCCGGGCCTCGCGAGGATGTTCTCCTGGAGCACCGCCGCGGCCGACGCGGCGCTCGCCGCGCTGGTGGACGCCGCCCGCCGCTGCGTGCGCGGCCTCCCGGCGTCCATACGGTCGCACTACCCGTGGCGGATGCCGCAGGGCGGCGAGGTGCACCCCTGCGTCGGGTTCTGGATGGGCTACTTCCGCTGCATGCTGCGCAACCGCGTCTCCCTCTACCTCGTCCTCGCCGGCGGCGACGGCGGCGAGACAGCGACGACGCCGGCTCTCGCGCCCGGCGGCGAGGGAGGCCTAGTGGCCGACCTGATCTCGCGCCTGGAGGCCGTGCTCGAGGAGAAGTCCGGCGAGCTCGCGTTCCCGGGGCTGAGGCAGGTGTTCATGCTGAACAACACGCACGCCATCGTGCGCCGCGCCGTGCGCTCCGACCTCGCCATGTTCCTGCCGCCGGGATGGACGCGCGCCCGGGAGGAGCGCATGGAGGGCTACGTCAAGAGCTACCTCGACGCGTCGTGGGCGCCCGTCGTGTCTCGCCTCGCCGCCGCGGCGACAAAGCCGGCCGCCGTGAGCGTGCTCCGGCGGCGGCGAGACCCGCTGGCGGCGTTCAACTCGGCGCTGGAGAACGCCTGCAGCGCGCAGAGATGCTGGAAGGTGCCCAGCCCGGTGCTCCGCCGCGTGCTCCGGCGAACCGTGTCGGAGCACGTCGTGCCGGCGTACCGCCGGTGTCTCGAGGCGGCTGAGACGCCCGCCGCCGCGCGCACCGTCGAGGAGCTGGAGCGCCAGCTATCGGAGTTGTTCGAAGGGTAGAGTAAAATTTTGCGCTGTTGCTTTTGTTGATAAAACAAAGCGGCAGCTTCTGCAGGTTTATGCATATCTTGGATTTGGATTGTTTTTAGATCATTTTTCTGATGCATTTCGAATACTCAGTTCTGCAGAAGGATAGATTGATGATAATTAGTTAATTGCTGTATATATACCAAGCAATACATAATTAGCCAGGATATACAGTAGTGCCAGCCAGACAAAACTGTGATAAACCAATACTCTGAAAAGGATTATTTGCAATTGACGGAAAAAAGACTGAATTTGCTACAGAATCTGAACGCCTAAAGAGATAGCAAATACAAATCGGATGCAATTCAATACGAATCTGTGTGGTTTGTGATATACTGGCAAGATTTAATCCAGGAATGCTGAGATCATGAGCTAGAAATTTGAAGGCATACAATTTACAAGGCTTCTAGTCGATGATGATTTACTACAAATCTTTCAACCACCTTGCCTTCTAAATTTATCAAAAGGGACTCCTGCCAAGATATCCAAAGAAGTTGGATGGAAATTCTGATGCAAATTGATACCCGAGACAGAAGAAAACGAGAAAGCGTCAGTATGAAGCCACAAACTCACCATCTCAAGAAGGTTGACTATATGCAGGAGGAAACCATCTGAGCTTGTAAGGTCATCAGGGCTGGGATTTCCAATATACAGCATTGAATTGTCTTGACGGAAGTAACCACAATGACCTCCCGTGCTAATATATGCATTCTGTATCATATAGGAATCAATTACATGCTATATCATCAATGTGAAGCTCTAAGATCATCAGCAAAAAGTGAAGGGAATGGGAGTTACCACTTACCACTCCATATTTTGCAAAAATACGCTGAAGAGGCTCATACAACTTTGTTGTTTCCAGTGTGTGCGCCTCAGCACAAACAAAGAATGGATCATATCCAACAACTATTTTCCTGTCTTAAAGTACACTGTTGTTACTGTTACGACCCATTGAAACCAGCATATATGCTTAAGAGGTCCTAGGTGTGAAGCATGATGTCAAGGCTAACATTCTAATACTATAAAGATACCACAATATAAACATGATGTCGCTTATGTATGCTACTAAACAATTCATTTGTATAGTATATATGCATGTTGGGAGTTTGCATTTCCATTCCAGAAAATTTTACGCTAAAATTTTACGCTGCAGATCCGTTAGAAACAGCTTCAACAATAACACACAAAATTGTATAACCAGTAGTGAACACTCACCAGTTACTGCTGGTTGCCGCTATTGATTGCTCTAGCCATTTAATTTGTTCCCTACTAGAAGCTCTTATTTTCCCATCATGAATAGGTTCCTAAAACATATGCAGTTACGAACAGAATCAAATTTATAACTACAGTCATATTGTTTATAGCTAAATGCCCATGCTTTGCTACGGGAAAATATACATTATATTGCCTAAAATACATAAAAATAAATATATTTATCATGAAGTGTTATGATGTTACCCATCATTTTTCTATAGGGAATAATAGTAACCTTAATTTGATCTTATATATGGCTATACATTTAGATTTGATTGTTTCTTAACATTAAGAAGTTCAAAGGGTAGTTTGCAAAATTTACAATGGGAGTAGGTGGGGTAGCAGATTCACTGCCACCACCACTATCTTCTTTTAAAGGAGTATAGATTGTGTCCAAGTTATTTACAAAGTTCTAAACACAAATAAAAACAACGCTAGTAAAGAATATTAGAAAAATGGAAAGAACTAGTAGGCGCGTTTGCAAGGAGGTGTTGAAATAGTTAGTACATTGGACTTACAATCGGGGATGTAAATTAGAGGCCATTAAGAAAAGATAGAATAATCAGTTAACCACTATTGCTCTTGATGCTAACATAATTAGTGAATAGTATTGTTTGTCAGATAAGGCTGCCTAGCATAAGAAACTAAAAAATGTTGAGAAATAAAAATAATACCTGTAAAGACCCTGTGTCCATACCAATAATTTCTAGACTTTGATCATATGGCATCATCACTCTCTTCAGAAAATTACCAATGATCTGTCCATGGGATGATGTAGTGGAATACCTGAAAAAGATGAAGTTTTACACGTTGTAATGTGCATATGGCTGTGTTCGCCATTTCCAGTTCCCAGTACTCTCGGAAAACGGAGCGGTCCATTAGCGCGTGATTAATTAAGTATTAGCTATTTTTTTAAATAGATTAATTTGATTTTTTAAGCAACTTTCGTATAGAAACTTTTTGCAAAAAACACACCGTTTAGCAGTTTGAAAAGCGTGCACGCAGAAAACAAGGGAGATCGGTTGGGAAAATGGGGTGCCGAACACACCCATAAGAATGCAACCATATAACCATACTGCCATTGTTAAATTTATTAATGACGAGTAAGCTAGCAAGAAAGCGGAAACAACAAGCATACCAGGGGATCTTCAGAGCCTGGAAGTACAGGGAACCCTGAAAGAAACAAAAAGAAGGAACTTCAGAACATTTGGGCCGAGTTTAGTTCCAAACTTTTTCTTCAAACTTCAAACTTTTCCATCACATCAAAACTTTTCTACACACATAAACTTCCAACTTTTCCGTCACATCATTCCAATTTCAATCAAACTTCCAATTTTGGCGTGAACTAAACACACCCTTGGTTGAATTACTTGGACCAGCTCAAAACTCCATTGTACCTATTACTACTTAGTGTACTGTCAGAACAAGTTAGTTGCTTACATTTTGCCAAAGTGGGTCTTCCTCCCCTAGCTGAGCAACATCCACCACAAACTTGACTTTATAGGCCTTTGCTATGCTCTCCATCTTCACAGAAAACAGAATGATTAGAAAAGCAAATGCAGAGTAGGCTGTTAGAACAATTCTTCAGCTATTCATTTTTTTTTCTTTTCAAGAAAAGGGAAAAACGTTGTTGTCAATGAACAGCATCATGCAGTTCACATGGAATTTCTGTCACTTCCTTTGATACCAACACAACACGTTGGTAATAACGGGTTAGTAGAAAAACAGATACGATCCATAGCTTTTTGGGCAATCATTAATCGAGCGTGAGGCAAGGCAGTACAAGAATAGAAGTCAGAACTCTCTGCCGGTCGGAGCTTAGATCAGGCTTAGGAGTTAGGAGGCACATGCACATCTGACGAGCGGACGAACACATGCTGCATGTGCCGTCATCCAAAGTAAGTCTGGTCAAAGCTAATAAGATACGTAGTAGTACTACATTGTATGCCAGTCCTAGATCTGCAAATGCAAATGCGATGGCCACCACCTGAGTGCAAGAATAAGTATGCCATGATACAGGTTAGAACTGCGAAGAAAGCCTGTTCATCAATTCTCTCCACCAAGCATATCGGCGCAACAGAAAGATACACGCAACAGTATCTTCCTCAATGGCCAAACAGCCCTTCCCAAATGGCCAAATGAAACTCAGTTGTCTGATGACAGAGCACAGGCTCCCAGAAAAGCTCGTCCATATGTTAGCCAAAGATTTGATCCGTAATACTAATCTTGCCTAGTAATAGATATGCCAATTAATTACTGTTTGAATGTCAAAGGCAAGTTATCAGAGTGATCATCAGCAATGCCCAGTTCTGCTGTGTGACTGTGAGAGACACATTCCCGTGCGGTGTAGCAGCAGACGCGCCACATTGTACGCGAATGGCAAGCTGGCGATAGCACTACGAACACGGCGCGGTTGGTCGCCGTGCAGTGCAGCCTCTCTCTCATGGAGGTTTCGCGGATGGATCCAGCACACCGCGAAACGACGGGAAACGATGCCGCGAAACGACGGGAAATGATGCCATCGCGACGAACAACATCGCAATCGGCGTGGAGCAGAGGCAATAGGACAACCGAACACGACGTGGAGAGAGAAAGGGAGGGAACGCGCGCACCTGCCGTAGGAGGCGGGCCTGCTCGGCGGCCGGCCGCGCGCCGCCGGCGACGCTGAGGAAGGAGACGCCGCCGCGTCCGCCACGACCCAGCGAAGCCTCCACGCCGCCGCCACCGCCGCGGCCCCGATTCCGGTGGAAGCGTGGCTCGCCGAGGCTGAAGGCCGCGTACATCGCGACGCAGAGCGCCACCTGCACGGCCACCGTGCGACTCCACGGCGGCCGCTTGCTCCGACGCGCCGCTTCCACCTCCATGGCCACCTCTCTCTCTCTCTCTCTCTCTCTCTCTCTCTCTGTCTCGTCCTGTAGACGTTGGCAGCTTGACGATGGAGGCCACCGTTAATGGCACACGGATGAGGACGGACTAACGACGATGATGATCCAATTAAAATATCCCGTGTGGATCTCGGGGTGGGGCCTCCGACCCAACTACTAATCACGGCATCTCATGATTAGTCGATGCTAGTTTGTCCTGTCCCTACGGTCCTGATGTTTACGTCGTAATCGCAATCAGCCACACGGCTTTATAGCGTTGGGATCATCACATCACAATGCCACAATTAGCAACACAGCTTTAGCAGTAGGGTCATTACAATGGGCCTAATCATCCTGATGGCAAACCAGTCAAGTGACCTATTCGACAGTGAAGAGTTAAACATTTAACAGATGCAGCGGGGCAGGAGCTAGCAAAACCTGGTAACCTTTAGTACGACAGATTTGATGGTAATCGTTCATCTCAGGCCTGGAGATGTCCAGGCCTCTACAGGATGAGACTAGCTTAGAGTGATTTTTTAGTTTACAACTTGTAATATGGTAAAAGCTACAGCCAGTTTAGCGATTAGATTAGACGAAAAAGGTTCGATATTATCGTTATGATTCCTACAAATTAACTATCGATTTCCATTTTGTCCTCCGCCTTAACAGTGGGTGGCTCCTCCTTCACTGCCTCTATGACTGGATCTTGTACTGGAGGCGTAGCTTCTTTGGAAGCTGACGAAGGCACCTCGGTTGCTGGATCTTTTGGAGACGTGGTCTCTTTGGAGCTTGCATCTAGCATAACTTCCTCTTTGGGAGTGGTACCATTTTCATGGGATCTCAAGATGCGACTAACGTCTTCGCATACAGCTTCAAACTTATGGAGGCTATTGGCTAAACCGGAGGAAGCTGCCTTGTCACCGAAATGCGAGTTGAGTGCAGGAACAGCACTGTCTTCAAGGACAAAGCACATCTGCATATCATAGATAGATAGGAAGTTGTCACTCAAGAAAATTTTCAGGCCAGAGTTAGCATAGGAAAACTTTTCTTTGAGAGGATCCCCTCAAAAAAAAAAAACTTTGTTCCATAAGTACCTTGTTGTAAAGATGGGAAACTTGTGACTGATCAGTTGTGCCTTCAGGCGCCACTTCTTTGGCTGCAGGAAAGAGGAGAGTTACCATAACTCGCATTATAAAGAAAAAAGAGATGTTGTTACAATAAACAATTAAATTTCATATATCTTGATGACACTACCATTTTGGCCATTTCTACATCCTATTAGAAAACTAGCACTAGCTGAAAGCAAATGCCCAGATTCCACATAAGCAACCAGACCACATGAACTTGTTTTGGGTTAATTCAAATACATTTACATCATCTGTGCAAATTTAGTTAAGTTGCAGTAACTTCCATGATCATTAATAGTACTTGTTATTTGTACGGCTCTAGTTCTCCACTCGATGATAACAGCCTGATGAACAAGCCATACTGATCAAGCATTGTTTCCAATGGATGAGCGCTCTACTACGATTTTACGAGTACTAAAAGCTCATGAGGAAAGAAACTACTCTCTCCATCCCAAAATATAGCTTCCGTAGTAAATTGAAACATGCAATGATTTTTTCTTTTGACACGGAACATGCAATGAAATAGGATAGGACAAAGATTACAAACAGTAGCAGAAGCACTGGATGGTTGAATTTTCATCAAACAAGAAACCTATTGTTTCAAACATAAACGTGCAATATGTGACAGTTCAACAGGATTGGTGTCAGAATTACTAAGGGATATGACTTTAGCATGCTTAAACACAAAACCAAGGAACATGTTCCAGGAAACCAGCTGATACGTTTGGCTAAATTTTCTATTTTTCTACTTTTGAAGTTCTCATTTTTGGGACATATCTAGTAAGCAATAAGCAATAATACATGTATACAGTCCTCACAAGTTTTTCAAGCATTGCTATGACTATTCTATTTGTTAACAAGAATGGCAGACATTTTTCTGTCTTGTATACTTTTAGACTATTGGTACCAGCAGATCCACCTATATCAGTTACAACAAAGACCTTATTCCGTCACATAGCGACAACTACTCAATAGGTTGTCAGCTTGCGCCCAAACAGTAACAAGACCCATACTACTGCTATTCACTAACCAAACAAGTGGTTTCATCACGGCAAATATTCTTCTACTACATTGTAACAGCACCACTCAGTGATTGAATTAATTATTCAGAATGTCAAATAAAACATACTCCCTCCATTTCATATTATAAGTCGTTTTACCTTTTTTCTATTCAAACTTATTTAAGTTTGACCAAGTTTATAGTAAAATAACTACTAGTATTTTCAACACAAAACAAGCATATTATCAAAATATATTCAATGTTAGATTTAATGAAACTAATTTGATATTTTATATGTTGCTAAGGAAAAAAGTCAAACGACTATGATATGAAATGGAGGGAGTATAAACCATAAGAGAGCGCATGACTAAGATAAGAAAAGGCATGTGTCCACAACTCCACACACAAACAAGCGTGGCTGCGTGTTCCTGTGTAGATATGTTTGGGTGATCTAGGGAACAAGGGACAACTTACAAATAGGTTCAAGGACAGGCAATTCTCTCAGCATTTCACTGTAGTCTGGAACGGCCGGTCTATGACCACCAGGAAAATCTTGTTCAGCGAGATCATCAGGAACAGGGGTTTTTGTTTTAATCTGCAAAATACCAAAAATTGCATGTTATACATCCTAAAACCAATAATCTTAGTGTTACCACCCGTGTGAGCTTTGGGTGCTATATTTAAGGAAATAGGTCACAGGCATACCACAGCGTATTCAAGATTCAAACATCTCTCCAAAAGATGGTATCTCTTTCTAATAAACTCAACTATCTTTCTCTGTGTATCCCTGTAATGGATCATGCTCGTTGGGTTCGACTGGCCTTCTTGTGTGCTTTCCAGATTTCCCTGTCAGAGATCCCAAAAAATGAAATGAACCGCATCCTTTAGTCAAGCAGAAATCCTATAACTTCTGTAGAAAAAAGTTATGTGCGCGCACACTAACGTTTGTCTCATTGTTTGAGTGAGAACTAATCAGTTCATTAGCAGTAGGAAGCCTCAGCTCTTGTCGTGCAGCCTCAAAAATCCCATTATCTCTGTCATCTGATATATATTGCCACCTTGCATACCCATGCCTAATGAAGGGAAAATATATGTTAATACCTTATATGGTAACTTTGGACACTTAACTATGCTACAAAGTAAGAATAGGAATGGAATACCATGTAGAGAATGCATATATCATGAGGATAATAGACACTAAGCATTAATGTTAATGCACTCCTTCCTTTAATACATTTGCCGCCGTACAATCTTAACCCTACTACATCGAAGAATCTACATTATGATGAGCTAAAACATTAATAGGAATTACCTCCTGATCCAAATTTATGCTATCCCATCTCAAATTCATAATTGCTTCATTAAACATAGTGTTCCTCAGAATATAGCAAACCAATCATGCAAAAGGAAAAGTGGCTATAAATGAAAACAAACACATGGCACTATTCTCATCAGCACGGAAGTACGGTACTAGAGAAAGTTACAGATTTTTTTCTATTGCCCCCTCAATTTATTTCTTAGCCGTCGCCCAACAACATTGTTTGCGATTATTAACCATAATTATCATTCTTATTGGTTCTCAATATACTTATAACCCCCCAAGAGAAGCAATTAAGGACCACTGAATGAACAAGAAACTACGAGTAGATAGCAAAAGTGTTTCTTCAATATGCGAACAAAGTGGATCTGCATGCATTGGCACCATGCAGCCATCCGGCTCTCGTTAATTTTATAAAGAAATACCATTTGTCTGTTCAATAATGTGAGCAGGACATGGATCAGATCGTTAGTTTATTTTAAGCAGAAGGAAAACTTATAGTAGAGGGGAACTGAAGTCTGAAATATTACCTAGCCTGGTCTATACTACTGGATCTTTTGTGTAATCAGCCAATGTCAAACCAATTAAAACAAGGAATAGACTGTTCATCTGGTTTCATGTGACCTGGATAGCCTAGTTGATACAAACACTCTCTATGTTGTAGTAGAACTTACCAAAAGAAAACCCAGAACAACAAACTTGGAAGCTCAAAGCGCGGACCTAGAACGCTAACCAGCTACACCCATGGCAGAACTATTAAAAATCTATAATCAATACAAGAATATACTAGATAAAACTAAATACTTTTTATGGTTCATGTTTGGAATTATCTTATGCAAAGAATTAAAATGGTATGTACACATTGCATCTTTTTCTTGTCATATATACTAAAACATATAAACATATAGCCCAACAGGTGACCCTATGTTCTCAACTGTTGACTGGGCAAGGTCTAATACACTCAACTGAAATCCAAAAACCAATGTTCAAGAATTAGCACAGCCAGAAATCTTGTGCTGGCCCCTCGGCTAGTTACATAAAACAAAGAGTAATTTAACTATGGTTATTGTAGCAAACTAATATTGCCAAATATATGCATACTTTATTAATGCTTTCAGCAACAGTAGATCCTGTTCCGCTTTCCATACTCTTCCACCAACTAAGCTAGGAAATTCATATAACAAATAGCTGGGAAAGAGTTTTGTTATTTTTCCTTGTTCCATGGCAGCCACCTGAAACCAAAAAGAAAAAAAGAGAAAAAGATAATGCATGCGTTATACCATAGAAAGGTTATGAATGTTCTATCTTGTTGGTAATAGATACCTTCTCTTCCACAAGTGATATGTTGGCTAGCCTGACCAATGTCTCATCTGTGCGCATTTCCTTTGGCACGCCATCTATATTCATGCATATGGAGATTTAAAATGTGGATATAGAATTAGAGATGGACATAATCACCATTAAGCTAAATTTACCTGCATAATATCCTGAGTCATTGATGTCCTCAAGAAGATGGATCATGACAAGTTCAGCATATCTGCAGGAACCATGACAAATAGGCACAGTATTATAGAAGCAGCTAAAAGTAGAAAGCAAATAAGTGGGTGTGGCACTCGACTAGTAAGTTAACATCCAGCTAATAATTTTTAACACTTAGCATTCTCCATGTTATTTTGTTAATAATGAACCTGAATGCCAAGTCTATTGGTGTGATCGGGAGAGAAGGTAAGGAACTTCTCTCCCGTGCACGCAAGACAGGGTGGCTCATTAGCACGTGATTAATTAAGTATTGGCTACAGAAAACTTGAAATTGGATTAATACAATTTTTTTAAGCAAATTTCCTATAATTATTTTCCAACCATGTAAAAAACAAAAAAGTGATCCAAAGAAGGCATTGAAATGAACAAAACAGTAAGTCAATACACCTACCTCTGGATTTCCTCAACACTTTTCCCCTTCAATCGAGGAGTAAATTCCTTCCAATCGTAGTTCTGAAAACCATATCTGCAAATTAAAAGGGGGGATTACTTATCAATACATCAATCTGTCATGCATTTATGACCTTCCAACAGTACTATTACTCCATCCATTCTTATTTGTCGTTCAGTACATCAACAAAGCCTCAAATGAAAATGTTTAGTCATTCTTCTTCTAAACATGTAATCAGAAAAAATATTATATAACATGAAAAAAAAATCATTGTAAATCTATCGATGGCATCTTCACATATCAAATCTTGAATTATATATATTTTTTGGCATATATTAGTGAGTTAAGATTTTCATGGTTTGACTGCACAATTTCTAAAGCAACATCTTATTTGGGGAATAATCTGGGCCGGGTTAAGAATGGAGGGGGTACTTCAGAGAATGAACCACAAACAATTATTTGGGGAACAAACTGGACCAGATTAGTATGTCCTCAGATCATGTGTGAGTGCACGATCTTGGACGGAAACAATTATTTGGAAACAAAAGCTTGCCACCAACAAATTATGCTAAGCAATATGAGAAGACTTTAGAACAACACAAAGAAAATATGTACATAAGAAAATACAGTAGATTCTTTCACTCCAAAACAAAAAGAGAGAATCCCTTATATGCCACTCTAAATTAACCGGCTCCCTTATATGCCACTTTAAATTGGCTTCTCCTTTTTATGCCACCGGTTCAAGTTTCTCCTCCCTTTTATGCCATTGCCGACAGTCCACCGTCAGTTGACCGTTAACTTCATTGTAAAAAGACGCATTTGCCCTTGAGAATTAGTATACAACCAATAATAGGTATTTTAGTACTAATATAGCTACTGCAACATATGAAAATTGAATTTTTTTTCTGCATCACATGCAATTTTAGCCATTACCATCACAAATAAATTTTCAATGTAAACATGAAACATGCAGTTTTCCAACAATATTTTTAATATAAAGAGCATTTTTCACTGGTTCTGACAAAATTTTGTTCACTCAAAAAGGATTTAAAATAAATTAGTTATGATTTTTTGAAGTTTACACATTTTTTAGTTGAGAGGGCATATTGGTCATTTACGAAAAAAAACTAACATTTGACTAACAGTCAACTAACACTATGGTGGTGGGAGTGGCATAAAAGGATGGAAAAACTTGAACTAGTGGCATATAAGGGAGAAGCCAATTTTGAGTGGCATATAAGGGAACTGGTCAATTTCTAGTGGCATATAAGGGATTATCTCAAAAAGGATATAACAGAACCAGCAAACTACCATGTGTGCCCTGCTTTACCGCTCTTATCTAAAGCCCTTACAAAACCATTCTGTCCAATATCCTGCTTTACTGCCCAAGCATGCCCACTGAGCTATTAAAGAGGGTTAGAGTTTACTAAAGTTAAATGAGCAAGTTAACAAAAGCAGGACGAGTTCTCATTAGATTTTTATTTATTCAAAAAGTAGAATTTTAAGCCAATATTCCAACTAACCTCATAAGCGTTTGAAGGAATTGTGTTCGCTGAATTTGGTTGAACCCATAAACTCTCAAAGCCCGTCCTTCGCCCTCCATGAATGGAAGTGAATCAACATTACCTAGTGAAAGTTGATTAGAAAGGTAAATAAATGCACAACATTCACCATGCAACAACAGTACATGATAAAATTACTACGTTGTTTTTTCTTGGAATATGGGCCCCTCCTCCCAGCAAGGCCTGATTGTAAACTTGTGTCGTTATCTGACACATCATCATCATAAGAGTAATCATCATCTTCAGAACTCATGTCATGCAGGCCGGTAATGTCGTCCTCATCAGCAGCAGCCATCTACACATAGTATTTTATTAGTATATTTATCCAGCACTAAAAAAATCGAGTAGAGTAGAATATACTCCCTCCGGCCCAAAATATAAGCATTTTTAGCATAGTGTCAAGTCAACCATTTTAAACTTTGACTATTAATAGCAAGAAAGTAAAAAAAAATCGATCATGTAAAATTGATGTTATTAGATTTATCATTAATGAAACTACCATAATATGCAACTCTTTTTATTTAAAACATTATATTTTTGTAGATATTGTTGGTCAAAGTAGCATCTCGAAGACTATGTCGAAGTCCCAAAATGCTTATATTCTGGGACGGAGGGAGTATATTGGTAAATAAACACAAATGGTGCATTCAGCTCCAGGTTTCTTGCCTAGTTTGGAATTACAAACCATAGTTGTTATATGGTGTTCATTCAATGATCTTATTTTTTGAAATAAGTGTAAGTTGGCAACAGGTCTCAGTATACCCTTGATAAAATCCCATCGGTTGTTGATCCGCAGATAAACAATGCATATAAAAGCAAAAGTTAATGAGGATAACATATAGGACTGGTTACCTGTTTGCGGCTCCTTTTTCCTTTTCCCATAGTAGTATGCTCTTCAACTTTTTGTACATCGTATCTGTCCTTCAATAATTTATCCCAAAAATTTGCTCTGTCAGAGTTTGCAGCTTCAGCTTCGGCCTTTTTGCGTGCCTCCTCCTCTTTTGCAGCTAAAGCCTTAGCTTCATCTATGTACTCAAAGTTAGCAACCTGCAAACAGTTACTTGAAAAATAAGAACTGTATGTTGATTGGTAGAATATGCCAACAACAAAGCAAAACACAAAGAGGAAAGGTGATTCTTTATAATAGTTATATTACATGGTACTTTGATAATAAATGGACCAAAAGTTGTACAGCATGAAAGATAAAGAATGGTAAAATTAACAAGCTGATGTAAAGTCGTACAGTGTATGCAGAACCACATTACCTCATTAGGTGTGTTTGTTTCACGATATATGACAACTGACAACCACCAAATGTATTGGCTTAGCATCAACCTTAAAACAAGAGGCTAGTCCAAATTTATGTTTACTTTTGGTTTTTTCCAAGGAAAAAGCAACATGCATGATGATCCTTCATTATCTCATAAATATACAGATTACTGCCAAAATAGAAGTGACAGCAGGCATCTCGTAAGAATAACTAAAATGAGCTCCTCATGCACAGTACCTTGAATCCTTTTAGAAATTCGTCTTCTTCTTCATCTTCCACAGGCTCTTCCCCGTCAGCTTGGTCACGGTCCAATAATCTGTCAGGCCAGTACACAGAAAAATCAAAAAGGTGTCATCAAGCAATGGTGATTTTACAATGTCAAGTCCTACAGAATACCACCACGAATTGGCAAGGAAAAAAAAGGCAAACTGTTTCACAATTTTTTTGGAACATAGGCAGAACATGTATCATAGATTGTGTGAGAATAGAACAGGGAAATTAAGAGTAACACAAACTTATATAATAAAAATAATTATTTTGCTTACTTTCTAGTTTCTACGGGAATACACCTAGATGGTAGTGTTCAGTATTATATATACCCCTTCACTATAATGACTGAAATAAAAAAAATTGCTAGATTGATGAAAATCACTAAATTCAAAGTTTTGGGAGTAGTTTAAATTACTTCACACTAAATATTATCCAAGTTAAAAATGATGAAATTGTGTACCTATCAATCGCAGCATCATCATAATGGATTTGGCAAGATTTTCCGGCTTCATCATTTTCATCGTCAAAAAGTTCCTTTGAGCCATGCCGAATAATATCATCCAACTCCTCCTGAAAAAGGACAAGAGTCATGCATCTTATTTGCCGTGCGAAATTAGTACAACAGGGGATTCACAAGTGCAGCAAAATAATGGATTTGATACTACAATGAAAGGTCCCGTCAAATAACATTGCACAAAAAAATTCATCACTGATCACCCACCCAGGTAATATATCATATTAACTAGACTTATCCATAAGAACTTTGAAGCAAAGAAGAGTTTTCTACGATCAGCTGAACAAACAAGAATCCCCTTGCAAACCAAGCCTATAAAGCATAAATGTATACACCACAGCATGACCAAATAAGCTCAAGGACCAAAGAATCTAATTGTTAGGGTAATGCAATTATGTCAAGAGAAACAATTTATCTAACAACTGCATTAACCACCAACGTTGGTACTTTCTAAAACCCCTACATACAAATCATTCTAAATCAAAGCAACAATATTACCTGGACAATATTAGTGCCTTTCGTGAGACGCCCAACAACTAAGTGCTCCAATACCATTTTTTTCTTTGTAAGTTGCATCATCCGCTCCTCAATTGTACCACGACTAACAAGCCTATATATCATAACCTGCAAAAGAAAATTAATTTAACATAATTTATCGTTAAAAGCTAGGACAAGAGTTCACAAAAATCAACAATCAAATAGATAAGAGCTTAAGATAAAATACCTTGCTTGTCTGCCCTAAGCGATGGGCTCTCGCCATAGCTTGTAAATCAGCATGAGGATTCCAATCACTGAATGTAAATGGAAATGATAGGTTAAAGTAAACTCAAAACATTGTGTTCCTTTTTTTTCTAATTACAAATTGTTTCACCTGTCATAAATAATTACAGTATCGGCAGTTGCCAGATTTATACCAAGACCACCAGCTCTGGTTGAAAGAAGAAAGCAAAACCTAGTAGAATTTTTAGCATTGAAGCGATCAATTCGTATCTGCCTCTCAGCACCACCTATTTTTCCATCAATACGCTCATAACTCCATTTCTGAAACATGAGACATTAAAAATGTGGTATATCAAATACATTAACCTGCATAGTTAACAATAGTCTCCACAGGATGATAGTTAAATACCCGGTAGCTTAAATAATCCTCAAGTAAGTCCAACATGTGCTGGAACTGTGAATAAATAAGAACCCTGTGACCCTGCTCTTTCAGTTTCACCATCATCTTGTCAAGCAGCTCCATTTTTCCAGAAGATTCTAAAAGCCTCCTGCAAAATCAAGGGAGTAAAAGATGGTAATTCCAAAAGAAAGAAATATAGAACCTAAAGTCTAATCGGTAGATCTAAACTGCCCTGGAAAATGGCATAAACTTGATCGGTCAATCTAGTTTAACATAGGAATGATATAATTGCAAATAAACAATCTGAAATATCAATCATATGTGCATTCTAGAATATGGGTCCAGAATTACAACTCAATCACAAAAAAAGCCAACTACTACAAAACAGACCTTCATAGCACTGAACTAAAACCTAGACAATTGGTGGTAAATTGCATGCATTTTTTCAGTACAACTTTCTTTATGACATGCAATAGAACAACAACATTACCAGATGTCAACAACTTCAAATATGGCATTGTGTTTGTTAAGACGTGAAATGAAAAGATAACAGCAAGAGATATCAGAGAACTCCAGTACCTCTGCATCAATATGTGTTTGAAAGTAATAAAAAGCTGGTAGTGGAATTAAAATGTTAATGACATCAGAAAATCTGTGTGCAATATTAATTTCCAGTTATAGTATCAAAGGCATCATGTAAAAGAACAACGGCAAACCCTAATAACTAACAGAATCAGTATCAAAATACTCAGACCAATCGGTATCAAAATAAAATAGCAGGTTAAAAAGCAATTTGTGCACCTTAAAGCTTCTTCTGAATTGGCAGGCTCTTCGGGTTCATCTGTCATGAATGCATGGCAACAAAGTTTGCGTAGTTCCATTACAACATTAATAAGTGAAACCTGGAATCAAACAGGAAAAAATTATCCATAGCAGGCCAAGATATAAGACATTAATACAACGTGGGAATAAAAATATTACATGTCCACCACTACGACGAGTTAACACTTCATAATTCTTGGTGAGAATTGCTTTATAGTACTCTTTTTGTTTGCTTGTAAGCTCAACACGTAAAATCAGCTCCTTTTTCGGAGGAAGTTCTTTCATAACATCTTTCTTGAATCCTATTTGAGCACAAAAGGCAATAGGTTGCAATTTTTGTTAGCTAAAATAACTCGAGTCTCAGACAGAACTTTAAGTGTCTAAAAATGGTAACAGCATCTATTCAGTAGTATTTTTCAGTTTACCAAACGAAAATTATCCCATAATAGACTCTGAAAAAAAAAGATGCACTCAATTGTAAAAGGTGCACATGGTAACAAAAAGGATTTGGAAAAACAGCCACAGTTCACAGGTATGCAAGTTACACTAATAAATGAAAAAATGTAGAAAGTCAAGACTCAAAAATTTTCTGATGATCTATCTAACATAGATAGATCTTTTATGTTCACCATTTGTCCCTAATGTAAGATGAAGTTGCATATTACATGCATGTGCAAAAGAAAAACCATCTTGACAAGCCAAACCATACACCTAACAGGAAAAAAAATGTTAAGTAAATTCATACGCCGAAGAAGATGCGGCTTCAGCATTCCATGGAGCTTCTCAACTTGTTTGTCCTGGTTTATGTCCTTGAATTCCTCTTGGAGATCAGCTATACTACCAAACTACAAATGAAATGTTGTAATATTAGATGATAAAAGAATAGAATGGAAATTTCAACACTATAAAAGGTTGGATCAAGAATATGCAATGCATTGCGTATCCATGAAGATGTGCGACAAAGGTATTTTCGCCAAACAGAAAGAATATGGGGAAAACATACTCAATTCAAAATAGCCAGAAAGATGAGTGAAGGAAGCATAAGCTTATACTATGATTATTCGCAGAACAGTTTAATGTCTTTTTACTATCTAAATGCTAACCTAATTATGTTCTGCTTGTGCCTGCCAAAATAATGATTTTTATACTCCAGAGATCAATTTCACCACCAGAAAAAACTCTTAATTTATGGCTTCTGCCAGTATCAACTTATAGTTTTCCCCAGAAGCTGACAATATATAAGCACAAAAGGTACAAAACCGTGACAGCTACCTCAATATTAGTTACACTCTGAAACGAAATATCAACAGTAACCCACAATTGCGACAATAAAAAGTAAGCTGTTTGGCTTGCCCCAAAAAAATATCACAATCATGGCAACGCACTTCAATAACGCGATTTTAATTTAATTTGTCCAGCAATTAATTAAATGAAAACTGAGAGACCAGAGGAAACAGAACATAAAATAAACAAACATAACAAGAATAAACGTAACAAAAACTGTTCAGTGGAATATTGGTCAATGAGCATATGCTAAAAGCTAGGAAATTGTCTATCAATGACCACATTACTGTCAAGTCCTTGAACAGGCACCGTAAGGAAGACCTAATGAGCAACAGTTTCATGAATTAAATTAATAAAATGTTAGCATCCAAAAGTATAAAATCTTACACTGTCACCCTCAAGGAAGTGCATAAGCATGAAAAGTTCATCCAGGTTGTTCTGGGAACAAAGAAAGATAGGATATCAACTTTAACGCGAAACTGGAAAATTCAATAGTTTAATACAAGGAACAGTGCATATAAGAAATCAATTAACCATAAAATGGTGTTAACTAATAAATCGAATGACTAACGGATCAAAGCTGAGGGTTACTGTTTCTAGCAAGAAAGATGGCATAATATCACATGCATATGCAAATTAAGGTGTTATTCATACTATATCTGCAGTGAATAATGCCATAATATATGCCATCACAGGGTCAAGGATTAGTTTCTTTTTTAATTGCAAAGGTACAGTGTTTAATCATTACATTTCGATCCATGTGATGAATGTATAGGTCAAAAAAGCAATTGATATTTGTTTGCAAAAGCCGACAGCTGTTTATCAAAGAAGTTCCTATTATCTACTAATGTCCTTAAGTCCCACTGTGGAGATACAGCTCTAAAAACTCCTGAGTATTTCCATATTTTGGAAACAGCGAGTAAAAAAATACGGACTATACACTGCCAGAAATCAGAGCCTAAAGGTTCAAAGCAGTATTGAAACCTCAAAAGAACTAACTATAAGTAGCTTTCAACATTTAATTTTCCATTAAGCTAAGAAAACCAACAATGAAGGTTTTTAGTCAATGAATATAAAGCAGTAACCTGAACTGGGGTTCCCGTTAAGAGAACACGATGCTTAGTATGATACTCTTTAAGTTGACCGAACAACTTGGAATCTTTGTTCTTCAAACGATGCCCCTCATCCACAATCTGCAATAAAGCATTACCAATTGGAGAAAAGTCAATCAGAACTTAAGAGCAATTTAAACATTCTCCAGAGAATTGAAGCGTATAGAAAGGGAGATGGCAAAAGAAGTACCATGCATTCCCATTCTATGGTTTTTAGAACAGTAGAATCCATATTGATCATCTCATAAGATGTCAAAAGGACATCAAATTTTATTCTTGATTGTTTCTTGTCTTCATTAGATGGAGATGATTTCTTTTTCTTAAGCTTCTTAGGTTTCTCTTTGGGGTAGTAAAATTCATACTTCCTAATAATTTCACGAGAAGCTGCAGATCCAAAATACATTACCTGGCAAACATGAAGAAAAAAAATAAGTCGAAAGAATTATGAGTTAGTATAATCCACGTACAACATTATAAATTAGTATAATCCACGTACAACATTCATTTGAGGTGCCCAAGTTGCAAATTCACGCTCCCAATTTCGCAAGGTTGAAAGGGGTGCAACGACCAGATGAGGACCAAGCTTGTCCACAAATAGAGAGCCCAAAAAGGCAATACTCTGTATCGTTTTACCTGCATTATTTTTGTAGTGATAAGTGTACTCACTTGGTCAAGACCCCAATACAGCATACCATAAAACACTTTCATTCTTAACAGTAAAAATCACTTACCAAGACCCATCTCGTCCCCAAGTATTACACGTTTATTATGGTACCAAGAATAGCGTAAGAAGTTTAACCCTTCAAGCTGGTAGGGATGTAGTGTCCCTTCATGTAAAAAATGCAAAATAAAAAACAAGGAAATATGTAGTCAATTAGAAATAAAAATTTAATTCCCAGGAATTATTCGTGTTTTAAATGCAGCATACCACCAGAGAGAAACTTCGGGCTCTCCTTATATTGACGTATCTCACGAGTGACACTCTTGCACTTGTCAGTAGACTTCTTCCTCCTGGACTGAATCTCATTGAAGCGTTCAATCTGAGGCTGAAAGACTGCAATGTCGGAGTCATTTTCCCAAGTACATTCGTCGTATGTTAGTTCCTTCCATTTCACATAGTACTCCCTTTCACCAGTAGAGCTTTTTCTTTTTTTTCACAAAATATTTAAAAAAAAGACAATCATACAGTCAGCCTTTGCTAAAAATTGATGGGTGTAAAGAAGATAATAAGTGAACACTAAGATTGGTGAAACTAACCTGACAGCACTATGAAAGTAAAGTGGAATGATGTTATTATTTCTCGTTACCACATTTAATTGAGGAATAACATGACAGCAATAGGGTTTTCACACGGTATCAAATTACCTTCAATTGGAAAGTTTGTCGTTGAGTAATAGGCTAACTATCATGGTAAACATTATAAATGGAGTACATATTACCACTAACAGCATCAATATATGCATCCACAGTAACAGTAATAACTATTAACCTAACACAAAGCTACATGCATGTGTCAGTTACCAAAGAAAGGCTGGTCTAGCTGGTCATATTATCATAATATTAATAGCAACAAAAGCAACTAATTATCAGCCAGTAAATCACATCCCTTCTATTGTCACAACTATACAAGGTAAAAAGATCAAGCCTCGCATAGCTTTGTTCGTTGTATCCATACCTGGTAGCAAGGATCCTGTCAACAGTAGTCCACTCAGGTCTAATTGCAGAATAGTCATCATCAGACTTATCCGTTGAATCCATTTGCTTATGGAAGTTATTGAGTCTAGTTTTCAGCCGGGGGTATATCTTGGCAGTTTCCAAATATTCACTTTCTGAAACCCTATTTTTATGAGTCAACGTTAATAGAGCAGAAGCAGTATGCAACACAATTTTGCATTGAGCTATTGAATAGATAAGTACCAAGTGCAGTGAAGGTGTGATATTCCTTTCCATTTTATAAGATATCGTTTGACAGGTTTCTTCTTTGATCCGGACTCAGAAGAACTAGTCTCTTCAGAAGCATCAGGTTTTGTTTCTTCACAGTCTAATATCTTTTCCATTTCCGTAAGAGGGCTAACCTGAAAATAACAAATGAGGTGCTTTGTTACCAGCGGTGTCAATCATTAAGTGGAACGGAGTCTACTGAAGAAGGGAAATGCATACACATTCAGGGCAGCTCCATTTATCAGATGTGATATTTAAGCGAGGAACCAAACATTTCCTGTGAAATGCATAAGTACAAGTTGAACATGGTACTAGATTGTCATTTTCTCCACATTTCTGGCAAGCATCTTCTTTCTGCACACACAGGTGAATAACTACAAATAAATACAGGACCATTAAACTGAAAATAGATATATCAAGAAATACATAAGCATATGAAAATTACAGGAAGTTAAGAAACCAAGCCCCGAAAAACTGAAGCTCCACTACACATATGAGAAATAAAAAGCCAAGTACAAAATCACCAAACGAGGAAAAATGGAAATGAGAATGATGATATTGGCATGCTCCCTTTTGTTTAAAAACAGATTGAATTAATTTTCTTACAAATCTCAGCAAATTGCCAACTCTTCTAGTTTATGATAAAATCTTTGAACCAACAAAATAATGTAAGTTTAGCTATCACGACAAGGACAGTTAGAAACACCGTCATCACCTCTTATCATCCAACAATTAAACTTGGTATACTAAGGCATCGTATATTTCTCAGGATGCACACTAGAGACTGTATTTTTTCATAATCCCGAATTAGTAGCTGCTTAACGTAGCAGACAGATCAGGCCTAAATTCAAATTTCAGTACCCCATCGGTACCAAGCAACAAACTCATTCAACCAAATCACCCACTGGCTTTCTCAAACACCAGCCAGCCAAGCTTAACCTATCACCGCCAAATCCCTAAACTAATCCTCCCGCTTCTCAGCAATTAAGCCATTTCACAACCGACTACCCTAGCAAGGCAGCCATCAAATTCCCCAAAACCAGAAGCTAAAATCCTAGCATGGCAGCAGCCAATTCCACAAAAACCACAGAAATCAGAGCCAATTCAGCAGTAACAGCTTTAGAAATCAGAGCAACTGAGACCAAAAACAGAAGAGAAGAGAATCAGGGCCCCCCTGATCGGCCGCCATACCGCGTCCTCCCGCTCGATCCGCTCGGTGGGGCCGTCGCTGTGCCGATCCCTCCCCTTCCCGCCCCCGCCGCGCGGCGGGAGGTCATCGTCGGACTCATCGAGCGTGTACAGCGGCCGCTTCTCCGACCGCACCCGCAGCCGCTCCACCAGGCTGCTCATCCCGCCGCCGCCCCCCGGAACTCCCTTCCGGATCAAAACCCTAAAACCACCCACCCTCTCGCCGCGCCGCGCCGCGCCGCCTCGGAGTTGGGGGGGCTAGGGTTTGGTGGTTTTTGGGGGTAGGGAGAGGGGAGCGTACTTATACCGCCGCGTGGGGGAGGGGGAGGGTGAGGTGGCGCGTGGAGAGGAGGCGGCGGAAATGGAAGGTAGTGACGGCGAGGGGAGGCGGCGGCGAGGCGCGTGCCCCTCGTGTGGGCGGTGGAGGAGGCGGGCGGCGAGGGGACGCGTCTCTCTCTCTCTCTTTCTCTGCGTGTGCTCTCGGACTCGGAGAGAGGAGGGGGAGGAGGGAGGCGGTGGTAACGGCCACTGCGGCAAGGGATGTCCAGGGGCAGTGGCGGTTTTGCGATTAGGCTCTTGGGATATAAGACAAATTGCGACCGGATTGTTGTAAGGAGTAGGATTTATGGGTTCCTGTGCTTGTTTGGGAATCATGGACCTTTTTGTGGAAATTTATTTCTCATGGTGTTGTACAGTTGCAAGATTGGGAAATCTTGTTTTCCTGGTGTGAAGTTATCAAAAAGTAAAAGTTGTTGTTGCTCTTTTTTTTCCACGGGTGTATTAATTGTTATTGAGGTTTGTTATATTAGGTGGTTGTCCGGAAATAAATATGATAAATGTTGAGATGAGTAAATAGAACATACCTTGAAAGAAGTATTCTTTGTGTTATCTCTATTATTTTAGAATGGGAGTTCCATCTGTCCCTCAACCCTTCTCATCCTGCCAAAGTTTTGTTCTCTTGCTTAAAAAAACCGTTCCACCAAAAGAACCAGTTGACCCACATGGAAACCGTCAATTGAGAAAATCAAGGATAAAAAACTAAACCATGTGAAAACTTTGACCGCCCTTTACAGGATCATGCTGCCCTTCCTAGTTTGGAAAAAATCAGAAATAACCATATAGTATTTGTAATCACTATGGTATATACATATGTAGTAAGTTAATAGCATAAAGCTATTCAAGCAAAATAGGAATGATAATTCATACGGGGAAGCATCACTAGTCCATGACCCTTCCCATCGCACGCAAAGTTCGGTTCCATCATGTACATAAGTAAATTGCTCCACCCAAATAAACATGTTGACCCATATGGAAATAAATTCGTTGAGAAAAAACTGGAATAGGAAAAATTAAGGGCTTGTTCACTTCATTGAAAAAACAATTACCAAATTTCGGCATTACCAACCTTTGGTTAGGTAAGGCGAAGATTGGTGGTGTTATGTTTGTGACCTTACCAAACTAAACCACATGAAAACCGTTGGTCTGGCTTTTCCCGATATCCCTTTGCTCTTCCTATGAGAAAATAAATTAATAAGTATATATATTTTTAATCACTACTATCTAAATACCCACGCATTGCAACAGATTACTCAAAAATAGCAAAAAAAAAAAGTGCGTCCATGTTGAACAAATATTAACAGACTTGGTTGAAACGAGTTTCTTCATCTTACAAACAAAAACAAAAACACCATAGTTAGTGTACCGAAACAAGAGTAGCGGAGTAAAGACAACAAAATTACTCCACACAAGTATATAAAAAAGCTAGCAAAGCACTCTCACATCCATGTCTCACATGCTAGTGGTGGTGGCAGACTCACTACTCACCACTATTGTCTTTTAGAAGTAGTATATATATAGGATACATATGGATAGTTCCGATAAGAAAAACTAAACCACATGAAACAGCTAGCATGCCCTTTCCGTTAGCAATTTTGTCCTTCCTAGCTGGAAAAAAGGAAGAAGAAATAAATATATACATTTATAATCACTACGAATATGTGTGGTATTGGGACATATTATTCCATCAAATTAGGGATGATAATTCTTGCAATTCCAACATGAAACATAGTGTGATAAAATGACACGATGATCCTACCAAAGTACCTGAGATGTTGGGTGATTGAAGGAGGATGTAGTGGAGATTACTTTTTAAGAAAAAAAAAGGGAATATGAGGATTCATAACGAGCACAATGAATAGTAAACAGTAAGGCAATAAATTTCTTTTAAAAAGACATTGAAACTACGCATCTGACGAGGGTGTCAAGCTTCACTTAGAGAGCAACTAATAAGTCAACAACAAAGGGAAGCGGTTTGGCAGTAGAACCATGGATACGTGACTTCTTACACTAGGGTTCGAAACCTTACTGGGCATATATATTACAGTGTACAATTATGGTTGCAATAAGAATATAGTGAGGTCAACAATTTACCACTAGCCTTTGTGTCTTTGAGAGTGTTATAAGCCCATATGCACCTAGGGGTAGTTGTATTTGGCGTAGAGGTGAGTTACAACATATTGCAGCAACTGAAATAAGGTAAGTTTTGTCTCAAGAAGCACATAGAGATGACTACAGAGAACTTTTTGAAGGTGACAACTTTGGAGTTCATACGAGCTTTTTACCGTTACCTATGTAGGTTCAAATTTGTGTGGAAAGGATGGGCAATGTTGGGCATTACTCATACATTGTTAGTTTGATACTCTGAACAGGATTCATAACTTTAGGGTAGATCGCAAATGCCATAGTTCATAGTACTTCATACTCTACATGGTCTTGCACACGAGTAGAAATCAAATTTGAAGTGCTCCGACATGTAAAGTCAATGGGAGAATAGCTACTTTAGTTCCTAAAGTTTCTCTGTAGGATCTATTTAGTTTCTAACCTTATAAATGGTCCAAAGAAATCCTTAAACTTTATCATAAGGCCTAAAATAGTCCTTGGGTCCACCAAAATCATCATATGGATATGTCATATCATCATTCATGTAAAATCTATGATAAATTGTCCAATCTACCCTTATGTATATCATAAAAAATAAATATAAGGGTGAATTTGACATAATCATAGGAAAAAAATACTTCTTTTTTTTCACCCTTCTGAGGTATATTTTTTCTCATACATATACCATATATTTTTGTAACTTTTTTCCTTTTGTTTTTTTATTTTCCTATGCATAAAGGTAAATTGGACAAATCATATAGATTTTGTATGGGAAGGTGACATGGCATGTCCATGTGGCGATTCAGGTGGAACCAAGGATTATATTAGCCCACATGACAAATTTAAAGAACTAGTTTGGACAATATGAAAGATTAAGGACTAAAATAATCCAGGAGCGAAACTTTAGAAACTATATTAGCTATTCTCCCTAAAGTCAATCATATCCTCTACGCGTTTAAGCGTTTTGCTCTGCTGCTGAAGACTTAGCTACATTTATGAACTCGAGGTCTGCAACCTGGCAGTCTTGGCACTCTAGTTCAGTGTAACATGTGAAAAGAGAACCAAGAGTTGCTCTGTAGAATATGTCAAAAATAAAATACCCCCTCCATCCCTAAATATTTGATGTTGTTAACTTTTTTAAACATATTTAACCGTTCGTCTTATTCAAAAACTTTTGTGAATATTATTTAAAAACTTGAGTAGTAGTAGTATATTTAACAATGAATCAAATGACAGGAAAATAGTTAATACTTATTTAAATGTTTTTAATAACACGAACAGTCAAACATGTTTTAAAAAGTCAACGTCGACAAATATTTAAGGACGAAGGGAGTATAACACAAATGAAAATATATGATGCAAGACAGTGCGAAAGGGAACACAAGAAAATATATTGACCTGCAGGTAGGCAGTAGGACACCATTTTTGGCAAGAAGAGTAAAGATGCCACTAAATGAAACAACAGGAAGAGATACAGCAACAGTACTGTGCACATTATTTGCAGATTTTCCTTTTCCAACACATCAAAACTTAACTCCAGACTATCCTCCTGAGGTTCTGTAGATGTGTTTGCTGAATTTTGTCCAATCCATACACTCCTAAAGCACACCCTTCACCATCTATTTAATGGTATCAAAACTACCTACTGAAGATGTATTGGCAAGGTAAACAAAATACACAATATTCAGTTATTCACCACACAGCAATAACACACAATTTGCATACGATGCAACTCTATATAAACTCATTGCGTATACTTTTCTTGGAACATGCCCTCCATCCATCAATATTTCCCTGTAAACTTGTGTCATTATCAATGACCATCCTCGTCAGCAGCAGCCATCTGCCCATCTGATGAATAAATAGAGAAATGGCTCATAAATACTTTTTATCACTGAAATTAAGGATATGCTCATAAGCACAATCAACCTAGAGCTTTTGACTAGCCATGCAGCTTCAATAATGCCATACTCACTAGCATTAAGTCATCTGCACATCAGCCTCCTTAGTTCTTTCTATGTTGGAAGATTCTCTCTATGTTGGAAAAAAATCATAGCCACTTTTCTGTTTAAACAGATCTCAAGTGTTACCCTGTAAACTGTACCAATAAACAGACCCCCAAAAGTGGCTTGACGTAGGCCACATGGCAAATGCCACATATGCTCCACCATAAGATGCCTAACTCCATCACATAACTCTCATTCTATATCATGAGTAAGCGAGACACAACACTGAACTATCTGACACTTGATGTATCGTGATCAACAATATAATGAAATTGCAACAGACCGACAACAGGACTAAGCATGCATCTAAAACCACAAGCCATATAATTATCACAAACAAAATGGCATGTCAGCTAACGAGGTGAAAACCACTATGTACACGTTTGTAGCCAAGGAAACTAAATATTACTCCTACATCAACTGCATAACATAAAAGTTTCGTGCAGAATTATGCATCGTCATGATATATGAAGGTTCCATGACACGAACATGCTCTAATATTAGTTTTCTTACACAAATCAACAGACCTTTTTGATAATCTCAAATGGTGTTCCGAAACTTTGAATCTCTGGAACCACACAACATCTCTTGGCTACTTTTGAAGTCAATAATCAACAGTGTTTAAATATTCCTTACAATCTACACCTATGGATAATTCTATAGTTCCACTTCAAAATAGGTGTGAACAGCAGTTATATACACCTCCTCTCTCAGATTGATGATGCACATGCGTATTAATCCTGAAACCGCTTTTCATGAGTGCAGTTAAAATGAATTCAAGCTAATTGAGAGGGTATAAAAGGTACAGATTGAGAAACGCTCCATCTCAACTTGAAACAAATCTGGGTGTGATATTCCTATGAATAAGCTAGGAGATTGCATCAACAATCTTTCCATGTTTGTACAGAAATAGTAGGATTTTTCAGTGTCAGATTCTTGCACAATAGAACTTCTCAATGCAAACAGTAGAATTCTTATAGCACGCCCCATAAAACTTGGAAAGATAAAATGTACTTAAAGGAATAATAAACTAGCTATGATTTCCTAGTTTAATTTAATTCACAGTGGGTGGTTATTTAGAACAGAAGCATGGAAAAGATAATGACTGATATTGTACTGTGTTACTTCCCATTGGCTTGTAAGGGGTGAGGTTCTATATTTCGAGTGTGGATGACATACAAGGATTAGTAAAAGCATCATGCCAAGGGCACACAGGCTGTTTAAGGAACTGTACGAGGGTAGTCAAAATAATAACTTACTTTTTGGTAAATCCCCTTAGATATACAAATAAGCAACTTTATTCCAACAAGCTGCTACAGAAGATTTCAGAGCTGGTATTGCTTGTTAATGGTATCAAACTATTACATATTTCACACATCTTTCAAATACTCCGACACTTTGCTTCCTTGACAATGGAAACACAGAGCCCCACATCAGTAATCAAAGCATGAAGAACACCGACAACTAAAATTACAATGAAGAAACTTGCAGGTGAACCATGCTATGAAGCAAATCAGTGCAGGATGTTCACCTCCAAGCCATTACCATCTCTCAATAGAAGATCGCTTCAGTTCCTTCCAAGGGGAAGTGACCGGCATGAGTATGTCTCCTTGAAATCTGACTTCTTGGAAGAAGTAAAAATCGATGCATACACTTCTTTGTTTGCATATGCTGGTGCATGGTCTCCAGCCTTGAACCGCTTCAAAGAGGGAGCCTCCCCCTTCTTCCCATTTTCAAGCTTCTCAGCACCCCCTGCCATCACGGCAGCGGCAGCATGCTTACTCCCACTTAGCCCATTTCCCACCTTCTTCTCCTTCTTTTCCTTCACCTTCCCCCTCTCCTCCTCCATCCTCAGCCTCAATGCCGCAACCTCGTCCTCAGTTCCGTTGAGCGGCATCTTGTCCGCCTCATCAAACTCCTTATGGCATACCAAGCACGCCGAGGTCTTCACCTCCTTGAGAGCCTTCACGCTGAGCACATGGCCACACTTGCGAAGCGCGAGGAATTGGTACTTCCCATTGAAATCGAGCCCGGTGACCGGGCACTGGAACCGGACCTCCTCACCAGCCGCATCGGCATCAGGCTTAGGATGCAGGTGGATGGGGATCATGTCCTTGAGACCCCTGATGTGTGAGAGCGCCTTGGGGAGGCGCTTGTGGAGGAGCGCCTCGACGAGGGCCTCCTTGTTGAAGAGGTTACCCAGGCGATCGGCGACGGCGGGCGCGGCAAGCGGCTCGCCGGAGAGCGCGCAGCAGGTGAAGCGGGAGAGCCGCGCCTCGTTGGGGTCGGCCTTGTCGGGCTTCTTCGCGAGGTACATGGAGAGGTAGCAGTCGCGGGACTCGGCGCCCGTGGCGCCGCCGTCGCCGCCACCGCCGCGGAGCGCGCGGAGGCGGAGCTGGACCGAACCCGACGGCGGAAGCGACGCCACGGGCGCGGACAGCAGGAGCGGGCGGCCATCGGCGGTGAGGTAGAACGACGACGACTCGAGCAGCGGCTGCGGCAGCGCGCGGAGGAGGTGGGAGACCGGGAGGCGGGACGGCACGGTGAGGCGGCGCGGCGGAAGGGAGAGGTCGTCGAGGCGGAGCACCACCGCCCTGGTGGTGGTCGCGCGCTTCTCCATGGCGGTGGCCGCTCTAGGGTTAGGGTTTCGCCGCTGGTGGGGAATCGAGACGGGGAGAGAGATGGACGCGGATAGGAGGAGACGAGAAAGAGAGAGAGAGAGAGAGAGAGAGAGATCTGAAAGGACAAAAGGAAACCGACCTTGCGGAGGAGGAAAGTGGCGGCTTCGTGGTTGGGCCGCATTGTTTTGGGCCGGGAGCGAAGCGGCCTGCTCGGTTTGTCCAATTCCGAGACTGACTGGGCTTTTTTGGGCTGTTGAAATCGACATGTTGCCCGGACTTTCTGCGTCTGCATGAACACGAACTGTCTGTCGGTACTAAACAATCGGATCAGTATTGAGATCCTCTAACCCCAAACAGGCAAAACGAAGTGATCATTAACGTGTGATTAATTAAATATTAATTATTTATTTTTTAAAAATATCAATATGATTTTTAAAGCACTTTTATAAAAAAAATTTAAAAATATGCCGTCTAGTAGTTTGAAAAACGTACGTGTGAAAAGGAGAAAGGTAGCCAAAGAACTCAGCCGAAATGTCTGTCGGTACTAAACAATCGGATCAATATTGAGATCCTCTGATAAAGCCAGACGTGATCGTTGGCACGTACTCCCTCCGTCCCATAAAAAAAACTAGTACTCTGTCCATCCGATAAAAAATCAATCTAAGGTGGTTTTTGGGCCTATTCAGATTGTAGTTAAAATAAACCTTACCAGATTTTAGCAATGCTAAAATTTTAGCAAGATGACAATATTGTTAAAATTTTGGCAGGATTTTTTGTGTATTGACCAAATTTGGACTAAACGTAGACATTTTTTTTGGCAATTTTATCAAAAAATGGTATGGTTAAAAATGACATCAAAGTGAATAGGCCCAAAATGATGGTTTTTATGAGATGGAGTAAGCCTACTCCCTCCGTTAAAAAAAAAAGGCAAACTGTGGGTTCCCGTGCCAACGTTTGACTGTCCGTCTTATATGAAATTTTTTTATAATTAGTATTTTCATTGTCGTTAGATGATAAAATATGATTAATACTTTATACTTTATGTGTGACTTATCTTTTTAAATTTTTTCATAACTTTTTCAAATAAGACGGATGGTCAAACGTTGAACACGGAAACCAGGGTTTGTCTTTTTTTTTTGGGACGGAGGGAGTACTACTCTTGGACACGCATATCAGTGCCTCTTCCATTGGATCAGCATCCATGTCCGAAACGGCCGGGCTGTATATTCTGCAGCGTGCATTTGTTTACCTTAGCTGAGCCAACCGGCCGATCACGACAGACGATCTTCTCGACGACGTGCAGCCAGCCAGCCAGCCATAGTAGCCTGCACATCTTGATCATCACTGTATCCATCGCTTGCCATTAGTCAGCGCAGCGGCGCCAAAATCAATAATGCTTTCACCATATACAATACTATACTAGTATATAATTCATCAGTTTGGTTCATCCAAAAGTTCAGTTCATGCTCTCTGATCAGAGCAAGAACAAAGTGTGTAGTAATGGCGTAGTTATCAGAGGTATTTTCTTTTTTTTTAAAGATATAAATGGACATGTCATGATGTTTTAATCTGCTTCTGATCGCGGCGTGTATGATAAATAACTTAAAGTGGTATATAGAATTCAGCGTCATTTCGTCTTCTCTTTAACAAATGATTAAGAGAAGGGAAAAAAAACAGAAAGAAAAAGGAGTATACAACGATGATACAGTAATCTTGGTCGCCACGGCCGGACAGCTTCGATCATTGCGTCCCGCCGGCGCCGCCGTCCGCCTTTGCGTGCCGTGGGTCATCGCCGTTAGACATCGCCGCCGGCGAGGTCGGGCCGGCGGCATCGAGCATCGTCTGCGGCGGCGCGCCGGCGTGGCGGATGGACGGGCGGGAGAGGAGCGACGCCGATGAGGTCGCCGACGAGATGGCGGAGGCGAGGGAGATCGGCATCAGACAGAGCCCCTTCCCCTGCAGGTACTGCATCGCCGTGCCCATGTCCTCCTCCATCATCTTCGCCACCTGCTGCTCCGTCACCCGCATCCCACCACCGGTGCCACCTCCTCCTCCTCCTCCGCCGCCGCCGCCGCCCTCGCCGCCGGTGCCGCCCTTGCTCGCCTTGCCACCGCCGCCATTGCTGCTCCCGTTGCTGTTCCCCTGCACGGACGCACGACGTCGCATATCTCAGAACCGGAAACTACACGCAACGGCGGCAAAGGCTCGCCGTGTCGATGAACATTGGTTGCTTGCTTGCTTACCTCCGACGACATGCTCGCCACCAGCGGCGCCATGCCGGCGGCGCCGCCGAGCCGGCTCATGCTGAGAACCTGCGGTGTCAAAGGCAGTCACGATGGCATGTCTGATCGATCCTAGCTCACTGAGCTCAAACACACAGAATCGATTGATGATCACCTTGACTTGGAGCTGCAGGAACTTGACGTAGTCGATGATCTCGTCCAGCATCGACGCCTTGTCCGTCTGCAAGCAAAATCAAATCAAAGAACTCCATTCAATCACTTCATTTTCTTCATCAAGATGTCAAGAAAAACGATGACAAAATTGGGCACGAATGCGCCCATGTGCTCATTCACTGCGCTCCATTTCTATCAGTTGGACTGTTCTTTAGTTCAGAAAAAGGAAACAAAGAAAATTCTTCTTGACAATGCAATGACCATATATATGATTAATTCTACCAGAATGTAATATTTCAGAAGGGATGAGAGTTTTGGGATGTAACCTTGTTGGCGTTTGGGACTAGCTCCTGCAGCGATTTCATCCGCTCCGCTATCCTCTCCCTCCGAAGCTGAAAATAACATGAACAATACACAAAAAGTTGAGAAGAAAAATGGAAATGTTGCTCAAGTTCCATTTATTTTTTGGTTGAAACTTGAAAGAGGCAGTAATAATTGTAAGATGATTTCGTGAACAGTGACAGGTTTGACGTAGCTGATTTGATCTGTCAGATTTAAGCACGAGCCAGATCAAGCATTTTCTGCTGTCGTGAGTAAACATGTCTAGAATTCTACTAGTACTAATTTTAAATTTTTAATTAAGTTCATAGAAATATAGAATGCCAGAGAGGAGATTGAGTTGGTAGTGGGAAGAGAGTGGCAGGCAAGCATGCATACACGTTCGGCGATGCTGTGTGGGTCGGTGGCTTGCCCTCTCCTCGCGCGCACCCGCTGCTGCCGCGGCGGCGCCGTGCCACCGCCACCGGAGGAGGTGACCGGCGCCGTGCCTCCGCTCGCCGCCGGCCCTCCGAAGCTCTGCCCCGACATTGATCCTCCCTTGAAACGACGAAGAGGACAATCTTGATGTTTGAGTCGTAGAGATTAATTACAGTGGCAAGTTCTTGAGCGATCGGCTTGCTTACCTGGCCGAACGGCGGCTGCCCGGCGCCGCCGCTGCCGCCGTGCACGCCGAACCCGTTGAACAGCGCGTGCTCGCCTCCCTGCAAATGAAAGAGAAATCTCGTCGGAGAAGGAGGAGAAGATGGTGGTAAGGAAGGAGACGAGAGTTTCCAAGAACGTGGGAGCACGCACGGCGGCGGCATTGGGCGACTTGAAGCCGCCCTCCATCTCCTCCCGCGGCGGCACGTTCGTCCGGTCCGTGAACAGCGGCAGCGGCGAGAACGCGCCGCTCCCGTCCTCCTCGCCGCCGCCGGCCTGCCGGTGCAGCTCGCTCAGCTGCAGCATCACCGGCTTCTCTCCCCCGCCGCCGCCAGCCCCACCGATCTGGTGATGCCGGAGGCGGGACGCGAGCAGCGCCGACTCGTCGAACACCTGCGACGCCGCCGCCGCCGCTGCCGGATCGACCTCCCACGGCGACTTCCCCGCCGCGCCGCCGCCGCCGCCCCCCAGGTCGGCCCACGCCGACGGCAGCGTGGAGAGCATCTGGTCGAAGAAGTCATCCTGCGTCCCCTCGCCGCCGCCGCCGGCGACCGTGTCGCGGCTGCTCGGCTGCATGGAGGCAAAGCTTAGCTTAGCTTAGCTGAAGCTCAAGCTGACAAGCTGCTTGCTAATTAGGCAGCAGAGCACAGCTGCACAGGGTGTCGTAAGCTAGGTTTTATAATGGCGATTTAGGCCTCAAATTTTCTCTTAAAAAATTGGGAGATTAATCTCAGTTCGTGCGGCAGTTCAGAGCGATTTTATAATCGGCGCTACATTAATTCTCATGGACTTAGTTTAAACGGTTGACATATAGTACTCACGTACAGCTGGTTTGTGTGAGTCATGTAGCTACAAAATGAACACAAAAAATGTTTGAATGTTTTAAATGCTGCACTGTTCCTGGCACGTAATATAATCATGCCACGACAAACTTTAGAACTGGTGCAATTTTTATATACTCCCTCCATCCCAAAATAAGTGCAGTTCTGCACTATTCACGTTCAACGTTTGACCGTTCGTTTTATTTGAAAACTTTTTATGATTAGTATTTTTATTACTATTAGATGATAAATATTTTATGTGTGACTAAATACTTTCAAATTTTTCACAAATTATTCAAATAAGACGGACGATCAAACGTTGGGCACGGATATTCATGGCTGCACTTATTTTGGGACGGATGTAGCATTTTTTTTTGCCTGCGGATGGTAACTATTCATAGTTTCTACGAAAATTGAACTGATTGTGTACTCCCTCCGGTTTCATTTTAATTGACGCTTTGGACAATGACATGCTCTACAAGATATATCTTTAACCTTATTTTTCTATTATAATATATACAATAAATAAATGCATGTTACTTTTATTATAGTGTTTTGAAAGACAAATCTATATATGTTTTTCTAGTTTCTTTAAACTAAATATTTTTAAAGTTATTGATGGTCAAAGTTATAAAAGTTTAATCTTAACCTTGTCCAAAACGTCAATTAATATAGAACTAGAGAGAGTATGGAGCAGTGGATTTCATTATTAAATTAAAAATCAAGGGTTGAAGGCCTCCTTTTTTCCCCTAAATAGCTCAATGATTTTGTAATCACATTATTCAAATGTATAAACGAATGAAATATATTGTGAAATTGAAAAATGGATCTAAATTAGTTTCTTAAAATTCTCATAAATTTTGTAATGAAAACCGTACTACTATCATTAAGGAGCTTAGCAAGCGCACTAATCCATTGCTCTGTTATCCTTAAGAGCAAGTTTAATAGTATAGCCAACTACTAGCTCCAAATCACATATAGTCAACTTAATAGCCAATTCATATAATAGTTTCGTACTACACTATTAATACATGGTCCCACCTATCAGTGTCTTAGAGTCCGTGCTACAGCTGGCTACAGATCTATAGTCCGCTGCTCTTCTCTCTCCTCTTTTATCTCTTTAAAATATGTTTATAGCTAAGAGCAAATATGTTTATAACTGGCTATATTTTAAAGAGATAAAGGAAGAGATAGAAGAGCAACGGGCTACAGATCTGTAGCCCAGTTACAGCACGGACTCCAAGACATAATATGTGTATGATAGGTGGGACCAAATATATATTAATAGTATAGTAAACAACTATTGTATGAATTGACTACTACATTAGATATAGATGATTTGAAACTAGTAGTTGGCTATACTATTAAACTTGCTCTTAAAAGAGAGCAACATGCCAAGAGCAATGGTGGTGAATAAGGTTGTCAGGATCGGGATACTAGGTAGTATCGTTTTGCTTAAAGTAATACCGTATCGTAGGATCGTATCGTAGTATCGGGATACTATGAGATTTTATTTTTTTAAGTTTAATTAATATTTATATTAATTATATATGGCTATTCTATAAAAAAATATAGTAATGATATATGTCATGCAAATAGAGACATTTATCAAGAGAAACCACGTTGGTTTTGATATATTTAACCGATTTTCATATAAATTTGAGTATATTTAGTTACATTATTTTCAAACCATGTTATTTTAAATAATATTTTGTAGTATCGTAGGGATCGTAGAATCGGGATATCATCTAAGATTTCGTAGGATCGTGTAGTAATGAATAGTAGGATCGAGATACTATTAAGATACTAGGTGGTATCGGTATCGTTTCGGCTTGGTAGGATCGTAGTATCGTAAGATATTAGGATACGAATCGGGATACTGACAACCTTGGTGGTGAATGCTTCATGCAGCTTGGCCTTTAATCCATGGCTGCCTTGTGTGCGTGCACACATGCGCATACTGGCCACACGTGCTCCTCTCCGTGCGCTCGTGTGCAATGCGAAGCGAGTCAACGCTGGAGAACTCAAGATCGATTAATGCAGTCATTCGGCATCCGATGAAAGTGTAAATGTGATCAGTTATCAGCAGTTGCAGAAGATTCAGAGTTTCATTGGAGAGAGAGTGAACTGTGAACTGTTAAAATATATTGTGAATCACAATTAGCAAGAGGATTATTCATTCGATCACCATTAGAATATCAGTGCCAAGTGCGGCTCTAATCAATGTTCTAATATCTCCTAAAGTGATATGATTATTTATCAATCAGCTTGCTGTTAACAACGAGGATCCTATGCCTTTGCTTGTTTAGCAGAATACATTTACTCACCATACTACATTTGGGTTCTTCCATAAAGTGAAAGATGGACCTGGCTGCTAGAGATCTAAAAAATATCAGGATAATCACCTAGCTAATTAATCACCGGATTATGACCAGTTTGCAAGATTGCTTTTAGCCACCCTACTATTTTCTTTCCGATCCCATAACGATGCAAAACTACGAATTGATACTAATGCTTAGCATCAACCTTAGAGCAGGTACAATAGCAAACTATTAGCTAGCTATAAACATATTTTATTGAGATAAAAGATGAGAGAGAAGAGCAGCGGACTACAGATCTATAGCCAGCTGCAGCACGGACTTCAAGATGCAATGTATGTATGACATGTGGGACCATATATTAATAGTATAGTAAGCAACTATTGTATTGTATGAATTGGCTATTAGATCGACTATAGATGAATTTGAGCTAGTAATGGGCTATACTATTAAACTTGCTCTTAGAACCAACATTATCCTGAGATGATTAATTAGTTTTGATGACTTGATTAGTGAGGATCAGTTGGTGTCTGATGGGAGATTAATAAACAAATCAGGAGACAAACAGGAGTGCACGGGGAGTGATGGGGTGGGGGGAAGTGGCGCGAAGTCAGCTGCCAGCATTAACTGCTCGACACATTCTTCTTGTAGAGCCAAAACGAATGGACGAGTGGTGTGGTGGTGACAGTTTTTAGGTCTAGCTCTGCATTAACTGCAGCTAAATCAAATCTGGTTTGCGACATTAATGAGAGATTAAACTAATCTCCCATGTATCCAGAGTTCCAAGCACGCATGGTTGCATCTCCTCGGCTTAGCCAGACAAGCCCGTCATAATAAATTCAGCCAGATTCATTTCACCCAATACAAGAAGCTGGGTTTGCTTTGTTTTAGAGTATTTTGTTGCATAATGCTATCCTCTTGCATGGAAAAAGCCTACCGCGACTGTTTGGCACACCTCCAGTTTTCAAGCTAGAGTAGATCAATTAGTTAGGCCAGTTCTAATGCTCCAGAAATGGTAGTTTTTATAGCACTAATTGCAATGTCCTACATAAGCTAAAAATCTGATGTGTACTTAACGAGAAGAGGGAGGAAAAACTGGAGAATTTGTCTCTTGTATGAGACATAGTTTTAATCCAAACACGTGAAGTGATGAAACATGATGAGATATAAATTCCGTTTTTTAAACATATATATGATGCAGTTGATTTTTAAGATACGTTTGTTCATTCATTTTATTAAAAAAATACATGTAATTACCATTTATTTTTGTTATGACTTGACTTATCCCTATAGGTTATTTAAGCATTATTTATATTTTTTTTTATATTTGTACAACTTTTTGAATAAGATGAATGATCAAGCATACGTTTAAAGTCAACTATATCATATATTAAAAAACGGTAGGAGTACTCCATACTGAACTAATACCGTGTGCATTGAGGGAAGGTGGGTCTAATATCAGTGGTGTCCTGCATTGGGCCTGCTCCTATTTGGATGAGACAACTGTTTATATTTTAGGCAAAAAGTAGAGATTAAATCACTTCATTTTAATCTAAAATCTATGCTTTCCACTAGAATTTAAGAGTTATTATAGCCATGCCAAACAAACCCTAAAAGCTCATGTAGCTCATCTACTGGGCATCCTAAAAGGAACAGGTGTCCCTATAATCATAAGTTAGCTTGTAAAGTTAATGTAGATCATATACTGGGCAGGCTACAAGGAACAAGTGTCCCAATAACCACCAGTTAGCTCGCCAAATCATGTCAATCAGGTCAGATAATCACTACCAGATGAGAGAGCGAACGAATATGTTATCTGGAGGCCCTAATTTTGCCATTGTTTAGTTCCAAAAAAAAGAATTTTTAGGTGTCACATCGGATGTTTGACTGATGTCGAAAGGGGTTTTCGGACACGAATAAAAAACTAATTTCATAACTCGCCTGGAAACCACGATACAAATCTTTTGAGCCTAGTTAAGCAGTCATTAGCCCATTGTGGGTTACTGTAGCACTTATGGCTAATCATGGACTAATTAGGCTCAAAAGATTCGTCTCACGATTTTTATGCAAACTATGCAATTAGTTTTTATTTTTATCTATATTTAATGCTTTATACATGTGTTCAAAGACTCGATGTGATGTTTTTGGGAAAAAAAAATTAGGAACTAAACCAGGCATGAGTAGCCTTATTTTTGAAAGTGCAACTTACAGTGAGCTGATGCAGAAACACTTAGGATTTGTTTCAGAAAAGTACAGCGAGCACTTTAAGAAAGCAAGATACTACTACCACTTTGTTTTAGGTTATAAGACTTTCTAACATTGTCCATATTCATATAGATGTTAATGAATCTAGACACAATGTAAGTGGACAATGCTAGAAAGTCTTATAACCTGAAACGGAGGAAGTAATATATTATATCACTTTAAGAAAGTCTAAAGAACATAAGAACTAGACTCGAAGTTTACTCAACAGAGACTTGTACTATCTTGTAGTAATAATAATAACTTTTCTGTGAAAAAGAAATTCCAACTTTCAACTAGTGCCGTATCAAGTAGCAAGTGGGTATCAATGCTTTCTAAACGAAAATATAACAGATTTTTCCTTAGAAATTGAAACATTAGTTGCGACAGTTTTTTCCCCTTAATTTCACAAAATTGCAGGTAGTTTAGTCAAATTATCACAAAATTTAAGGTGATGTATCAAAAAAAACTACAGATTTAACAATAAAATTATCACAAAACTACTGATTTAACAATAAAATTATCACAAAACTACATATTTTAAGTTTAAAGCATTAGCACTAATATATGTTTGAGATATAAATATTCAAGTTTTGTGATTAAATTAATATTAACCTATAGTTTTGTGATAATTTTGTTATTAATATGTACTTTTACGATATTTCAGCTTTAATTTGTAGTTTTGAGATAAATTTATCGTTAAATCTGTAGTTTTGTAATACATCATATTAAATCTGTGCTTTTGTGATTTTTGTCAAAATATCTATAGTTTTATGAAATTTACTCAACTTGTAAATTTCTAAACATTGAATCACACATCAAGATTCGTGCATGCAGGAGAGGGGTAAAAATACAACCAATTGCACAGTTTGCATGTAAATTGCGAGACGAATCTTTTGAACCTAATTATGTCATGATTTAATAATGTGATGCTACAATAAACATTTGCTAATGACAAATTAATTAGGCTTAATAAATTTATCTCGCAGTTTACAGACGGAATCTATAATTTGTTATGTTATTAGTCTACATTTAATACTTCAAATGTGTGTCCGTATACTTCAAAAACTTTACACCCAAATAACTAAACACACCCTTATTGCCTATTTGTGTGTCCCGATCTGTGAAGCGGATCTGTGAAGCGTTAATCAATGAAGCTAATCTGGACTTGGCGCTAGAAAAGCTTCATTGTTCTGCTGTAATGCATACAGTTTCATAATGTTTAGAATCTACAGTTCTGTTTTATAATCGCAGTTCTGTTTTCCCGAGGCATGCATCTATAGCTGCCCTTTGTTTCGATCTACAGGATCCATTTTTGTTGGAAAACAAAAATGCTTTTCTATTATTTTCTTGAGATAAAAAACGGATATTTTATTCATTTGCAGGCAAGTTTACATTCATATTCAGAATACGGGGAGGATTTGAGAACCCCCAAAATATGTTTACTAGCGTAGATACGCTGGAGGCTTCCCCATACAAATATCAAGATATCAAATCTTTTGTTTGAGCAGAGGACGCACTTCATAACTTTGTAATATGGCATATCATGTATTGAATTCTATCGAATTATCACCACACATGAAAAGGAATCAGAGATACTCCGATCAGCTCTAATGATTTTTTTTATATTTCCATCACAGCATGTAATCACTACTGTCCACACAATCAATTAATTCGTATGACGGACTACTGATAATGTCAAACAGAAATGGCTCGTTCTGGAACACCGTTATTTCTGATACTGCCTGTTACACCATACTGTAATGCTAGCATTCAAAATGAAATCAGGAATGTAGATATAAGGCAGTGCCGTACATTAGAAAGGATAGTTTTACTTTGTCTGGGAATCAAAAGATAATCTGAATCAATATAGCTAGGATTATTTCTGAGATGCAGCTTTAGCAGCTGAACACAAGAGCAAGGAGAACTCTTCAGAGGTAGCAATCAAATCATTTGCCCATTTCCCAGACAATGGCACTGTCCTCTGCATCAGCAAGTAAGAAGAGCAAGTATATGTACAAAATATACAGGCAACAAACAATTGTTCAATCCAACATTATCTAAGACAAAAGAAGAGTAATGTTTTCAATTGTATAATCCAACATCATAAGCTTTCAAGAAAATAGCAGTGTTCCAAGAACGTGAGTTGAATGGCCCCTCCTGCCACCAGATAAAACAAGAATGCACCTTTGATCTTTTTGTTTATCCAAACCTCAAGCAGCATCCCTGCGCCAACTCCAGCAGCACACACAGCGCCATAGATTGCCAATGCAGAAGGCAAATATCGCCGAGGCAGAAAATAGCATTCAGGAACTTGTCTAATTTTCTTTGGGAGACGCTTTTTAACAACTGGTTGGCTTGGGTCAGTAGTCACTGAACCACCACCAACTGTTTTCCAGTCCACATTCTTCAGCATATCTTTTGTGTCCTCACTGCCCATCCTGAAAATGCCTATGTGCATAAATGTTAATCAGAACTAAGCTCCAAACACTATCTGAGAAAGTGAGTGGCAGATCAAGAATTGGAGTGCACCCAATGCTGACTTATGACATGGCTAAATGTATAAAACTATCAATGGTTTGCAACAAAATTAAACGAAATAAAAATTCATTGAAAGCGATCTAATAATTTCACAGACGATGCTCCAATACAAGAAATAAAAAGAAAGCTTTATGGAATTCAAAATCAACAGCTGCAAAAAGAAATTTCATGAAGCTAAACACTATATTATTCAAAAGATTAGGTTACCACATCTGACAACCATAAGCTCATCTCTATTAGCATGGTTGTAACTTGTAAGTAAAATATTTGCACCTCTAGAAACATCACAGTAGTAATTTCCCTGTGCATCAATAGACCCCCTTATCAAAATTGAATGTTATTTCCCTTGTAAAATAGTACTGTAGGGTACTAAGCAAACAATCAATAATCAACACGGTACATTGGTAGAATTGACTAAAACCAATTATGAAGTTCAAAATTTGCCAAAAAAACTAAACAAAAAAAACATAAGTACTTTGGTACAAATATGGATCTTAATCATAAATAGAAGAATGCAATGCTACTCAACTCTAAGCTTTCTGCTACTCAACTCTAAGCTTTCTCATAGCCACCCAAGTAAATCTTCATTACACCATGCTCACATAACTCTGAAGAAGACATCGCACTCAATCATGTGGCTAAACATTTTTCCAACAATTTACCGCACGGATTTGTTTCTCAACTTATTCTCACTAGATTCAGCGCTGAAGTAGCCAAGCTATTCATTAAACTACCGAGTATTACCACACTAGAATCGATTCTACAGACTACATACAACCGGCACCACAAATTAAACTTACATGCACAAATTGACAAATTCACAATGAGGCAAGATCTAGCTAACTACCTGCGGGCTACAATCGGTGAATCCGACAAGCAGACAGGAAGGGGAGCACGGGCCGAGGGGGCTTCAGGCACCTGGCAGGCGGCGAGGCTAGGGCTTGGGGCGGCGCTTGCTGCTGCCCGGCGCACGGAGCGGGAGGGCGAGGCTGCAGCTTGGACTCCAGATAGCCCGCTCCCTGCGGGGGCTTGTCGCCGGCAACGGAGGGCGGGGAGGCGCGGCGCTGGGCGACGGCGGCGGCGGGGAGACGGCACGAGAAGGGACCGAGAGCCTGAAAACTTGTATGGGCTTCTGGGCCGTAGGATTTGGTTGGTGAGGTGGGTCTCTGGGCCAAATTTGACTGTGTAATTTAGCCCACCAGAAAAAATTGACAGTGTAATTAGAGTGGTTTTAGGGTTCTCGAGAAGGTTCTACATTTACTATTATAAAATTTGGAACCTCTTGGTATCTCAATTTGGGACCTCTTTGGTACCTCCGATACTTAGGTACGAAAATTTTGGTACATACCTCTCAACTTCTCAAGTACTGTAAAAATTCTTGTGTGTAATTATGTATTGCTCAGCATGTTTAACATGTTCTTTAGATACACGTGAACATGCTCTAGGAGGGAATGCAGAACAAAAGTTATTGAATCAAGCAATAGCATCGAATATTTGTATTTGTCAGATTGAGCATACTAAAAGATTGTCACAGCAAAATTCTCTGCATAGCAAAAAATAGAATTCAATCTAGTATCTTTTGCACCAAGCTACCAAATAATAACATTCAACAGGTGAGAAAGGTCAGGGGTCTTCCGGCTAGCTCCACAAGGTAGTGGGCTAGATGACCTGAGTTCGAAGCCTCACCCCTTCTAATTATTTGATATTAGGTCCTCTCCTAATATTCGCGTCTTTTAATAACATTCAACAGGTGACAACAAATTTCCAACTCCCCCCTCTTGGTGACTTAAGCTGTCTTTTAATCCGCTTCACAATGTAAGTCATTCTAGCATTTATCTAGATTCATTAACATCAATATGAATGTAGAAAATGCTATAATGACTTACATTGTGAAGCGGAGGAAGTATATTTTACAAGTACGTGGATTTAAAATACTAAGTTTAATAGTAGAGTCATACCTCTATCTCATATAAAACAAAAAAAATTATCTAAAAAAATATAAAACAAAAAAGATTCTCCAACATAGTTTGTGGTTTAAGATTGAAATGCTATGTTCGGCACAATGAAATGGAAACTAATCTCTCACGCATGTAAAACAGAATGACTCATTAGCTCATGATTAATTAAGTATTAGCTTTTTTATGCGAGAAATGGATTTATGTGATTTTTTAAAAACAACTTTCCTATATATTTTTTTTCAAAAATCATAACCATTTAGCAGTTTAGAAAACGTTTGCATGACAAACGAGCGAGGTGAAGTTAGGAAAGTGCACATTCGAAAAGCCAAAAGAAAAAAAAACACCTGCACGTTTAGACAGAAAAGGCTTGTCAGTTCATAAGCTAGCTTATAAGCCCAAATAAAAAGGGCTTAGTAAAGTAATCAAAAGTTAGATCGTAGATCTAGAACAAAATGTCCAAATGAGGGTATGATCTGAATTTCACTAAAACACTGAGCCAGGGTCCGTGGTTAACCCTACAGACCCTGAAGTTTGAATTCAGTTATTTAAAGCAGTACTACTAAATCCCAAATTACGTACAATTTTCGGCCACCATGTCCCAGCCTGTACCTCGAAAATCTAGAGCCTGGCACTGTGCCACTGCAATGCAGCTGGACCAGAAGCTTCAAACGCGAAATCCAAATTCAAAGCCTGCAAACTCGCTGAAGTAGGCCTACTGTTTCCTTCGTTTCTGCAGAGTTTTTATCACAAAATTTGCCTGAACATTTTCAGTTTTGCACGCGCTGCCTGCCTGCCACTGCTCTGCTCAAACCTTCTATTCTACCCTCGTGTTCTTACTGCTGCCACTGTTCACTGCAGCCTTCTGAATTTTCAGTTTTTTCACAGCGCCAGTTTGCCCTTTCGATCGCTAGCCTGCTGGGGTTAATGCAGCCGCAGTGTACTGATGGCGTCTGCAAACTGCAGCCTGCAAGTAAATTCGATCAGAAATTCAGAATTCAGCACAGAACCGTTACTGCTCATCGAGATAATGTTCATCTCGCCTGGTCCCAAATGTACATTTCCCTCCCTGAATTTAGAACGCATTCACGAATTGCAGATGATCAGTGTGGTTTTGTGCCACGAATCAATCGCGCTGAAAAATTACGAGTATCATTTTTGAAATGGAATTTTTTTCTCCGGCATACGCAAAAGACCTGTGCATAGTTGTATCAAGAGAAGAGTTTGAAACAACAACAAACATCCTTACTTCAAATCTTGCATATCATACGAAATATATATGCATTATTTTTCAAAAAAGATCAATGTTTTCAACTTTTCAAAATTTATTATGAATTAGTTATGAGTACTCTCAGGGCAAACTTTTGTGCAGGAAAAATGGGAAAACTTCAGCAAGTATTGGCCAATCTCAACGAGAAACACCAGCAGCAGCATGGGCAATGCAAAGAACAGAATCCAACAGAATTTGCAGAGACAAGTTTACAGTGGACACATGAATGCGTCTCGATTGGATTGGATTGGATTGGATTCCCTGGAAAAAAAATTTCTGAAAAACGCCGCAGAGACAGCAGGATCATTGCACATTTACTACACCGCACGCACAATCACTCACACCCCCACCCCCACGCGTCACTCCTGCACATCCTTCCCGCCATTTCTGCGCCCCCGCGCGCGCGCGCGCGCCAGCGCGCCAGCGCGTCGCGCCAAGCCGCCAAACAGTCGCGCCGCGGCGCGACACGGGACGTGCTAGAGCGCGCGCGCGTGGAGCTGCGCGGCGTGACCAACCGTGCTCCTGCGGCGAGGTGTTGGTGCTACCTACGATCTGGCGAAGCGGCGGGACTCGTCGCGGCGGTGGGTGACGAGCTTGGCGGCGTCGCGCCACCACACGACCTCGCGCTCCTTCTCGTGGAGGCGGCGCTGGGTGGCGTCCAGGGCGGCCTCCAGCTCCACGATCCGCTCCTGCTGCCGCTTCTGCAGCAGCTCGTACAGCCGCCGCTCCAGCGCCCGCGCCGACACGCCGCCGTGCGGCGGGCTCTTGTCCCCGCCGCCGCCGCCGCCGTACTCCTCCTCTTCTTCCTCCTCCCCCTCCTCGTCATACTCTTCGTCCTCCTCGTCGTCGTCGTCGTCTTCCTCGACCACCTCTCCGCCATTGCCACCTTCTGCCACGTCGTCGTCGTCGTCGACGACGCAGCTCCTCGGCGGGCTGTCCGACACGTTGCTCTTCGTCGTCGTCTTCACCTGCAGCAGCGGCAGCTGGTGGTCGCCGGCATATCACACGTGCGCACCATCGTCAGCAAACCGTACGTGCTCGACGCGTGCCATCTCGACATGACGACATGCACGAAACGTACCTCGAGTCCGTGCATGGTGGGAGGAGCGCCACGCTTCTCGCCGTGCGCGGCGGCGACGCTGCCGCACTGCAAGCGGCTCAGCTCCACCTGGAGCTCCGCCTCCATCCGGTGCATCACCACGGCGGCGCGTCCTCCGCTGCCGCCGCCGCCGCCGGAGCAGTTGGACATCGCGTCGTCGGAGACGGCGGCGCGGGCGATGGGATCCTTCACGGCGGTGGTGCTGCGACCATCGGATTCTTGCGAGCTCGAACGGGCGGCGGCGGTGGCGGCGGCGGCGGAGTCCTTGTGCTTGCTCTGCGTCTCCTTCCTGATCTCCGACACGAGCGCCTCCATCTGCGCGCGGAGCTCCACCATCTTGTTCAGCTCCACGGCGCCCTTGGACAAGAGCAACACCAAGCTCGCGCCCAGCCCAAGGTTCATCGACATGATCTCCTCCTCCTGCTTCTTCTTCCCTGCACAAACACAAACCAATCCATCCATCCATCCATCACCAACTCGATCGATTTCAACTTCTCATAATCCAGCGAAGAATTCCCATCCGAATTATACCATTTCTCCCCTCGTCGAGCGTGCAAGAACTCCGCGGCGTGTCGAGCGACAGATCCGGCGCCCTCCCGACGACCTTGACCCTGGCCGGGGCGTCCTGCTCGGAGGCGGTGTCCTTCGCCTCGGCGCCGGCGCCGGCGGCGGAGGTGGAGCTGTACCGCCGCGGCAGCCGCACCCGGCACCCGAACTTCCCGCCGCCGCCGCCGCCGCCGTCGCCGCCTCGCTGCAGGATGCGCGACAGCAGCGAGCGCGGCGACTGGCAGCTCTCGACGCCCCCGCCTGCGCCGGCGGCTCTCGCGAGGTGCGCCCTGATGGACGCCGCCGGCGACGGCGACGACACCGCCGCGAGGCGCGGCGGCGGAGGCAGCGGCAGCGCCTCCATCGCCCCCATCCTACTACCAACCCTCGCTGAGCCCTCCATTGCCGCCCGCGCGGAACACGATCGAAGCTAGCGTCGAACACAGAGCAACTCGAATTCTCGTGATAACTCCGGCGAGAAAATCCACACGTATTTATAGGAGTCCATCGCTAGCACGCCCCGGAAACGCGCGGCAAACCTTGCGCCATCGCAGCAAGTTCAAATCTTTTCCAATCTTTTTCTTTTCAAAAAAAGAAAAAAAACAACACACACAAAAGAAGATTAAATGCTTGTGTGCTGCTACTACTACTAATCGATACGATCTTTTTCTCTCTCTCTTCAAGAAACACAATACAAAGACAGACGCTCATAATATACGCACAATTGTAAATAGACACACGTAAATTCTGCTTCTATGAATAACTTCGAAGGATTGGCCATCATATATATCTTAAAATTAATGAATTCATCACGGATGTTTTCCTGTCGACGGTTATATCACCAACTAGAAAAAATACTACCTCCGTCCCAGAATAAGTGCAGTCGTGGGGAACCGTGTCCGACGTTTGACCGTTCGTCTTGTTTGAAAAATTTTAAAAAAATTAGTCACACATAAATTACTATTCATATTTTATCATCTAATAACAATAAAAATACTAATCATAAAAAAATTTCAAATAAGACGAATGGTTAAAAGTTGAACATGAACACTGTAAAACTACACTTATTTATTTTGAGACGGAGGGAATATTCATAAATATGATCATCCATATTATAGAATTTGAAGTTTGATGGCTGGTTCTAATGCGATTATTTTGGGTTGCATGAACCGCTAATTTGCGATCGACGGATGGTCCCAGCGGGGGGAGTGATTGGGAGGGTGCAGGGAGGGGGGAATTAACTCCGGGCGCGAGCAACCCATGTTGGGATGAACAGGGGAAGAAGCTGGTACAAAAGCTTCCATTTTTACCTTTTGCGTTTCAAAAAGGGGCACTGTCATTCTGTGAAAAATTTCTGCAACTTTTACTGATCGACCACTGTCACCGCCCGCGCGTGGCTGCCTCACCGGCACAGCAGGGCAGAGCAGGGGCTGCACCGGCAGGGAATTTCGAGTGAAGGGCAGTGTGGTGGTAGGTAGGATAGGCGTAGTACACCACACGGCAGTGCAGTGCAGCACTGCGTCGCCGTCGTTTTGTTCTGTTTGGAAAAGAGAGCTGCACTGCTAGGTTGGCAGGATCTTCCTCGGGAGCTGGAGCTAGCTGCCTCGAGCCGTCGGATCAGAGGATCGGACGGTGCCAACTGTGCAAGACATTGCTTGATTGCAAGAGCTAATTAAATCTGAATGCTTTTCTGGATAGCTGATTGCTTGATCCAATGCATTGTTTTGTAGTACTCTTATGTTCTAAAATACCCCTCCATCCCAAAAAGAATAAATCAAACTCAGAGTTTGAATTTGGACACATATTGTCTATATTCAAACATAGTATTTGATTTTTTTTAACAGAGTAGTATAATAAATTTTTAGTGGATGTGACACATTCTAGTATTATGAATCTGGTTAGTAAGCTTATCTAAATTGTAGTATTATGTTGTGTCATATCCACCTAAAATCTCTTATATTTTAGAATGGATGGAGTAGTGCGTAATTGAGCAGCCTTGATTTTGATGAGGTTAAGCCTGTTGTTTTGTGATCCTTACTATGAGAAGCAAGAATAAATACTACTACTTATCGAATCAAAATTGTGGCGCATTTTGAAATGGAGGAATTGAGCCCAACGCTCTTTTGAATTTGAATGTAACTATCATTGTACAGCTGATCATCCATGTTCAGCTTCTCTTCTACTCAAACTTTGGCGTGTTTTTGGAAAGTACGGTTCAGATCCTTATGCCCACGAATATTACATACACGCGAGTGCACTTCCAATGGAGGTCTGAGAGTTGTCGTTGGTCTTTAATTTATCTCTTTAAGTGCGGTGTATGTGCGTAACGGTTTGCACACGTATGCGCGTAATTGAAAAAAAATGGGTTTGGCTTGTTATTCTTTGTAATTAAATAAATACAAACGTTTTCCCTTGGTACTATCATGTAGGAACATTTTTAGCTAGGCACATTTGCAATACAGAAATATTTCCTGTATATAGTTCCAGCAAGATTAATTTGGGCTCTTTTATATGCAATTCAATTACAATAAATTCGTCTGCAATTCCGTGTTAAACGTACAGCTAATCTTCAAAATAATTCAAAATTTTTACTGGAAAGCCATAATATCCTAAAATTAACCTTGCGTTGCAAACTGGGTAAATAATTTGCGCTCAAACCAGGAGACAATAATCAAACACGTACCTTTAGTCCATCACATGTGGCATCACCAAATTAAAGGGCTCTCATTAGTACTAAAACGGCGATTAATTACCATGTGAAAAATTCAAACTGAGCCGATCATCCGTCGATGAATTGAATGGAACCCCATGAACGGCACCAGTACGTACTCCAAGTGTTCAAGTAGCTAGGAGTACGACTAGAGTAGTAGAAATGGTTAATGATGTATTGCATTTGACTCCAAGATTCAAATTGTATACTACCGTTTCAAGCAAGAGTGGTTTATTGTTTGGTCAGAGATTAGAATCTCGCAACAGGCCGTATTAACCAGCCTGTCGTATGTATACGAACACACGATCCTGTAACACTGTTGGTACAAGAGTAGTACTATCATACGGTGCTGATTAATTTACTTAATCTAAACACATGTGAAAGTGTTCGGTTTAATTAGTTACTGTAGTGATAGTACGTACGTGCATAGGTTTAATTTGTAGGTTGTTTAGCGACAAATTAAGGCTAGCTAATAATGTCGATCGGTATTCAACTCTCTTGATGTAGTTTTTTTTTTTTTGGTCAGTCTGTTTGAACTAGATAATTGTGTGTATGTCAAAACTGAAGAGGCATGTCGTAGAACGGCAGAAACAACATGGGAAAAAAATCTTAAATTTATCCTTTATAAGGTGATGATTCCTCATTCTTTGCATGCCGAAATAAATAATAAAAAAATTAAAAAAAATAAATTTAATAATATAGTTCAATACTGCACATTGTCTCACCGTTCATGGATATCCACTAATTTTATTTGGTTCTTATAAATGCCCAATTAGCTCAAGTTTTTATTTCATAGATAGGATTTTGTAGCAGCGCTGGTGAGACAATGTGCAGTATTGAACTATATTATTAAATTTATTTTTTTAATAACTTGCATGCATGACGAGAGTACGCGACGAGCACGTGCTAGCTCTACACAGACTATGAATCGAAACCAATTTGCCGTAGACGATAAAAATTTTGTTTCAGTTTTGCCGTAGGCGATGGTAAAATTTTGTCTCGGTGCATCCGCATCGTATGCACGGTAGACGGTGTCAGATGTACTAGCACGGCCAGGGCAGCAGCGCCAACGGTAGAATCTCCCATCCTTCCTGCATCATGTGTGATTGTTTCCAAGCTGCTCCACACTATACCTATACGTACCTAGCTAGCCAGCATGGCCATTCATGCGTGCACCCACAGTAACACCCCCCAAAACCACGACCCGTACTATTACACGCCCTGTCTCATATAGGAGTAATATATTTATTTTTAACTACGTTTGCTTATCCCGGAATAAGTTTACTATTAATAACTGCATCGATATTTTAAAACATAGAGAGTAAATACATTGAAAATAGATAAAGAGACAAAATATAATTATATTTTGAGTTGAGAAAATCATGGTATTCTAGGTTTTTTAATTGATACATATGAGATAAAAATAAAAAATTGGTGTACTTTCTCCATCCCAAAAAGAACCAATCTATATTGAGATTGGACATCACCTAGAACAACGAATCTGAACATATTATATAGATTCGTTATTCTAGGTAATGTAAAATATCCACGCAGGTTGGTTTTCTCTAACGGAGGAGTACGTACGTTGCAACCCCGGTCCGGTCCGGGCCGGGCACCCGCATCACGCACACGCACCATTCAAATTTCCGAACTCCCCGCGCGCGCGCGCGCCCCCCTGGAGCCTGCAGCTTGATCGATCGATCGATCGCGTAGCAGTCGCGTGTTACACGGCCCCGTACGTTTCGGTTTCCACCACCTCGCCCGACGCCGTCGCCGAGCGCGCGGGCGCGCGGCGCACATATGCCGTACACTCGTCCACTCATCATCGCGCCACGGAGCGCCGTGCGCGCGTTGCCGGCCTCAGCCTCAGGATTGGGAAACGAACCCACGGAGATCACGTGGTTCTCGGCCTCTCGGCCCGATCGAAAATCCCCGCGATTTCCCCCCGGGGGTTTCACCGTACGCGCGGTAGATATCACCGCGCGCGCGCGCGCGGCCGGCCGCCATCCACGCATCCACCACCACCGTATCAACGGCGCCGCGCGCGGAGATCGCACGTAAAAAAATTTTGTAACCGGACGCGGTGTGCTTGTGGTGGTGGTGGTCATAGGGAACGCGTGAGCGAGGAGGGGGGGGGGGAGAGGCATATTTACTGGAGGGGACGCAGGCAAGCACACGCACGGCGACACGGCACGGGTGGGAGGGGGCTTTAATACGGGCCGCCATCCATGTGCCTGCGTGTACGTACATATCTCCATCCACTGCATGGTTTTGCATGCATGCGACTGTATATGTATGTACACACACTCTCTCTCTCTGCTGGGAATTAAATCAATTAAGATCGAGTTCGATATTCTTGTCGTCGATCCTGATATATAAATTAATAATTAAACAATCCCAATCATTCATAGAATGAATAATGATTGTGAACATACATGCATGGTACGGGCATAAACAAATATTTTGAGTGAATCAAATTCTACTGTACTCTTCCTCCGTCCAAAAAAAAACTTAATCTAGAAAGGAATGTGACCTCTCCTAGGAGGATAAATCTGGATAAGGAGAGGTCACATTCACTTACTTCTAGGTTGAGTTTTTCTGAGACGGAGAGAGTATATGTCTAAGATTTAAAATATGGTTTTGGGGGGAAAAAAATTCGATAGCTGTCGGTCGTCGATCTGTTGGCTAGCTACGGCGTACTAGGAGCAACTCATTTGATGAGCTTGAATTAATTCGGCGAGTGTATGTTTCCAATTATTGGGATGTTAATTTATAATTATGTGGGTTGAAAATTGACTGTCACTTATTGCAAGCGCCACGATATTCAAATATGTGTATCTAGGATTGGGGTACGTAGGAGTCCGTGCATGAACGTACGCATACTAGTTTGCATTTTGCAAATACACATGCATGTGGAGAGTGGAGTAGAGACCCTGTTGCATTAATACGTATAGACAAGAAGTTATTGTTAAGTTGCGAGAGATTCAGCGATGGAGGAATCCGGAATCTTTAATTAATTGAAGAGATCAATGCTGCACGGGAAACCTTCACTGGTCGGCAGCATCTCGAATTTTCACTACTTCGGTTTCAAAATTGGAGCTCAATCATCTGGAAGAATTATTGCATGTTAATTTAATTGCTTCCTTCTTGGTACATAGTTGAATTTCCAAGTTAATGATACCCCCACACACAGTACCTCGCTTAATGTTATACTACAAATTAAGCATCAAGATCCTGTTTGGAAGAATGAATTATATATATACAACTCTTGTAGGAATTTCAGGGATCAGTTCATTTTACACTAGAATTATGAACAATTTCTAGGTTCTCACATGCAGCAACATTTGGCAAAACATGTCTTGTTCGCTTCAACTAAACAATTTTACACAATTATTTGAGAAAACAGTGCGTAATTCATCCAGGTAAAAAAACAACACATAGCTCAATTTCAAGCAAAAACAAGTACGTACGCTTAATACCATTTACTCGGGGTCCTAATACAACAGCAGCTTCGCATGTGCCACGTTGGCCCAAAAATGATTACACGAACAATGACGGCGCCAGATAAGATCACGCAAAAATGTTCACGCTCCAACTCTTAAAACAGGGATTCGCATTATCTTTTCTGGGGACCAAAGGGTGTAGTAGCCATTAGTATCACTATCCGTTAAACGTAATAACTGCCGGGTCGAGGTGTTGCTCCTCTCGTCCAGACAGCGTCCAGGTCGAAACTGACTTGTACTCCAACACGCCATTACACAAGCTATATAGCCTCTTGGCCTTGGCCCAGATAGAAGCCAACATGTTTTAACGGGTTATACGGTTTGCTTCTGTTGCAACAGTTCCCAAGATTAACTTGCATACAGCATTGCATTACACTGATACTACTACATTCTACTGCAAGAGTAATTTCATCTCATCTCACCAGGATAATTACAGTACAAGATTATTTGGAACGACAGTAGTATTAACCAACTCGTTCTCGCTACAACAATCCAATACAATTGAATACAGAGGTTCCAGCTGTTTAAATACGACATGGCGAAAACAACAGTTGAATGCATGTCCAGTCCCAGCAGCTGTTTGTCCGGAATGCTAAGATGTAACACGGCAAAACGAACAACAAATGAATTCTTCAAAAATGGGCGCTACACTGCTACTACAACATGGGCATCGTCAATCGTCATTGTCATCTTCTAACATGGGCATGTTTCTTCCAGGATTTGGGTTGATAGGTCCTCTGTTTCATGTTTCTCTGTGAGATGTAGTTGGCCTCCTCCTGGAAGGGGTTTGGTCCACCGTAGTCTTCCTTTGAATTTCTGATTTTCTTGGTCTTTCCACGGTCATACTCCTCGTCCCTGGAAATAGATGAAAGTGAACAGTAGATTTCGTATAGTTATTCGTTTCCTTCAATGAGATTATTCGCTACTTAAATTTCACCAAAGAATTGGAAAGTATGAAACACCACTGAACAATACTGAGATGTATCATCGACGAATTAAAAGAATGGCTCACCATTCATCTAACACATATCCAATGCTCTTGCTTTCTGAATGTTTTGACTCTCTTGCCTCAGCATTTGACACAGCAACATCATCCCAGCATGGAACTGAAAAGGCCAAAAGGTAAGAATATGGCAGGTACAAAATAGATGGCAAACTAGCATATTTGTAGCGCATGACAAAGTGTAGAGGGCAAAGAGATGGAACTAACCAGTAACTTCAGCCAAGTCCCTTGTCAGAACAGTAAAATGCCGGGGAACTCCCAATTTTGCATGAACATTGTTCCTTGAATGTTCCTGATTTGCAGAAGAGCCTGGACCCAGCTTCGGAAGCTCAGCACTAGCAGCGGTTTCACTAATAACATTTCTCTTATCCATGTTAAGTTCACCACTACCAGTATCGGCTCCAATAACGTCTTGCTTGTTTTGCTTCTGGTTATTATTTTTAGGACTGTCACTATCATAGGCACGTTTCCGCCCTCTGGGAGTACATTGCACAGTTTCAGACGACGTTGTTGTTGATGTTGATGCCTGCTGCTCGCTTGTGTTGTTACCTGAACAAGTGGCATTGGCCATGTCCTCACAAACTACAGACCGTCTTCTAGTTCTATTGCATTTCTTTTTCTTTTGTACCTTTAGTGAACCTAGCATAACTTGTCTGGGCCCAAGCCACATGTTCATGACTGGATATCTCACAAGTTTCTTTGACTTCAAATCCACCCTTTTAGGTGTGTTGCTATTGCACGAATCAGCTGCAGCTACCTTCATGGAAACTTCAGAGCTAGTCTGTTTTCTGGCGTTGACTCGTTCAAGTCCTGATACTATATTGTTCTGCACAAAAGCCAGAAACAAAATATACAAATCAGCCTATATGAACCTTATGGGGTCAATCAAAAGTCTACAGGATCATATGGGATAGTGACACATAATAAGGGTAATGGTACCATACCTCACTTATAGGAAGTTCTTTCACCGTTTTGTCATCTTGCTTGATGGATTTTTGCAAGCCACACACCTTCTCACTGGAAATTGGATCCCTGCTACTAGGTACAACACCATTTGAAACAATAGCATCCTGCAGAGTTGAATGAACAAAACAAGTCACATAGCAAAAATATTACCAAAAAATCAGCAGTGATCACCATAAGAGTAAACATACCTTAGTTGGGAAAGTTTGTGCAGCAAGCCCTGCCCCTGTGTCCTTTCCATGGGAAGCTGGCATAGAAAATGGATTTTGATGCTGGGATGTTTGTTTATTTCGCTCAGACAATATCGCATTGCCATTGCCCAGGGAAGAGGTATCGGTTAAGCCATCAACCTTTGGTTGCAATTCCTGCGACGGAACCATGGCCACTGCTTGGTTCACAATCACATGTGTAAGAGATGCAGATCGATCTGATGAAGATACCTCTCTGTGACCAGTTGAAGTAATTTGCTTAGATTGAGCAGATAAGGTAGCACCATCAATTTGAGGTGCAGAAGCTTTCTGTGTGGAAGCCAGGCCATTGTTTTCAGAGGCTTTAGGAGCTTCAGTTTTGCCATCTTTCTTCAAATAATGCTCTCTTGAAGTCTTGATTGAGTTCCCATTGCTTATGCCGTGCAACCTCTTATCGCCATAAGGAGACGAGGAACCGTTCAATTTTGCTTCAATTACGCCGCTCTGGATCATATCACTCAGACCTGAGATCTTTTCAGGTATTGTTCTCCTGGCTGGCATATTAGCAGTGATATTATCCTTGCGTGGAGTCGGATTCCCAACTCTGTCACGTACATAAAATAACATATATGCTTTCTGTCTCAATACATCTGCCTCACGGACTTGGCGTACCTGAAGTTGTCCACAAGGATCAGTACAAGGGAAGCTAAAGTCTGCTGAATTAGCGAGAGGAATAAAGTAGCATCCACCATGCACTAGAGTCACTGTACTCCCTCACATACATATGGCCAAGCGCAAGATTAAAATAAAATAGCCAATTAAGCAGCTAATGGAAGGTTGTGATATGACTATCAACTATCAACTAAAAATGAAACAGTAAAGCTTCACGTAATGGCAAATATCATGCTAGACCTGGTTATCATCAAGGTTGTGCCACATTCCACTGGAAGTTCGAACGAAGCAATAATAATGGCCTGACTGAGTGTTCCAACCAGCATGAACCAAAACACCATAAAGGCTGTATTTAAAATCTGCGCCCTACAAAAACAACAATAATGAATTAAACCTGAAACAGATTTTATCCAAATGGGTAGATCTTGAGAATTAAAAACCAAATTACTCACTTTAGAGTCGCTAATAAATGGCTTCAAGTCTAGCATTGGCTGAAAATCAACTTTTTTGTCAATCTTTTCACGGGGGTTGAAAGGGCTAAAGCGCTTCAGATGAATTGTCAGAACATATGGCGCCTTATCAATTGTAAACTTTTTCTTTGCTACAACCTTTTTCCTGCAGCGTTGGCACTGATATTGCTTTTCTCCCCCATCTAAGAGCTCTTCCGCAGTGAAATTTTGAAGTGCCCTCACCAGAGACGTGGCCTTACCAATATCAAGGCTGAGATCCAAGAAAGGATCAAATTTGTTGGAGCAATGTGAGCACTGTGTGCATTTCACCTGGGGCACATGTACATAGCCAAGCAGTGATGACTATGAAATTGGGACTTCCCATGAAATTGCCAGCTCCAGTCTTACTGAACAATGTACAGATCATACCTGACTTCTTAGGCGGCCACCAAATATTTTGTGAACTAAGCTCTTCTCATATGCACTAGGAGACTCACTTGGTACTCCAGAAGGTAGACAACATTTATGCATGGATTCAAGTAAATTAACCATTAACTCATGTGCATCCTCCTGCCTTGAATTGCGGAAACTACGGGAGATGCCTATTTTGTAGTCAAAGATTCCAATTCCATTTCTTTAAAAAAACTAGAAGTCCAAAATTTAAATCAATAATAGGTGCTCAGTTAAGCTAAAGAACATTGAAGGATACAGCGCAAGTTCTTGACAATCTGTGATGGCGTCACTATTTTTCCAGTTGACTGTAGAGCAGTCTTAACATGGTTTTGAAGAGCACATAGTGCACAAAATCCAGCAGTACGACCTTAAGAAAGGGGAAAAGAATTAGCAATAGAAATATCTTGTCGCAAAATTAAGTGTTTCTCTATGCTTACTTGAACATGACAGACCATAGAAAACATGCTTGCAGTTCATACAGAACATGTTACATAGTGCAGAAATATTGGTGCAACACCAATCTAGAAAAGGCATGATCAGTTCATACTCGATACCTCATATATTGTTCTACGGAAGACCAACGTAACTACTCTTTATAAGCAGGATTCTCCCCTTCTTATCATTCTTATCCTTTTTCAGCCTCTTTGTTCAAGTGTTTTATTATTGCATGCACAACTAATGGGTCTAAACTTTGAAATAGAATTACCAACTTTTTCACGAATTTCTTAATGGGCAATACCTGTTTATGGGTTAAACAACATTCAACCTGAAGAAGTGTTGAAATTTTCCAGTAATGTAAAAGGAATAACCTTGAGCCTCTTGCAATGTAGGTATCATTATCTAGGGCAGTTATACAGCAATTACAGAATTACTAGCCTAGGCTATCAGCATAGCTTAAGCATGCAGCCATATAACTTGATTTCAAGGTCCAGGCTCAACTTATCGTATGACATAAAGAACATTCACTTCAGTTCAGTTACTACTAGGTGTGGAATTTACATGTTCAAAAGTAACATCATAACATTGGCATCTCATGCAACATGCCAAATCATCCGGTTGAAAACTGTAACAATACTTACATGAAGACTTGTGCTTCCCGCTCTGCAAATAGGCCGCAAATGGTTCTGTGTACGTCAAGCATTGCAGCACCGAGTTCAGGTAGCAAGTGTTCCCAAGATTTTGCAGGCCAGCACCCTACATCACATCAAAGCACTCCAATTTAAGAACCCGGGAAGAAAAATTACAAAATAATAAAACGCCCACCATACTAAAACCCCGATAAATGCCAGAACCGTTAACTAGATACTACACTAGCTACGATCCAAAAAAAAAGCAGCTACTAATCCATATTTTATAAACTAATACAAATCGACAGATTCCGTGGTAAAAACACCACGCATTGCAGCTCCACCCCCAAAACCCCTAACAAAATCGCGGCCTCTAAGATACACCAACAGAATTACACAGCTTCGTGCACTCACAATTCTCCCGAGGTAGATCCTGGCGACGCTGAGCTCCGGATCCAGCCCACCGCCGACCACCTCCCCCTTCTCCGCCCTCCTCGCCTCCCCCTCGCCCCCCGCCGCCACCCCCACCCCCTGCGCCGCCCCCGCCGCCGCTCTGTCACCCGCGTCGGGGTTCAGCGTCTCCATCCGGAACCCGCCTCCCCCGACCGCCACCACCGAGTGCGACCTCCTCGCGAGGTGGAACTCGATCCTCCTGTGCAGCACCCCCTCCGCCGCCGCCGCCGCCGCCGCCACCTCAACCTCCGCCATTCCTAGGGTTTCAAGCCCCAACACAGAAGCGGAAACCAAACTACACCTCAGGACAGACAGGGACACGATGATGGATGGGTATCGGACGAATCAACACTCCACTCTGAATTTTTCTGCGATTTTTCCGGGATTAAACTCGCGCGGATTCGATCGATACGGGTGTGGGTAATTGGTGCGGCGCGCTGTTTTTTTTTTTCTTTTCTTTTTTTTTTTGGTTCGCTCGGCCGCCGTTCGAGCTGCGGGCCGGAAGAGAGGGGGAGGAGGGGGTGGGATGGGGGAGCTATAAACCCTATACCCCTAGCGAGTGGACGGTTAGGATTGGACGGGAGGGAGGGGCGGGGCGATCTGGGACGTTGGATTTTTTTGTGGAGCACGTGCTTTGATTGCGCTCTGGCTGGTGGGGCCGGAGCGGGAAGAACGCGGAGTGGCTGTGGCTGTGAGCCATGTGAGAGTGGTGTGGCTGCGGGTTCAGTCAAATCGTGTGTGGCCTACATGGCTACATCAACCTTTACCCATGAGTGCTCCATTGCTCGTATTTCCTTTTTTTTTTACTGTTTTTAAAATCATGCACCCTTCGTTAAAAAAAACATTTATTACACATTTCCTATTACAATGAATCTTGTATTAGAAAATATCTCATCCAATATTTAGATTGGTTTTTTAAGGGAGTATTCGTCTTCATTCTGGTGCTTCTCATCCAACGTAGAAGCTCATGTTCTCTTCGTGTGTAGGTAATGGCTAAAGGATCCAATCCACCCATATAGTCAATCTCTAATTATATGAGACTACCCCGTATATTATCATTAATCTATTCACCCATTCAATCTTCAATTATATGGATCTGGGCATTTTAAAGCATGGGTGTCAGGGTTATGGATACCACATACCTAATAGTAGTTGACTAAATCTCGGCAGGATCCACCACATACCATGTCCTATACGGAAGCAACCTTCGGATATAGGAGGAGTTCCGGATAAGGAAAGACAACCATAGTTCTACATGGAAACGACAAGGACTACTCGGATTGTATCCATATTGGTTTCCCTAGTTCTACTTGGACAAGGGGACACCTATGGGTATAAATACAATACCTCCTAGGAGGGGAGAAGGGACACCCACCAGGGAGAACCAACACAATCAACATACACCCACCAGGGAGAACCAACACAATCAACATACACCCACCAGAAGCCACAACATACAAGCCTACATATGCCAAGACAAGCCGCCGGATATCGACATCAGAGATATGCCTAGATCGACCCTATCCGGTACCTTCAGAGGCCGCCCGTAGGGATCTAGCACTGTCTCTGATAACGTCGGGCGCGAGCTCGAGGAGGAAGGCTACCCTGTTGTCGACTACGAGTCAGACCTTCAGACCACCATGTCGACAACAGTTAGATAGGCTACCCCACATATTGTACTGGTGTGATTATGGTGAATAAAAAGCAATATCGGCTCCGGCCAACAGGATGTAGGGCTATTATCTAATAGCTCAGGGGCCCGAACCTGTATAAAAATCCATGTCTCCATCTCTTTTACCTCAGTCTCGCGTATATCCTAGCACCAACGATCCCCATACTGTGCAAATACCGTAGTCGTGACATCATGCACCCTCCGTTAAAAAAAACATTTATTACACATTTCCTATTACAATGAATCTTGTATTAGAAAATATCTCATCCAATATTTAGATTGTTTTTTTTAAGGGAGTATTCGTCTTCATTCTGGTGCTTCTCATCCAACGTAGAAGCTTGTGTGCTCTTCGTGTGTAGGTAATGGCTAAAGGATCCAATCCACCCATATAGTCAATCTCATTATATGAGACTATCCCGTATATTATCATTAATCTATTCACCCATTCAATCTTCAATTATATGGATCTGGGCATTTTAAAGCATGGGCACATTATTAATATGGGAAAAAATTGTTAATATACATAAGTTGATAAAATGTATCGATATGCATAAACTGATAAAGATAACGGAAATCTTAGTGGATTCCTTTATGTTCTAAAAAAAACTATCAACTAATGTCTCCTACTTCCTTCGTTTCATATTATAAGACTTTATAGCATTACTCATATTTATATATATGTTAATTAATCTAAACATATATGTGTCGCTAGATTCATTAACATATATATGAATGTGGTCAATGCTATAAAGTCTTATAACCTGAAATAGAGGTAGTACTTATTTATGATACTAGTGGAATCAAATCTTGCCGGTCAATAATTCTTGTACTATCTCTTGATTATTATTTTTTTCGTCTCAATGAAAATTGTTATTATGTGGTATTGTCCAAAATATCGTCATCGAGCCTTTTTATTTGAGAACAAGCTGTCTTAAGTGAGCTTTTAATGGCGGCAGTGTAGTCACATATATAGCTCCTTCAAGCCAAACTCTATGCTTGAACATATTGGTTGTTTCTGAATTGACATCCTATTTAAAATATGAATTCCAAATGTGAATACTAGAGGGAACCAAAAAAAAACTTCTCTTTTGTTTTGTTTCCTACCAGTACTATTTTACCGTGTTAGATTAGACAATATCACAATAGGCAACATATATAGAAAAAGTGGTACATATCGATGAAAATGTGCGGTTATCCGAAAATTCTTGCTACTTGTGATTAGACTTTAGTGCCAGTTTTCACAAACAACTGGTAGTTATATGAAATTTACTTTGTTTTCCTACTTTCTTTTTCTACATTTATGATATATTGTTATCGTTATCTTTTCTAAATTCTAATAGTGTGATCTTTTTTTCGCAAACGCCTAATAGTGTGATCATAAAATTATTTTTTTAAAAGAATTAACTGAATGAAAGTATTTTTATGGCATTAATTCCACTGTTATCATTGTGTGATCATAAAATTATTTTTTTTAAAAGAATTAACTGAATGAAAGTATTTTTATGGCATTAATTCCACTGTTATCATTTTGGACATATCAAATCTTTGTTTTTTTTAAAAAAAAGTAAGTTAGATTCTGATGTGTCTGAACGTAAAACGTTTATCTATTTAAGAAGGGAAGTAGTGTTTGTCCATTGCACAAAGAAGAGTATTATTCCTCTTGTCCTGGCAAAAGTTCATGCTAAGATGTGTTTGGTCAAATTGTAGACAAGGTCATTTGAATGCTCGTGCTTGTGTTTGACTTCTTCGTAGTTCATATGTCAATGTATGGTATTCATCTGCGGCACACTGAAATCAGATAACGTTGGTTGCATACGCCGGCGCAACACGACGTGCACGCTCGATATTTTTTGCTAATTAATGTTACAGTTCATACATGCGGACAACAGTATATTATATACATACATATATAGTATAATTTTTCTTTTGCAAATGTTTCCAATTCGAACGTCTCTTAAGCCCAAAAAGAGATGTTCCAACGTCCAAAGCCGTATCTGTTGCGTTATATATGGATCATGTCCTCCATGTTCTTAAAAGCGAGATGCACCAAATATATGTAAATACCATGCAAATCCAAGTAAAACATACAAAAAAAAGATGATTGGGAAGGTAGGGAACCTTCTCCTCCAGGACGAAAAAGGGAAGCCTGTAATTAATTATTAGCTAAAAAACATAAAATATATATTAGTATGGTTTTTCAAAATAACTTTCCGTATTCGTTGGTATCCCCGATACCATATCCATATTCATATCTGAAAATAAATATTTATAACTGAACTATTCGAAAATTATCCGCTTCGAAAGGAATCTATATTCGTCTCCGTTTTCATCGGGGCTAATCATACTGTTCCATCCCATGTAAACTTTTTTTTAATCAAGTCCTACTTTATCAAATTAACGATCTAATAGCATGCTCGTTCATTAAACAAAGATTTCTTTTTATATGAACATGACATTTGCGAGACATGTTTTCAAAGTCCATTTTTTAGCGCTTAAACTATTTTCGATGTCCGTCTTCATACAAAACTCAAGAAACCGATTGTTTTTTCTTATACACATTTAAAATTTAGATAAATAATACCAGAAACATATATTTTGAAATCGGGCATGTAATGCATGGTTTAGCGACATGGATTTCATTTAGTTAAGTTTAATTAATAACTAAACTGAGCTATCAAAAGTTTATAATTTTTTTTCACAAAACTACATGTACTTTGGAACTATCACAAATTTGTAGATTTAAGACAATATATCACAAAACTATTTAAGATGGTGTATCACAAAATTACAGATTTAATACTAATTTTATTACAAAGCTACAATGTTCATGAATCCAACGTAATAGTAATGCTAGAGATCTAAACTCTAAAATTAACACTTTAGTTTTCATAGCTAAATATGTAGTTTTGTGATAAATTTGATATTAAATTTGTAGTTTTGTTATATATACCACCTTACGTCTCAGTTTTATGATAATTTACTCAAAGTATTCATACTTAAACGAAAACAGTCACATTGTCAAACAAAATCACCATACCATATATTGTAAGGGTAATTTGTCCGGTTTTAAAAGTTTACTTTATTTTAGTGTGAAGATTGAACCACGAGAAAATTTGAAGGGCAAATGTGTATTTCTAAGGCAGAAATCTTAAAGAAAAAAAAAAGCCAAGTGCCCATGCGCTAAACAGAATATACAACTTAGGGTTTGTTTAGTTCCCAAACAAAATTCTTCACATCGAATGTTTGGACACATGTATGGAGTATTAAATATAGAAAAAAACAATTACACAGTTCGCCACAAAATTATGAAACGAATCTTTTAAGCCTAATTGCACCATAGATTTGACAATGTTTTGCTATAGTAAACATATGCTAATAACGGATTAATTAGACCTAATAAACTCATCTCGCAGTTTCCTGCGGAATATGTAATTTGTTTTGTTATTAGACTACGTTTAATACTTTAAATGTGTGTCCTTATATCTGATATGACATGAAGGGGCAAATTTTTTTTTGCCAACTAAACAAGCCCTGACTATGGTGTGAATCAACATTTTCCAAAATAATTAAGTATATAGCTGTGCTATTGGTCTTTAAACTCATACAAGTAGTTTTCTGCTATGTTAATATAATTCAGCCAAGTAAAGACAACCCTATCCTTTTTGCTTTGCTTATATTTCAACCTTAAATTTGAAGTTGATTTTAGGGTTTTTTCATCGTAGTTTATTTTTCAGTCTTTACTTTTAGATAGATAGTTAATAACATATATATATATATGTATATATATATATATATATATATGTGTATATATATATATATATATATATATATATATATATATATATATATATATATATATATATATTCACAAATTATTTTTCACTTGCAAATATGTCATTTCGCTTTTTCCTCCAATATGCCAAATGATGGGCTTTTTGTCAGCCAGTGAAAAAGAGAATAAGAATGAATGTACATGGGTACTTTATTGACGGGACAACCGAGGTGGTGGGAGAAAAAAAAAGGAGAAAACATATTAGGGATAAAATTGGCATGAAATTTTTACAATTTGGTCTTTTTTGAAAACTTTATTTATACGAATAGATTCTTGGAAGAAATATTTCTAGGAATGGACAGAAAATAGATCCATTCTGAAAATGGTTTTTGAGGGGTCTATTTTGTAACTTTTTTATAAAAAAAAGGTCAAAATGTAAAAAATTCAGTGAAATTGGTAGTTAGAAAAAAAAATCCAAGGTCATCCTATTTGTTTTCTTTAAAAAAGGTAGTAAAGCTAAATAAAAGCATCCCGGATTCAAATTTTGAAGCACATCCCCCTTTTACTTTTCAGAGAAAAAAAAGAATAAAAAATAAAGCAAAGCCGGCGGGCAGGTAGTCAGGCACAGACAGGTAGGCCCCGCTCCCGCTCCCCTTGGAATCATTCGCTCGCAACGCACACCCGCACGCACGCGCCCACGCCAACGCCACCACGACCCGTTCCGTCTGTTAAAACCGAAACCAGGCGGCGAAACCTTCAAATCCCTCCTCCCCCAAATATCAAAATCCCCCCCCCCCCCACCCCCCTCACGCAGCGAAGCTCGATTCCTACTCCTCCTCACGTCGTCGCCTCCCTCCTCCTCCTCCTCCCCCTCCTCCACCTCTCGCCTCGCCGCCGCCGGATGGTGCGGCGATCCCGCGGCAGCTGCTGCCCCGCCGCCGCCCATTCCTGAGCGCGCGCCGTCGTCGTCGTCGTTTCGGTTGTTGTCGTGGCCGCCGCCGCGGGAGATGTCGCTGTTCCGGCGGCTGTTCCACCGGCGGCCGCCACAGGGGCTCGTGGAGATCTCCGACAACATTTTCGGTTCGTGTTTTTTTTTATTTCCCACTTCAGTACTCCATAATTACGGTATAATTTTGTTTTTTTTTGTTTTACTGCGTTCTCTTCGTGTAAGCAATACCATGTTAGCAAGCATGAATCTACCACGCGCTTAATTTTTTTATTTACGTTTTGTTCCGTTTTTACTGAAGCTGCTTTAACTTTCTGGAGAGAAAAAAAATCGTATGAGCAAAATGTGGTCAGGTTTGGGGGAGAGATAATGACAGCTGGGGGGGGGGGGGTCAGGGATTGGTATCAGTGGGTTCGGTTCGTGTATTGACTTGGCAATGTCGCGCGAGTTGTTGCACCCGACCACAATAGGAACGCGGGAATTGACCGGCTTAGCTGGTTATCACGACGCTGTCATTTCTTCTCTGAACGATGACGTACTCATTTAGATGGGATTCAGCTCTGAACTTGTGCAGTTTTTACCACACAATGTTTGCTGGAGTAGCTTTTCTGGCCACAAATTGAAGTTTGGAATTCTTTGGAGTATATGATGCTCCTTCTGATAATGTTCAGAAGGAATTTTGGATTAGCTCAAATCAGATGCACATGAGTTCTGTTCTGTGAAAATGATGAGCACTATAGATGGGTGAACAACTGGACATTAGAGGTTGAATTGTCATGCTTGTGGTAAATTGATATATTCACAGACAAACAAGATGCAGTTACATGATTTTCTTGTTGTTTCCAAAAAGGAACCTGTCATGGTTTGTGAACCTGTTGTGTGACATGGCTTCTTGATCTTCTGATGAGGCTGACCATCCAAAACTACTCCATTTTCTGTTAGTGTTAGTTACCCACTTGTGTGGCTGACAACATACCATCCACATTTTGTATTCTTGAAAATGGATTGATGTTTCATTCGTAAGGCTGAAATGTTCCTATCACTATTGCTGTTGGAAATGTCCACCTACTCCTATTGGACATGGTTTGAATCTTTATGATAACTATACTGTTTATAGTAGAATTGATATTGCTCCCAGTTTCACCTTTCTTATGCTGACTACTGGTTACTTCTTTACTTTTCAGTGTTTAACCACTGCTTCTCCACGGATTTCTTTGAAGAAGATGAGCTGAAACCGTACATCGGAGGCATCTTGAAACAGCTAATTGGCCGCTATTCCATTGACTCATTCATGGTGTTCAATTTTGAGGGAAGCAAGAAGGACAACCAAATTGCCTGCATTTTCTCGGACTTTGATATGAGTGTGATGGGTTACCCACGAAACTATGAGGGATGCCCCTTGCTCACCATGGAGATGATTCACCATTTCGTGAGGTCTAGTGAAAGTTGGCTCTCATTAGGCCAGGACAACTTCTTGCTTATACATTCAGAACAGGGGGGATGGCCAGTCCTTGCTTTCGCATTGGCAGCCCTACTGCTTTACCTCCGAAGATATAATAATGAGAGGAAAGCATTGGAAATGGTCTACAAACAGGCACCACCTGGGCTAGTAGAGCACTTCTCACCACTGAACCCGGCTCCTTCTCAGATGAGATACTTGAAGTATGTGTCAAGACGGCACATGTCACCAGAACAATGGCCTCCAGCTGATAGAATGATAAATTTGAATTGTGTAATCATCAGAGGGGTGCCAAATTTTGATGGAAAAGGAGGATGTAGACCAATATTGCAGATTTATGGTCCAGATCCTTTTGCTCCTAATGACAAAAGTACTAAAGTTCTCTTTTCAACCCCAAAGACAAGTGATTCTGTCCAGCTCTACACACAGGTATACTTTTGTTATATTTACTAATTTATCATGAATAATATAACCTTTATTACAGTAAGCTTGTGATGTTTGTTCATGATGTGTTGGTTCAATAGTTCAACATTCAACAAAGTCAGTGATCAACTATCGAAATACCTGAAAGTGTAGTCAGATCACCTGGGGAGATCACCGGTTTACAAGTTTAATTGTTTCGTTATCTGCTAGTGCTGTGTTTTTTTCATCTGTCGTATCATTCTTTTCTCTACTAGCTTGTCTGGAATCCATTTTACTAGTTCATATGTCTATCGAACAGCTTTAAATTTGAGCTGGAGACTTTTATTTGTTATCAAAGTAAGAAGTATTTAAGCTTTAATTGCTGGATAGGAGAACATTGACATGTTTGTGTTTGTAATTCAGGAAGATTCTGAGATAATCAAGTTTAATGCCCGGTGTCCTGTTCAAGGAGATGTTGTCATGGAGTGCATTAGCCTGGATGAAAACTTTGAACATGAAGTGATGGTGTTCAGGGTCATGTTTAACATGGCTTTTATTGAAGACAACCTATTGCTACTTGATAGGGACCAGATTGACATTCTGTGGGACACAAAACTCCGGTTTCCTGTAGATTTCAGAGTTGAGGTACCACTTAACTCATGCATCTTGTACACATTTTTCACCTGCACATTCCACCTTCATATGTAGTTATGTACTCGTCTTGCCTTGATTATCATAGGTTATATTTTCGGAGATGGACACAATCACATCGCTTAACTCATCTCAATTATCAAGTGAGGATAAGGAAAACTTTTCTAGGGTTGAAGATGCATTCAGTCATCTGGATTGGTCAACCAAAAGCGATGACGTGACAACTAATGCAACAGAACAGAATGGGTCTAACAATGAGCATGATGGCTTTGATGCAGTATCTCTTCAGGAAACAGAAAACAGCAATTCCACATCTGAACATAGCTTGCTAGGAACCAGATCTGTCCAGGTTATTCAGATGGAAACAGAACATAACCATTCTTCTGCGCCAACGTTCGACATTGTCAAAGATCCGGTTGCTGATACACATTCCTTGCCAGAAACTTACTCACTTGCACTAGAATCTCAAGAGCACAAACTCTTTGAAGATTCATCTCCAAGGGAGCTACCAAAATTGGATACCACCAAGAACAACCCCAACTCCGACCTGCCTTCGGCGAATTCACGAGACTCAGAAGCTGCTGGTGATGCTGCTGTTGCTGAATGGTCAGACACCAACACGGACACGTTCCTGTCAGATACACCTTCAAGCAGCTCTCCATCAAGCCCGCAGAAGTTCGATGAAGATTCCATGGAGGCTGGAATTGTTGAGATCCAGACACAAACAGCAGAACCTCAAAGATGTTGAAGCTGCAAAATTCTTCCTCCTGTAAATTGGGGCAACACTGATCACTGGAGCTGCCCAGAATGTAGTCACATATGTCGATACATATACACCTGCACAGTACATTGGTAAAAAAGAGTGGTTTATCCAGACCACGAAGCATGTATAGCTGTTCTCTTCGGTAATGGTAAACATGTACAAAAATTTCAGATTGCCTCCAAATTTTGGAGAATATGAGTTCTTGCCGCGATGCAACTTGGAAACAAAGTCTTTTATCATTTTCCTCGCAAAAAAAATGTTCTTTATCATTTGGGATGTGAACTACAATATTGATGATGGTCGAAGTTCATGAGAACCACCATTGCGCCATTACATAGTGTGGCCTAAGGGCATGTACGACCACAATTAACTGACTGTCTTGTGTCAATGACGGTTGGGCTCCACAATAGGACGGTATGACAAACTATTTGTCACTTTTAAAATGCGGCAATTAAGAATTTGTCACTCGCAATATATGACATGTGAATCCAGTGGCAAATAGTAAGAGTGACATAGTTATATATCTCTAAGATTGGAGCGGAACCCCATCTCGAGCAAGTTTAAGTACCCAGAAGCGAAAGGACCTGTAGCCTAGTGGTTAGAAGAGCCTCAGTAACACTTTAGGTCCTGAGTTTCTCCATAGGAGCGATTTTTTCAGGATTTAACGGCTTTGTGCTTTCAGTGGTAGGTGACGTACCTGTCGAGTGTGCATGTTCGAAGATGCTCATAGGTGGTATGCGACGTACTCATCGAGTGTGCGTGTTCGAAGATGCTCATAGGGGTAAGATTTGCGTGCGTGCGTTCATAGAGGGTAGGTGTGCGTGCGTTGTGAGTATCTGCGTTGTACTATGTAATTCTTAAAAAAAAAAGTTTAAGTAGGCAGAAGCCCATCATAGTCAGGGCTAATCTCCATGGCCCCAAGTATCGGCCCAAATTGAACAAGGCCTCGTAGCTTGTAGGTATCGGGTTTCGGTCCGGGCCGGAAATGTCCTGCACTGACAGGTGACGAATCTCACAGCCCTAAATAACAATTTTGCCCCATATGATTTCCATGACACAGAAGAAAACCTACCCTCGCCGCCGCCGCCGTGATCGTCGAACGGCAAGAGATACGGCTCTCCGTATTGTGCCGGCGCTCGGACGGCGGCCGACGGCAAGATGTCGTCGCCGGCGGCGGCGGCAGCAAATCAGCCAGTATCCGGGTCTGCACTGAGCATCGGTGGTAGTAACTAGTAAACCCTCCATTCTCTTGCTGTTAAAATACATTTCATCCCTTAATAATCATCATGGAATCGTTGCTCTGATTAGCGTGAAACTCTCCTGAAAGTACATTCGAATTTCAAACAAGGAAAAAAAGGGGGGGTTACAAATTAGCGTGAAACTTCGCTGAAATGGTTCGATTCTTTGCCACCAAACAGAACGGTCAAAAGGATTAATTTGCACAGATTATCACCAAGCTAAGCGTAGTTGGAACAAAAACCAGGGGATTACTCTTTTGTCTCAGATGACAGAATTTCTAGCTGCATCCTGTTTTTGCTCGAGCGAGTCTGAAATTCTGAACAGATTCTTCAGAGATGCGAGACGATTATCACTACTACTCTAGCTCATCGCCATTGCTGATGGACCAAGCTCTCTCTCTCCTTTCCCCTGTACACATGCAATGCAATGCCAGCGCGCTAGCTAGACTACGAGACGGAGTAGCGCCGATTCCTCGACGACGAGCTCGACGACTTGGACGCCGGCGGCTTCGCCGACGACCTCGGGCTCTGCGAGCTCCCCGACGTGTCGGAGCTCTTGCTGACCACCTCGCCGCCGGGCGGCTTCCCGCCGGCCCACAGCCTGTCGAACATCCGCCGCGACCGCGACGACAGCGACAGCCTGCTGCTCTGGTTCGCCACGCTGCTCACCCTCGCCAGCTGCCGCCCGTCGTCGCCGCCGCCGCCCTCGTCGCCGGCGGCGGCGAGCTTCAGGCTCCCGAGCTGCTTCTTGAGCAGCGACGGCGTCGGCGTCGGCAGCGCGCGGGACTTGCTCCAGTCCCCACCGCCTCCGCCGCCGACATCGTCGTCGTCATCGTCCTCCTCCTCCACCAGAAGCCGCGCAATGCCGCCGCTCGCCGCCGCCGCCGCCGCCGCCGGGTTGTTGCCCCCCGCCGCGGCGCGCAGCTGCTCGAAGAAGAGCACCTGCACGACGACGCGGAGCGGGAGGCGATCGTTCTGCGCCGCGTGGATGCATGCCTCCTTGGACAGCTTCTTCACGTCCATCAAGCTCGAGATCTTCCTCTTCTCCGCCTTCGGCAAATTCGGATGCAACTGACAAAGTGACAACAGATTGCAACATGTTCATGTCAAAAATAATAGTTTAGAAATCATATAGTTAACTTGGAGGATGAAAATATGCATCAACATGCAAAATAAATCAAATTCAAGAACAAAAAAAAAGATGGAAAATGATCACTGTTTGCATCATGATTCTTGTCAAGCAAATATACCTTGAGAAAGACATCAATGGCGGTGTACAGTCCATCATGGGTTGCTCTTGCTGCATCAGGCATGGAGGTCGCCACTGCAACGAAGCTCGAGACCGACAGGTTTGGATCAGAGGCGACCTCAGCCAAGTATCCATCAACAATCTTGGACAGTGCGAGCAAAGATTCATCGTCGACGTCGGTCTCGAACATCTCTTGATCAAGGTTGTTGAGGAAGATCCCATCTTCAGTCACTCCGGCTCGCCTCATGAACCTGCCGACGAGCGTCAGCACCAGCTGTATGTCGTAGGTGGTCAACGCCGGTGGCCTTGCCGGGATCAGGAGGTCACAGACAGAGGCCTTGTGCAGCTGAAGGATCACCCTGTCCATGAGCTCCTCCTTCAGCATCTCACCGGAGCCGATCAGGACGGCGACCTTCAGAAGCTTGAGGAAGAACCGGCATGAGCAGCACGATGACCCCTTGTCTGACGGCAGCAGCCAGACGATCGTCTCGAGCAGATGGTTGTACGCCATGGAGTAGGCGTCGTCATCGATTGCCGCGGTGTCGAAGCATTCAGGAAGCCACCTTGAAGCATAGGCCTTGAGAGCTTCCCCAACAACATCAGAAGTGATCCTTCCTCTGGACTTGACAGCAACCATGACACGCTTGTAGAGGTCTACATCCAGCTCACACAGATCCTCAACCCACCAGTCTTTCGGAACCGGCTGCGAGTTCTTCCTCGCTTCCACAATCTCATCGGACGACGCCGATTTCCGGTTGTATGTGTATGACCACACCACATTGCAGGGGTTGGAGGTAGCCTTGGAAGCAATGGAGTCAATGCATCTTGCAGCCAGCTTCAGCTGCTCTGACCATGGTAGCAATGCATCAGTGGTTTGCAGCGCTATGATCGAGTCTTTCCAGCTTCTGAAGATGCCGGAGTTGAGGAACACCTCGATCTTGAACACCAGGTTGCTCTTGTCAACATCTTCAGTCATCCCAAGTAACTCGGCTGCACATCTTGCGGCGACGACATTGTACGCGTTGAGGGTCACAACCATGCCATAGCAGAACTTTGCACAGATCTCAAATATTTTCACTCCACCAGGGATGTCATGGATGTAAACTTCATCAGTGCCATTCTGGCTGGCCTCAATGATCAGCCTCTGTAGAAGGCTACTCTTGGATAGTAAGGGGAACTGAAAATGAATTGTGAAGTGGTCAAAGTTACAGAGTGTCATGTGTCATAACAGAGGGTTTTTTTAACAGGAAAATGGCCATGATTGAGCATCAAACATTTTGTTGGTTTGCTGTAGCATTCTATCTGTCAAACTTGTTTAACAAATTGATGATATCTTCCATCGCATTGCACGAGCATTGCTGTCACCTACCATTGAGAAAGCTTATGGAAATGGAGGAATGATCTAAGGAGAATGCTGGGAAAGATTCTGAATGCAACATGGTTCCAAATTACAAGTGGCTCTTGACAAAATATGGCACTGTAGCAGCATCTTCTGATGTGCTCATAGCTGTACATTGGCGCATGCATTGTTCTAACTCAATTTCAAGACTTGCCTTAAGACACAACAGTATAATCTAGCTTTGCTCATGCAGCAGTGACAGTGAAAAAAATGGTTTAAGGGATTATTACCTTGTGCAGGTAGAACCTTGCCTCCTCCACATGGATGACAATGTCTGATGGAAGTTCAGACAACACATATCTGCATCATAAGAATGATGTGTTCAGAGCTTAGTGGCTGACTACCACATAATAATAGCATCTCCTAGCAATGTACAGCAGTAAGATGTTCAGATTAACTTCACTAATCAAATGCTCTAAAGAACACATCTTTCTTGGCTGCAAGCTGCATGCCTGAATATTCTTGCTTAGGTCCAGACATGCACATAGCCACATATACTTCAACCAAAATTAAAAAATTAACAAATGCATTTTGCTGTTTTAATTATGTCACTCTCTGCAAGATCCAGTGGGCGTGGCCAGGTTGGTTGGTTCTATGCAAAGGGAGAGGAGAGCAGAAAGCAAGAAACATTTTTATCAAGGCCCAAGGATTGCAAGTTAGTTATAAAAAAAGAGATTATTTTGATCTTATCGCAACAACAACTACTACTACTACTACTACTATGCCTGCCATGTTTTGTTTGTACAGCCAAAAGGGAAACACCAGCTTTTTTCAGAGCAAAAGTGAGGTCGCCTTGGTCAAAATGCCGTGCAGAGAAACCCACGTAGCTCACGAGCACTTTGAGCAGTAGTTAGCCCCACATCTCAAGATCACAGTAGAACTGCTTCGATGACTTGAAAAATAAAATTCATTTTTGGTGGGTACACTAATCATGAAAATGCAAAGCAAAGCACACAGCAAAGAAAATATTTTTCACTTGAAAAGCAAACCTCTTCTACTATCATCAGATAAACAACACTTGAATCTTTATTTCTTTCCTGTTTGTACAACACAAGAACCTGCAATGCAAGAGCAGACGCCAAGGAAACAAAAAACCAAGAACACGTCTGGAGCAAGCTCAAGAACACAAGAGCAGGCTAAGCCATTTCGTCAGAGTAACCAGAACAGAGAAGAAACAGAGCGAGAGGAAGAAGAAGAAACAAATCCCCAGGAGAACCTCTCCATTTGATCACACTGGTAAAAGAACTAAAGAAGCAAGGATAGCTTGCAATGCTTTACCTGGAGTCGCCGCCGCCGTCGGTCTGGAAGGCGTCCGGCTTGGACCCAAGCTTCATGAACTTCATGGCGGAAGCAGAGATGAAGAACAAATACCAAATGCTCTCCTCTGCTCTGCTTCTCTCTCTTTCTCTCTTCCTCTCCTTGACGACAACCTCTCTGCAGCTCAGCTCAGCTCAGTGTGTGTGTGTGTGTGTGTGTGCTCCTTGCTTACATCTCACGTCTCCTTTGCCTCCTCCTGCCTCTTGTTTTTATCCAGGAAGCAGTAGAAGAGAAGAGAAGAAGACCAGGAGAGCAAACAGCTCAGCCCCAAGAAACACACACGGGCTCAGAGAGAAAGAAGAGAGAGAGAGATGGTTTGGTTTGGTGAGGAGAGGGGAGGTGGTATTAACTCGGCATCTTTACTGCGTTCCGGCTACTACGCAGGAGTAGGAGGCAGCAGTAGCTGTGTGGCCTGGTCATTTCTTTTTTCCAAATTTTCAGTTGAGCTTGTCGCAGGGGAAAGGTTCTCTTCTCTTTCATAAATGGAGGGCAACTACTGCAACCCAGTTTGATGTAACCTCTTCTCTCTGTTTTTCTGAATTTGCATTGGATGGATATGCTATATTTGAGGCTAACCATTTGAAAGATCTTGTCTTGTGAAAAAGCTCTGGGATTAAAAAAAAAGGTTGTGTCATACTAGTAGTAGTATGGTTGCCCTTGTCAATGTACTCATAGGCCATGTTTGGAGAACTAACCAAAAGCTATTTTAAAAGCTATTTTTTGGTTCAAGAAAATAGCTCTCTAATAAAATAGCCTAAGTTGTTTGGATCCAAGGGTTATTTTGAGAGCTATTTGACATTTAATGTACCTTCCCATAGAGAGAGAAAAGACACTTTTTCAGTGGGCCTCACCGGAAATAGCCCCAATTAACACCTCTTGGTGGGATATTTTTTTGCGTGGGTTATTTTCAAATAGCCCTTAAATAGCTCACCCTTTTGAATCTTTTTGGGCTATTTGAGCTATTTGAGATAGGGCTAAAAAATATCCCTTGAATCCAAAGATGACCCTAGTATATTACTTATCCTGAAGTAATCGGTCTCAGTGTTAAGTGGAGTAACACTTTTAGAAAGCAGATAGAAAGCTAAGTTCTGTTACTTAGCCTGAAGAAAAAAGTTTATACTAGTATCTTTATCAGTATTTTAGTACTGCTAAAAATCAAAGCTCACAGGTAGAATTTTGTAGATAATGGATTAAATCTCAGCCTCTACAGGACTTGATCCATGCAAAGCCGGATGTTTGGTAGTTGCCTAACCTTGCCATAACTAAGTTTAGGCTAGTTGTGGCATGGTGGCACAAATATGGCTTAGAAATAGTTGGCCACAAGTGTGGCATGCTTAGCTCTAAATTTAAGGGGCTGTTTGGTTCACTATCACAATTTGCCTCATCATGTCACAACTCAAGTTAGCCAGATTTGACTTAGTTAGGCATTCGTTTGGTTAGTGGCACACTTTTGGCAAGATTCCTTCACCATGATGTGGGTCCCATGTCATTGGCACATAAAAGTGTGGCAAATTTACTCTCCTATGGCTAAAGTGTGGCTTTAATTTTGTTGGCCACATGTTAGACATGTTAGCTAAATGAAGTATGGCAAGTTTTGGTAATGTAAGTATGCCAAACAAACAACCCCTAAGAGCATGACATGTGGGTCCCAAAGTTAAAAAAGTGTGGCATAACACAATTACGGTAGCGAACCAGATACATGCTAAAATACTATGGCATGACTAAAGTGTGGCGTGGTAAAGTATGGCAACCAACCAAACAACCCGCCACACCTCACTAGCAAATGGCCCAGCCCAAACATTCTTCAGGAAATTTGTACTCCTACCAAATGGATTAAGGACTGTCAACCTGTCATCACCAGGAATGGATCACTAATCACTTAATTAATCAGTTCATCTCAGCTCACCGGTCAGGACCAGTACTTAGTAAGTACACTGTACACGAAACAGTGGTAGGTTTTCCATCTCTTCAAGACTTGAATACACACAACAGAGAAAGATCAAAATACTACTACAGCTTTGTGGCTGGCTGGCTGCTGCCGCCACCACCACCATCACCATCACCAATTCACAGCTCCGTGCAAAAACTGTAGCTGCGTTTGTGTTTGGCTCGGGAATTGGGTGTGAAGAAAGACACACACAGAGAGAGAGAGAGAGAGAGAGAGATGGCACCGACCGGAAAGGCCATGGGCCAAGGCAAGCGAAGAAACACAAAACACAAACACGAGGCATTGCTGCGATGCAGGGGCTGCAGCGTAGCAGGGGGGTGCTTTCTCCTGCCTTCCTCATCCCAAGCACGAAAACATTTCGGACTGGACCCTCCCTGTTTTTCCCTGTCTTTCCCTCCCCCACACTAGAGTGCCCTTTTTGTGTCTCTCTCATCCCCTTTGAGCTCTCTCTTCGATGCTTTCTTTACTGAGTACTCAAAATTTTTTTCTACTACATCCGTTCTAAGGGCTGCTTTTAATCGCAGGGTTAAAAAAATTGGAGGAATAGGAAAAACACATGATTCTGATAGGAATTGAAATGTAAACCAGAAGATTGCAAAACACAGGAAAAACACAGAAATGATCGTTTGATTGGAGCGCAGGAAAAACGCAGGAATCGGATGAGAGATATAGACTCAAAGGAAATTTTCCAAGATGTTAAAGCTCTTACTATATTTCCTTCAAAATCCACATGCAATGTGACATTCCATAGGAATTTCATAGGATTTCAAAAGCTTCAATCCTTTGAATCAAAGGGCCAAATAGGAAAATTTTCTATAGGATTTGAATCTTATTAAATTCCTACGTAAATCCTTTTATTCAAAGGGGCCCTAAAATATATACAGCTATATTTATCTGTAAATCTGGATGAATAATTATCAGACAAGTAGTTAGAAGTAGTATTATTTTAGAATGAAGATCATAGTATTTACTAGTATGGAGATCAGGGTTTGCGTTGCCATTGGACATGGGAGTAAAACCAATAAAAAAAAGCACTGATTTTTAAATTTTTTATTTAATTTTTTGAACTTGGTCGATGTACCAGAGCGGTTTTGGTATAACACCGGGCAGTAAGTATGGTTACTGCGGTAACCGCCATTAAGGAAAACCCTAGCCGAGATACACATCTCATCTTAGATGTTGCAGTTGTAAATTGTAATTGCAAGCAAGAAGTGCATCTTATTTTGAACAGATGTTAAAATTGAGGTTGATAGTATGCCTTTTGTTTTTCTCTTTACTTAACATAACAGTCCATGTCACACAAAACACCAACTCGGAGATAAAGGTTTTATAGTAGCTAGGTAGGAGTACTTCATATTGGAATAGGGCTTTCTTGACGTTGGCTAGTACTCACTCCGTTTCAAAATATTTGACACCATTGATTTTTTAAGTACATGTTTGACCATTCATCTTATTTAAATTAAATTTAAGTAATTATTTATTCTTTTCATATCATTTGATTCATTGTTAAATATACTTTTATGTACATATATAGTTTTACATATTTCACAAATTTGTTTGAATAAGATGAACGGTCAAACATATGCTAAAAAATTAATGTTAATCAAACATTTTGAAACGGAGTTACTAGTAAGCATGCATCCACCAACAGAAGAGACTAACGAAAACGAAGTAGAAAAGCATGGTGTCAACCACCACAGTGGGGGACTCATCGAATCTCTTTTGGGATCTCACAGTAGCCACTAATCATGGAGGATACAGCCTACAAGGCCAAACCGTACGTGCATGCTTGCATTTGTAATCAGCTTTTGTACCATAGATCGAGCTTCGGCTGATAAACCCAAAAAAAAAGTGCGATGTCATAAATTAGTGAAAAAGTTAGTACTTGTTCATTTTAGAGGAAAAACAAAGGATTTTTTGAATTCCTAAGAATTAATTCCTATGATTATCGGTTTGTAAGATTAGAGCCCCTCCAGACATCCCTGCTGACAACAATATTTCTTTCTACTACTAGCGCCATTGCGTCGGCTGATGGATAGATGATGCCCATATTCATATGTACCGGGTCTCTAATATTAAGGTACAAGATACTTATCATACTGTTCAAAATATAATACCGTACAATAAATTAATTTATATTGGAAAATAGAATAAATCCATGGTACTGCTCAGGGCTATAGTAGAAACCCTCTCTTCTTCTTCTTCTCAGCCACATGCCATTTGTTTAGTTGCCTAATTAATTTCCTACAGCTGAGTTAATCTGAACTTAGTACTAGTAAATTAGTGTACCCACACCTATCAACAACAACAACTAATCCCCTGGGGATGCGTGCAGCTAATGATTAAACCGGGGAGTACAAAAAAATATAACAAAACATGGGATTTGGAGCCGGAACAAATCTCGTCAAACATGCTGTTCCATGTACGTACAAAAGCACCGGCGATTACTCTATGGCTGCTTGGGGATCTTTTGCTACGGACAAGCAGCTAGGATCTGAAGGCCAGTTGGCCCCATACATTTGTACTAACTTCGTCCCAAAGTACAGCCGTGGATATTCGTACCCAATATTTGACCGTCTGTCTTATTTGAAAAATTTGTGAAAAATTTAAAAATATTTAGTCACATATAAAGTACTATTCATATTTTATCATCTAATATCAATAAAAATACTAATCATAAAAAATTTTCAAATAAGACGAACGGTCAAACATTAAACGTGAATAGTGTAAAACTACACTTATTTTGGGACGGAGGGAGTACACACCAGCATGTACTAGTAGGAGTACTACGTACGCACAGGCACAGCACACTGCACACTTCTCCTTTGCAGAAAGTAAGTACTCCTACACAAGATTCTTTATACATCTCGTCCATTCCAATCGCCATGATTAATTTGGAATCTAAGCACGCATGCGTGGCTCCTTCTCTTCCTTCCTTCTCGATGCATATATATTGCCAGCGAAATGTTAGGCCAAGCCAAAAAAAAAATTAATTCTGAGTCTGATCCCCTTACCTATATGTGGTATGTGACATACTCGGATGTAATACAGTTTGTAATATCTCTACTACGGCCGTGTTTAATTTTTCCCCTATTCCCAACTTTCCATTATATCATATCACATCAAAAACTTTCCTACACATATAAACTTTTAATTTTTTTTTCAAACTCTCAACTTTTTTTAAACTTCTAATTTTTTTCAGGAACTAAACACACCCTACGTTAAAAGAGGAGTCGTCCTCCTCCTCTCTGTCCTACGCTTCTCTAGAAAACCAGCTAATTAAAAAAACCCTAGAAAAATAGGGAAAACCATAACTATCTACTAAAAACATAACAAAGCAGTTTTATTTTTTTTAATCCTGGAATCCCCCTTATCATAATTTTTTCATATTGTTTACATTTCGTTATATTTTGGCCCTGATCGGCTTCACTAGCTACAGCTGTTGCACAAGTCCAATGTTTGGTGCTTGAAGGGGAGTTACTGAATAGGGCCTTTGATATTATCAATCGAAATTTTGTTCATTACTGTTATATAAAAAAAACAGTAACTCAAA